AGAACAAAACTTGGCACTTTGGTCATAACAGACATATCGCGTTGCTTAAAAGGACACAAAAACAAGTTAAAATAGGTTACATTGTCTATATTTACAAAACAAAAGTCATGCACTCTGAGATAATTCTTGCAGTTTCTCCCGAGATTTTGTTCACGGAACCCGATGAACTAACCCTCCTTTCCGCAGATTTGTTTCCATCACTGATGATGTTACGCTCTTATAGACCACAACGGTTTTGAGCGACAAACTCGACATTTCCTTGCCACCATCAAAATCAACTTGACAAACCCGGCTTGACATATTGCGTGACGTGATTGTGCAAATTTTTCCCCTTGCCATATGGCGAGTTCTACTAATTGAAACCAAAATTAGTTCGTGCAACGAATTAGAATCGAAAGTTATTAAAATGGACTGAAGAATTTTACATTTTAATGAGAATTTTAACTTTTAAAAAGGTTTACTTGATTCATGGAAGGCAAAGATTGGAGTGGCTTTGGGTATTTCAGCCCTGATTTCTCTCCTGGAATGCCGGTGTCCCAGCGGATTTGGACCCCCTAGATTTGGACCCCCCGGTCCAAATCCGCTAGCGGATATGGACCCCCCTCCACGGATTTGGACCCCTCAACAAAACTGAGTGAAAACATCATCCTTAACGTTCTAGTAAAAATGGATGACACTTTACGTTCCAGAGCGTACTAAAGTATGTTTTCAATTCAAAACATGCGTATCGTTAATGCATACGAACTGGCATCACATCGGATGTTTCTTTTGACCAAGGGAAAATGAGCAAGAATTTAGTTCAATGTCTGGAGAGAGGTCGTTTTTTAACCTTTTTTGCGATAGTCGAACACCGTTAGATTCAATAAGAAACAAACTTGTGACACTAATTTATTTTGTCATTGTTCAATGCCCGAGTGTTGGGACGACATGGTACAGTGCGAGGGATTTAAGACTGCCTCGGAGGACGAGTGGCTCTGCATTGTCTGCAGATTGCTAGACTCTAGACGTCTTAGTAATTGTTAAGGCGTTATTTCGGATCCCTCAACAGTTAATAATCGTTAAAATTAGAAAATAAGATTGAGTTCGATGTAATAGTCTCCACTTTTGTCAAGACGTTGACATTAACGTTGATTTGCATCTGAGAATAAGCTGAGAGTTCCAATAGTTCAGAATACAAAACATTTTTACTTATCATAGGCTTTACGAACGACTTGTAATACGAGTAGTTTCTTCGTTCTTGTTCAAAAACTGTTTAATGTTATTATTTTAGAAAATCAGACTGAGTTATTTTTGTGACTGGACGCAAGTCTCCACTATTGTTATGACGTTTCGTACCAATGTTGATTCGCATCAGAAGAAGCAAAGATTTATTGTAACAATTTCAATAGCTCGAATGCAGTAGTTTGTTCACATCTAATTCTTGCGTATACTGTTCGACTCGCTATAATGAATGCGGTAGAATTGGAACGAAATGGCTGTTGTTATTTTTTTACCTTTCTTGAGGAAATGTTGTGTTGTGATTGAAGTTGTAGTCGGATCACATGGGTAATATATTTGTAATTTCTCGAGAGTGAAGGCTATTATTTTACTAAAAATTGATTCGTAAGTGCCTATCTGGGCTATCTGCATTAGCAGACAAAACCAGAATTCTCTTGACAAAATCAAAGGACAAATTGTGTTACGACGAGTTTTTGTCTTAATTTTTGTATCCGCTTAAAATTTCAAAAAATCCACGAGTTTCGCGACAAAAGAAAGTTAATGCCTTCCAGGCAAATTTTAGTGAGTTCAATAACGAGCTGGTGGCAGCTTTTACGACAAATGGCTTTGAAAACTCAGTCTCCTTTCACTGCCTCACATTCTTCATTTTGCTCTGGATGCTAAAAAATAATTTTACTACATTTCCAGTGTCCTCTCAGGTGTTCTGATGTTTAGAACATACCAATAACTGTTTTATTTTTTCCAAATCAGGGCTGAAATACCCAAAGCCACCCCAATCTTTGCTTTCCATGAATCAAGGAAACATTTTAAAAGATCAAATTCTCATTAAAATGTAAAATTCTTCGGTCCATTTTAATAACTTTCGATTCTAATTCGTTACATTAACTAATTTTGGTTCCAACCTGTAGAACCCGCGAAACAGGTCGTATGACAAAGAGAAAAGTTTGCACAATCACGTCACGCAATACATCAAGTTGGTTTTGTCCAATTGATTTTGATGGTCGCTGGGAAATGTCGAGTTTGTCGCTCAAAACCGTTGTGGTTCAAAAGAGCGTAACATCATTAATAACGGAAACAAATTTGCAGAAAGGAGGGCTAGTTCATCGGGTTCCGTGTACTAAATCTCGGGAGAAACTGCAAGAATTGTTTCAGAGTGTTCAGTGTGAATGGAAACACTGTAACCCATTTTAACTTGTTTTTGTGTCGTTTTAAGCGACGCGATGTCTGTTATGACCAGTTGATCTTCTTCACACTGTGCGTAGTTCATGACCTGATATTTCAACGTAAATTATCGAGAAGACGCCTTCCCGATCACCTTTGTCTAATTTGTAAGTCACGCAAGCGCGCAAGCGTTACGGCCGATCACATTTACGCAACGTTTTAGGACAACTCGGCATCTATTCTCCATTCAGTTGCTATGAAAACCTAAAATCCTCAACGTAGAAGATAAACGAACGAAGTTTGAACGGTCAAAAGGAGATCTTGGTCAATTTTCAGAATCGTGCAAATGATCTTTGACACGAGCGCGATTAAGCAAACACATGGATTTGCGTTGTTTTTAAGATGTTGGTGGATGGAAGCTAGAGATATACCCGCGGGTTTGAGGCAATCCGTGACCTCATTGGTGTATAAACTACGCACTGATATGCTTTTTCAGTCCGATCAACGCCTGCATTTTGAGAATTCTTTCGTACAAAGTAGTGAATTTTTGATATGCAAATTAAGGTCGAAGAGAAGGGTCTCCTCTGATCACGCTGGTATGAAAAATATTTCAGCTGAAGTTTTCATATTTTGTCTGTGAACTAACTGAATGCATCTTGTAATTTGTAGAAAGATAGAATTCCGTGCGCTACATTATTGCAGTCGCTGCGCGCTGGACAAAATCTTTGAAATTTACACTTTCGATCGCTATCCACAGGGGTGGTCTGGCCAAAAATCATTTTCGACTTGTGGCGACGCAAAAAAAGAGAATTGGAGAACAACTAAACTATTTTTGAAACATGTGTCCTAAACCCTTTTCATGGGTAAAAAAGTAAAAGAAAAATTTTTTCCGACGGGAAGTCGAGAGAACCGCTCCTAGCGAGAGAGGCACTTAAGTAGGTTTTCTTTCGCCATCACAGCTGAAAAACAGCTTAACGAAAACACTGTAAAAAGCACTGCTTTTTGGTTGTCGGTTTGGAAAAAGTGGTGTTTAGAGAAGGGAATTGCCAAGGAAATCGAAAATTACGAGCCGACCCAGCTTAACACTTTGCTCGAGCGATCCAACGCCGAAATTAAAAACAAACATGGTTAAACCTCGGAAACGACGATTCCATTTCATCGAAAGTGATTCGGACACAAACTGAACAATTCCTTGAACTGTTTAGCCGGACTTTGAACTTTTCTGCACCTTAAAATATGTGAAGATATCATTGCATATTATTGTTTTGATCGTACGCGGTTGTTTTGACCAAACGCACGGTTTGAATAAGTTATTTTTTGCACTTGATGCGCGCGCTTTGCTTATGTTTAATTATGATAAGCCATCTCGTATTTATCCATGTATATTATTAACACGTAATCACATGATTTTTCTCGTGCAATTTGGAATAAACAAGCACTTGTTAATTTTTTCAAAGACCACAAATTGCACTCGCCCTACGGGCTCGTACAATTTTGTTAGTCTTTAAAAAAATTTACTCGTGCTTATTTATTCCAAATTGCACTCGAAATCATGTGGTTACCTATACAAACAGAAGGCAGTCACTCTTAATTTGTTTACCTCATCATCCAGTCCCTAAACTTTTCACTGAAGTGTTTTCACCTCTTTTGAAAGCTGAGAAAGGCTGGCTTTCTCTCGAGCGAACTCCTCCTGCAAGTTTTTCTTTGCCTTCGTGTATTGCCCGACAGCAAAGCGGTTATATTGCTTTCGCTTGAGAGGCATATCACTAGTGTTGAAGGTTCAGAAAGTAAGTCTTGATCATTTGAGTACCGGTCTCTTCGTGCCAGAGTCTGACACAAACCACTCATAAAAAAAAGCAATATTTCTGAAAAAGTAAAGCGAAATACCCAAAACGAAAAACATACGTTTCTTACCGAAGGTTTGTAGTTTCCATTTTCGCAACACTTGATGCTATGTTCAGAAGAACGAAAAAGCCTTTTGAAGCTGAAGTTAGCCATTTCCAGATCAGTTCCTCACTGCACCATGATGGGGCGAAAGCGAAGACGAAGGAAAATTCACACATTTAACTTTTGCCGTTGAATTTAGTATCAAAATAAAACTCGTTCTTCGTATTTTTGCAGCATACTACTTTTAATTCATTCCGCGCTTTCCCAGACAGCAACGCGAGCTCTTTATCAATATCAATCAATAGTTTAATAAAAGGGAATATCGGTGACTAGACTATTTGTTTACAAAACAAACAGCTGCAGTCATACGATGAGGACAACTGTATGTCTTGCAAATTTTTCCCTTTCTATATTTAGGAAAAATTTGCAAGACATACAGTTGTCCTCATCGTATGACTGCAGCTGTTTGTTTTGTAAACAAATAGTCTAGTCACCGATATTCCCTTTTATTAAATTATTGATTACTTTAATAGCAATTATTCATTCTAGATAATTAATTTTTATTTCTTACCTATTACTTATTACTTATACATGTAAATTATGTCAAATTTTTATGGCACATTTGCATTTAAACGAGCTATTCGCTCATATGCGATATGTGGTTAAATAAAGTTACTTACTTACTTACTTACTTATACACCGTTCCAAACTAGTTCCCAGGGCTATCAGTTATGACAACGGCCAGACCACCATCGGCGACATAGCACGACCAAAAATTGCCGACAGCTGACCCGTGGTATTTAGATACTCGAGTAGAACTGACAATACTTGCATATCAGAGCTTTAGGAACTTTGTGACGAATTCTTCCACGAGCATTTAACGCCAACATTACCCGCTTTTGCGATCGTTTGCTGGTTTATATTTGCTTCCGGGTCAGCATAAAACTGAGCGAGAAAGCATGACGACCCGTCGATTCTTCCGCTTCATTGTCTTCGTAAAAGTTCATTTCTGCTTTCGATTTCGAAAAAGATTGAAGGTCATACTCTCCGCTTTAATGCTCTGTTCAATCTGCTTTTATATCTTCAGTACGTGGTACCATTCACAAACGTATGATGCTGTTCCGAATGTTGCGGTAAAAAATGATGCAGTAACCACTACAAACGGCACACCACGTGTCATCGCAGCTGTGGGTGCTCTAAATATTCACGTATGGCGAGAGGTTTGTGGCTCAAGCATCCAAAATCTGCGTCGATATTTGCTTTTTCCGCATTATCCTGACGAAATGTTCATGAAGTTCAATATGCTTAAGTTTCAAATTATCGACAATACCATCGATTATGGCCAACGGATTTTTGGCTTCCTCCATCCTCCTCACAGCGACGAGTACAACTTCGCCATAGCCTCTGATGACGAGTCAGAGTTATGGCTCAGTCCTAACGATGATCTGAAGGAGAAACAGTTAATTGCGCGTGTTTTTAAAGAAGGAGTAAGTGCGTGGACGAAAAAGGATGAACTTCATAAATATCCCGGACAAATCTCAGAACATCTAATGCTCTCTGGAGACAGAAAATACTGCATAGAAGTTGTGCATAAGCAAGGAGCGGCTCTTGGCTTTGTACAAGTTTATTGGAAGCGTCGCAATGATACCGATTTCTACCTTATCAGTTCAGAGTACTTATCGTCCCATGCAAACGATGTTATGATTACCAAAGCAAAAGATGTTTTGCATAGTTTGCTTTCGGAGAGCTATCGTCAAGATCTTGAGCTGAAATCTAAATCAACAGATCAAAAACGCTTACAATTTCCATCACTTCCGTTGCTCCCAAAAGATAGTTATCTTCCCTTGTGTGATTTCCAGTCCGGCTCTTTGTCAAACGGAGGAAAAGTGTATCGTTATCAAGGCCGCAAAGTGGTGCAGTTATCCAGCGTCTACCCTACTGATGATAGCAGTGCACTGACTGATAAAAATTTGCGGAACTGGCCTAACAAAATTGCTGACAGGGAAACAATTCATGCAGTCACGGATGAGATAATTACGTCGCTAAACCACAAAACCTCAAAGTAAGTTGACCTAAAAATTAAACTATCAACAATATGTCAAATGCCAAAACATTCGTGAACTAATGCGGATGCGCTACGTAACGATTAAAGTCTATTAGGAAGAAAAACGGTGTAAAAATGGGCCACGATTCGCACGGATTGCAAATGACGAACAGCCCTCACAAAGACCCACAAACCGTGACTAGCGTCTTTCAAAACTCATGCTTAGTGGAATGCAATTATCGTCATTCTTCTGCTATTAATCATGTTTGTAGACCATTACTATGATACGCTATGCTGAAATGTCAGCAAAGTAATATATTTTGCTGGGTAACCATTCGGGCTGAGTTTGGAACTAATGCTTTAAGGCCAGAGCCAATCACATGTATCAAAGAGGTGTGTGTATGTCATTCATTAACTGGCTTAATTTCGATTTCCCAAGTTACTCCCTCCATCTTGGGAGAGGAAAAAAATTCTTGGAAACCAAGGTTGTTTTAGAGATACACATTACATCCAATGACGTCCATTACACTATCAAACTGATATAATTCTTTGATCTACTTCCAGGAAATATTTTCTGAAGAGAATTCACAAGGTTTTAAACATCCCAGATCCAGTTCATGGCGATCTTTATTCTGTAGATCTTGAACTCGGTTTACAAGACGTCAATCAATCATTTCGTTTATCAGAGCATGTTTTTGGTAAGGATGCCAACCACAACTTGTGTTTTCCTCGAGGTATGAGCTGGAACAATAAAGCTAAGGTGTATTTTATTCTCTCTGTCAAGGAACAAGGAAGATGGGTGTATCATTTTATTAACGAAATCACAATAGCCAGCTCTTTAACGGGCGATACGAACTTTCATGTCATTGTTGTTGACTTTGAAAGCGAGGATATTGACATGACAAAGGCATTTAACACCACTCTTCTTCAAAACAAACACACGATTATTCCATTAAAAGGGAAATTTTACAAGACGCTGGCTTTGAACAAAGCTGTTGAGCATATTCCAAGTATACATGACATTTTGTTTCTGTTTGATCTCCATATCGACGTTCCGCAGGACATATTGGACAGCGTTCGTAAAGTGAGTTTCTATCTTTGATTTGAGTAATGATTATTTACTCGTTAATCTATATATTTGTTTAGTATTTATGTTATAGATCAATCTAGCGAGCTTTATTGTGTCGTGCGGATATCCATTGTAGTGCTATGAACTGACACTAGTAAACCTTTATACGGGACGCTTGCCTTTAGATTGGTCTGCCATTTGATGCTTGATTACAAGCAGTCCCTGCTTTTCAGCGAAGTCCGTCGTGCGAGTAAAAAAAATTAGTAAAAAAAAATTAGTTAGAGCGCCCGAGAGAACCCTAGGAGTTCGTGAGCTTCACTCCAAGGTTCCGCGTGGCGCGCTATCGTATTGTGCGCTGATGTTTTAACTCGCGCGGCGGACGTCGCCGAAAGGGAGGGACTGCTCTAGTCTATCTGATGTAAGCACAGTTCACCAATCTTTTTTTATTTACATTGATTTAATCATAATTTGTTTCTACGGTCCTCATTTCTAGCTTTCATAATAATTCTTTGTCTTGCAGAACACCGTCGAAGGACATCTTGTTTACGCTCCCATTGTAGGCCGGTTACATTGTGGCAGTACGTATGTAGATCATAAAGGTTATTGGGAAATGGAAGGATTTGGCTTAATGAGCATTTATAAATCAGACTGGGAGAGGTTCAGAGGTAAAAAAAAACATCAGTTTTCAGTTGACGCTTCTTTAAAAAATACTGATTATAATTTCATCAGTTCCTAGAACTGACATGCAATATGCACAATTTAACTACTCGATTTTCATTCAGTTGCATAGCAAAAAATACAACTACCTTAAACTTAGCTCTAAAAAAAATTGAAAGTCAGTAATCTCTAAAAGGTTACATTTAAAATTGTGAATATCTGTAGTTAACGGAAATGGTAAACGGAAACCTCCGAAATCTTATGTAGGCATATGTACTCTCTATAGGAATGAACACCGAGGACTACAAATACAAATGGGGCGGAGAGGACTGGGACTTACTCGACCGTGTTATCAATGCTGAGTTAAAAGTTGTTCGAATAAAGCACCCGGGTCTATACCATCATTATCATACAAAACACAAATCTTGGAATTAACATACGCCGTGCAAGTTACTCCAATAACTAACTCCCGTTCTGTCAACCCTTATGAAAGCACATGTTCAATATGCTTGAAAGCGTGCCGTGCGGGAGCCAAGGAAACTGGGTCTACTACACGAGATCGAAGCTTGCCAGGGGACTCCCCAGAGTAAGAAAGAAAACAATGGTAGGAGGCCCTTTTTTCCTTTGAACCGCATCTAGGAGGAGCACCGATGGTGTCGCTGTGAGTCAAGAAGTAAAAATCCAAACAACATAAAAACTATGCCAAATGGTAGGGCATCCGGCTTTTCACTAAAATGATATTCAGGATGTAGATTATAAAGAGATACTTAGAATGTTTATGTCTTATTTGGACCATTTGAGGGCTACCAACACAGAACTGAAGTTATCTCTACCAAAACAAAGTCCTTGTAAAACTCCACATTTTAGTTATTGACTCTTCCGTTAACCTGACTCAATTGCATTGTGATCAGCTAGTTTTTGTCATCCGATAATACAACTTCAAGGGTAACTTCACTTAATAGGTTGCAAATATTTTTTAGTACGATTCTTAACGATGTAATTGCAATAATGTGAACTAAACACACAAGCTACTGCATCTTGACCTCGAAATTAAATCTGTTGAGATGAAAAGCTCCTATCAGTCCTGCTATATGATATCATTGCTGTTGACAAGGGATGTCAGAGAGTTCGTACAACAAATGTGGATCTTGGTCAATTCTAGCTAAGAGAAAAACATTTGCGAAACCGTCGGATTCCGCGCACCGATGAAATCCGAAAGTTTGAGATTCGACTCCGCCTGGAGAATCAGAACTTATCATTCGTCCCACGCTCATGACAAGACAAAAGATATCACTTTCTCTACATCTTAACCGTTCTCAAAATCTATTATCTCTCTTATTCTATTTACACATAATTTTACCCACTTTCAAACACCACATTTGAGCGCAAAGATCGCTGCTTCTGAATGTGTAATGGTATTTAATTTCGATTAACACCTAAATCCCAGCAAGTTACTGTGACCGTTTGCTGATGCTCATTTAAAATCCTGAATGGAAAGAGGCGTCAAAAATTGAAAGTAAATCGCCTTTATATTAGCCTACAATGCAGGCGTCTTGTTGGGGCGAGTTAACGTTACAAGCTCACGATCGTTTATTTGAGGTGAAGACCGGGGAAAAGTGAGAACTTATATTGCCCTACCCGTCCAATGTTTTGACCGTCGTTCACCCCCTAGGACAATTTTAATTCTCTCCCATTCTTTCCCTGCACTCGCTCTCACACTCACTCGTCAAACTTACGCCATATCAACGAGCCACTTGTTCTGTTGCATGAAGAAAAAAGCAATCACTCCTTACCTTCAGCTAAACAGTGCGGGTATTACAAATCAACAATTAGATCAGGAGCTGTTCAGTTGCAGTTTCTTTCTCTCTGTTCAAAGTTACAGGCTGGGAAAAAAAGAATAAATGAATAAATGATTAAATAAATGAACTAAGCCAGGATAAAAGTAAAATAATTCCCTTTTACTGTTCCCCCTGCATTTTGCGAATGCTTGGGTAGAACGCAGCTATGAAAATGATAACGGTCGAAGAAGAAGCGTTGTAAAAGCTTTTAAGTTTTACTCAGAAATAAAGATTTGAAGAGACAAAAATTGCTGACTTCCTTCGCAATAAAAACTTGCAGATCAAGTTTCTCGGTCGGGGCTGAACGCAGAATCATGTGAACCGGAGATATCGATTTTTTTCAGAAATCGCCGACAGTACTTTATAATTCTATTTTCAAAAATAGTTAAGTTGTTCTCCAATTCTCTTTTTTTGCGTCGCCACAAGTCAAAAATGATTTTTGGCCAGACCACCCCTGTGGATAGCAATCGAAAGTGTAAATTTCAAAGATTTTGTATATGTATATTTTGTAAAAGCATATCAGTGCGTAGTTTATACACCAATGAGGTCACGGATTGCCTCAAACCCGCGGGTATATCTCTAGCTTCCAATCCACCAACATCTTAAAAACAACGCAAATCCATGTGTTTGCTTAATCGCGCTCGTGTCAAAGATCAATTGCATGATTCTGAAAATTGACCAAGATTCCCTTTTGACTGTTCAAACTTCGTTCGTGCGAAGTTGTCCTGTAAACGTCGCGTAAACGTGATCGGTCGTAACGCTTGCGCACTTGCGTGACTAACAAGGTAAACAAAGGTGATTAGAAAGCGCTTTCTCGGTAATTTACGTTAAAATATCAGGTCATGAACTACGCACAGTGCGGAGAAGATTAAAATTAAAGAACAAAACTTGGCACTTTGGTCATAACAGACATATCGCGTTGCTTAAAAGGACACAAAAACAAGTTAAAATAGGTTACATTGTCTATATTTACAAAACAAAAGTCATGCACTCTGAGATAATTCTTGCAGTTTCTCCCGAGATTTTGTTCACGGAACCCGATGAACTAACCCTCCTTTCCGCAGATTTGTTTCCATCACTGATGATGTTACGCTCTTATGGACCACAACGGTTTTGAGCGACAAACTCGACATTTCCTTGCCACCATCAAAATCAACTTGACAAACCCGGCTTGACATATTGCGTGACGTGATTGTGCAAATTTTTCCCCTTGCCATATGGCGAGTTCTACTAATTGAAACCAAAATTAGTTCGTGCAACGAATTAGAATCGAAAGTTATTAAAATGGACTGAAGAATTTTACATTTTAATGAGAATTTTAACTTCTAAAAAGGTTTACTTGATTCATGGAAGGTAAAGATTGGAGTGGCTTTGGGTATTTCAGCCCTGATTTCTCTCCTGGAATGCCGGTGTCCCAGCGGATTTGGACCCCCTAGATTTGGACCCCCCGGTCCAAATCCGTTAGCGGATATGGAACCCCCTCCACGGATTTGGACCCCTCAACAAAACTGAGTGAAAACATCATCCTTAACGTTCTAGTAAAAATGGATGACACTTTACGTTCCAGAGCGTACTAAAGTATGTTTTCAATTCAAAACATGCTTATCGTTAATGCATACGAACTGGCATCACGTCGGATGTTTCTTTTGACCAAGGGAAAACGAGCAAGAATTTAGTTCAATGTCTGGAGAGAGGTCGTTTTTGAACCTTTTTTGCGATAGTCGAACACCGTTAGATTCAATAAGAAACAAACTTGTGACACTAATTTATTTTGTCATTGTTCAATGCCCGAGTGTTGGGACGACATGGTACAGTGCTAGGGATTTAAGACTGCCTCGGAGGACGAATGGCTCTGCATTGTCTGCAGATTGCCAGACTCTAGACGTCTTCGTAATTGTTAAGGTGTTATTTCGGATCCCTCAACAGTTAATAATCGTTAAAATTAGAAAATAAGATTGAGTTCGATGTAATAGTCTCCACTTTTGTTAAGACGTTGACATTAACGTTGATTTGCATCTGAGAATAAGCTGAGAGTTCCAATAGTTCAGAATAGAAACATTTTTACTTATCATAGGCTTTACGAACGACATGTAATACGAGTAGTTTCTTCGTTCTTGTTCAAAAACTGTTTAATGTTATTATTTTAGAAAATCAGACTGAGTTATTTTTGTGACTGGACGCAAGTCTCCACTATTGTTATGACGTTTCGTACCAATGTTGATTCGCATCAGAAGAAGCAAAGATTTATTGTAACAATTTCAATAGTTCGAATGCAGTAGTTTGTTCACATCTAATTCTCGCGTATACTGTTCGACTCGCTATAATGAATGCGGTAGAATTGGAACGAAATGGCTGTTGTTGTTTTTTTTTACCTTTCTTGAGGAAATGTTGTGTTGTGATTGAAAAGAACATCGACAAAAAAGCTTGCAAATAGAATTTGTTACCAAATATGATACAAAGGATTCTTAAAAGGAAAGTTTGGTAGGGGGGTCCAAATCTGCGAAGGGGGTCCATATCCGCTAGCGGATTTGGACCGGGGGGGGTCTAAATCCGCTGTGACACCGGGACGACGTATCGAGTCACTGTGAAGTACTACGAGCTATCCAGCGAAATCCTCGAGTACAAGTTCACGATGTGGAAAAAATACAACAGTTATCGGTTTGTTCGAAACATCCGAACACTTTAAGAAACATTGGAAATGCGGTGAAAGTACTCGTTAACAGCCACAGCACAAGGGAAAATTTGAGGCAGTAAAAGGAAGCCAGACTGACTGGAGATCTTTTCGAAGTTTTCGGAATTAAAGTTGTAGTCGGATCACATGGGTAATATATTTGTAATTTCTCGAGAGTGAAGGCTATTATTTTACTAAAAATTGATTCGTAAGTGCCTATCTGGACTATCTGCACTAGCAGACAAAACCAGAATTCTCTTGACAAAATCAAAGGACAAATTGTGTTACGACGAGTTTTTGTCTTAATTTTTGTATCCGCTTAAAATTTCAAAAAATCCACGAGTTTCGCGACAAAAGAAAGTTAATGCCTTCCAGGCAAATTTTAGGGAGTTCAATAACGAGCTGGTGGCAGCTTTTACGACAAATGGCTCTGAAAACTCAGTCTCCTTTCACTGCCTCACATTCTTCATTTTGCTCTGGATGCTAAAAAATAATTTTACTACATTTCCAGTGTCCTCTCAGGTGTTCTGATGTTTAGAACATACCAATAACTGTTTTATTTTTTCCAAATCAGGGCTGAAATACCCAAAGCCACTCCAATCTTTGCTTTCCATGAATCAAGGAAACATTTTAAAAGATCAAATTCTCATTAAAATGTAAAATTCTTCGGTCCATTTTAATAACTTTCGATTCTAATACGTTACATTAACTAATTTTGGTTCCAACTTGTAGAACCCGCGAAACAGGTCCTATGACAAAGAGAAAAGTTTGCACAATCACGTCACGCAATACATCAAGTTGGTTTTGTCCAATTGATTTTGATGGTCGCTGGGAAATGTCGAGTTTGTCGCTCAAAACCGTTGTGGTTCAAAAGAGCGTAACATCATTAATAACGGAAACAAATTTGCAGAAAGGAGGGCTAGTTCATCGGGTTCCGTGTACTAAATCTCGGGAGAAACTGCAAGAATTGTTTCAGAGTGTTCAGTGTGAATGGAAACACTGTAACCCATTTTAACTTGTTTTTGTGTCGTTTTAAGCGACGCGATGTCTGTTATGACCAGAGTGCCAAATTTTATTCTTTAATTTTGATCTTCTTCACACTGTGCGTAGTTCATGACCTGATATTTCAACGTAAATTATCGAGAAGACGCCTTCCGATCACCTTTGTTTAATTTGTAAGTCACGCAAGCGCGCAAGCGTTACGGCCGATCACATTTACGCAACGTTTTAGGACAACTCGGCATCTATTCTCCATTCAGTTGCTATGAAAACCTAAAATCCTCAACGTAGGAGATAAACGAACGAAGTTTGAACGGTCAAAAGGAGATCTTGGTCAATTTTCAGAATCGTGCAAATGATCTTTGACACGAGCGTGATTAAGCAAACACATGGATTTGCGTTGTTTTTAAGATGTTGGTGAATGGAAGCTAGAGATATACCCGCGGGTTTGAGGCAATCCGTGACCTCATTGGTGTATAAACTACGCACTGATATGCTTTTTCAGTCCGATCAACGCCTGCATTTTGAGAATTCTTTCGTACAAAGTAGTGAATTTTTGATATGCAAATTAAGGTCGAAGAGAAGGGTCTCCTCTGATCACGCTGGTATGAAAAATATTTCAGCTGAAGTTTTCATATTTTGTCTGTGAACTAACTGAATACATCTTGTAATTTGTAGAAAGATAGAATTCCGTGCGCTACATTGTTGCAGTCGCTGCGCGCTAGACAAAATCTTTGAAATTTACACTTTCGATCGCTATCCACAGGGGTGGTCTGGCCAAAAATCATTTTCGACTTGTGGCGACGCAAAAAAAGAGAATTGGATAACAACTAAACTATTTTTGAAACATGTGTCCTAAACCCTTTTCATGGGCAAAAAATAAAAGAAAACTTTTTTCCGACGGGAAGTCGAGAGAACCGCTCCTAGCGAGAGAGGCACTTAAGTAGGTTTTCTTTCGCCATCACAGCTGAAAAACAGCTTAAACAACGAAAACACTGTAAAAAGCACTGCTTTTTGGTTGTCGGTTTGGAAAAAGTGGTGTTTAGAGAAGGGAATTGCCAAGGAAATCGAAAATTACGAGCCGACCCACCTTAACACTTTGCTCGAGCGATCCAACGCCGAAATTAAAAACAAACATGGTTAAACCTCGGAAACGACGATTCCATTTCATCGAAAGTGATTCGGACACAGACTGAACAATTCCTTGAACTGTTTAGCCGGACTTTGAACTTTCTTGCACCTTAAATATGTGAAGATATCATTGCATATTATTGTTTTGATCGTACGCGGTTGTTTTGACCAAACGCACGGTTTGAATAAGTTATTTTTTGCACTTGATGTGCGCGCTTTGCTTATGTTTAATTATGATAAGCCATCTCGTATTTTTCCATGTATATTATTAACACGTAATCACATGATTTTTCTCGCGCAATTTGGAATAAACAAGCACTTGTTAATTTTTTCAAAGACCACAAATTGCACTCGCCCTACGGGCTCGTACAATTTTGTTAGTCTTTAAAAAAATTTACTCGTGCTTATTTATTGCACTCGAAATCATGTGATTACCTATACAAACAGAAGGCAGTCACTCTTAATTTGTTTACCTCATCATCCAGTCCCTAAACTTTTCACTGAAGTGTTTTCACCTCTTTTGAAAGCTGAGAAAGGCTGGCTTTCTCTCGAGCGAACTCCTCCTGCAAGTTTTTTTTTGCCTTCGTTTATTGCCCGACAGCAAAGCGGTTATATTGCTTTCGCTTGAGAGGCATATCACTAGTGTTGAAGGTTCAGAAAGTAAGTCTTAATCATTTGAGTACCGGTCTCTTCGTGCCAGAGTCTGACACAAACCACTCATAAAAAAAAGCAATATTTCTGAAAAAGTAAAGCGAAATACCCAAAACGAAAAACATACGTTTCTTACCGAAGGTTTGTAGTTTCCATTTTCGCAACACTTGATGCTATGTTCAGAAGAACGAAAAAGCCTTTTGAAGCTGAAGTTAGCCATTTCCAGATCAGTTCCTCACGGCACCATAATGGGGCGAAAGCGAAGACGAAGGAAAATTCACACATTTAACTTTTGCCGTTAGTTTTGTCCTTTAAGACGCGAGAGAGCAAGATAGTGAGTCTGAGTCCAGTAAGCTTCTTTGAACACAAACTTTAATTACTTGAGAGGCAGGTTACCTTTAGAGCTAACGAAACAACAACAACGCGATAGCGACTCTCTTATTATAAAAAATGTTTTTGTCGTGTAACCCGAGAACTGACACGTGAGTAGTCCGAAGTGATTACATAACCAGTCCAGAAAGTTACATAACAGTTGAGAGTTACATAAAAATAGAAAAAAGCAAACGTTGATGTCCGGAAGGTTTTTTGCATATCATAACATCTTTCCCTTTTTCCTATTTTTCTTTTTTTTTTTTAACTATAACTCAATGTCAAACTTTTTAGGTGGCTTGATCAATCGTCCATGTCGTGTCCGTATTTCAGTTGTAGTAGCTTCGTGAGGTGGTCTTGCACTCAGCTCTTTTTGAGGTGTTGGGGGTAGTTGAGATCTTGGAGGGGACATGGATGTTCCTACTTGAGAACTTGCTGGAGGGGGTTGGTCCTGTTCCTGCAGATTGTCTGGAATGGTCAGGTCATCTTCGTCCATTTTGAAGGGGGTTTCTTGAAGTGGTTCCATGGTAGAACGCAACTGCTTGCGATTACGCCTGTAGAATCTACCATTGACTTCAACCTTGTAACTGCGAGATGCCACTTTAGAAGAAACAACTGCTTTTGACCACTTTGTTTCTCCAGGCATCTTCATGCGCACTATGTCACCTGATTTGAGTTCTGAGAGTTGTTTAGCATGTTGGTCGAAATGTTTCGCTTGCTTGACACGATCCCTTTTGAGAAGATCACTAACTGTTTGGTCAGTCTTGAGTAAAGACTCTGAGAAGGGTAGAAGTGTCTTAGTTCGGCGACCAAAAAGTCGTTGGCATGGAGACATACCTGTCGCAGCAGTGGGGGTGTTGTGGTGATCCAATAAACCAAGATATGGATCGGATTGAGACAGAAGAGCTTTCTTCATTAAAGTCTTGCAGGTTTTGACTGCGCTTTCGGCCATCCCATTAGCTTGTGGATAGTGTGGTGAGGTGGTGATATGAGTGAACTTCCACGTTACTGCAAATCTTCGGAACTCTGAGGATGAGTACTGAGGACCGTTGTCAGAAACTACGTAATCGGGTACCCCATGTCGCGAAAAATGCATCTTCAGCTTGTGAACGACTGTCTGGGACGTAGTATCGGCAAGATGATCCAGCTCGATAAAGTTGCTGTAGTAATCAACTAATACGAGGTAGTTTCGGTTCTCGAAGGTAAACAAATCTGTTCCAACTCGTTGCCATGGCCTGTCAGGAACTGGGTGAGGCTGAAGAGGTTCACTGGCTTGTTCAGGTCTCACACTTTGGCATATAGAGCATTTATCAATACGATTCTTGAGTTGTGCAGACATTCCGGGCCAGAAGAAAACCTCTCTGGCCCTTCGAAGGCATGCTTGGAGTCCCTGATGGGACTTGTGTGTTTCATCTATCATGTCACGGCGAAGGCTCTCTGGGACAACGATCTTCGTTCCTTTGAAAACTAGGCCATTTTGGAGCGTCATTTCATCTCGGTATTTGAAGAAAAGCTGTGCGCTTGTAGGTACCATGGAAGTTTTTGTAGGCCAGCCAGCGCGTATAACTTGTGACAACGCTAGTAAAGATTCATCCTTGGCCGTTTCCACTTGAAACTTGGCAAGTGTCGACTCTGATATCGATAAGTCTTCAACAAAGTTGACAGTTTCTAGATCTTTATAGCAGGATGAGGTGCTAGCATTTGGTACCTTTGACTGCTTAGGTAGAACGCGAGAAAGTGCGTCAGCGATGTACATCTCTTTGCCTGGCTTGTAAGTGAGATTCAGGTCAAATCTTTGAAGACGTAGCATCATACGCTGTAATCTCTTAGAAGCTGTATTGATTGGCTTCTTCTGTATAGCAATCAGTGGCTTGTGATCTGTTTCGACTGTGACGTGCTTGCCATAAATGTAATGCTCGAAGTGCTCACAAGAGAATACAACAGCTAAGAGCTCCTTCTCAATCTGTGCGTAATTTTGCTCTGTCGACGTCAGTGCCCTGTTGGCGTAGTGAACTGGCTGTCCTTCCTGAAGTAGAGTTGCGCCAATGCCATACTGTGAGGCATCGCACTGTATAGTGACATTCTTACTCACGTCAAAGTACTGTAGGACTGGGGCTTTAGTGATGAGCTCTTTTATCTCCTTGAAGGCTTTATCTTGGGGGTGTTGCCAATGCCATTCTATTTCCTTCTTTTCCAACTGTCTTAAGGGCTGTGATGCTGTAGACAGATGTTGGCAGAATTTCGCCAGATACTGCACCATTCCCAGAAACGTTCTGAGTTCAGCGAGATTGGTAGGCACTGGATAGTCCACTATAGCTTGTACCTTTGACGGGTCAGGTTTTAGACCTTCCGCTGTAAGGAGGTGTCCTATGAAAGGAACTTGTGACTGTCGAAGTTTCAACTTCTCGCTGTTGAGAGTGAGGTTTCTTTCTCTTGCGCGACTGAGGAAAGCCTTGAGATTCTGATCATGGTTGGCAATTGCAGCTTCATTAGAGTCTCCAAAACCGCAAACTAGGAAATCATCGGCGATGACTTCAACACCTGCGAGTCCTTCTACTAGCTCGTGCATTCGTTGTTGCCATACTTCTGGGGCTGAGTTTATTCCGAATGGCATTCTGAGCTATCGATAGCGACCAAAAGGTGTGTTCATGGTTGTCAAGTAACTACTCTTTTCATCAAGTTGTACCTGCCAGAATCCACATTTGGCATCTAACACGCTAAAGACTTTAGCACCACTAAGGCGAGTTGCTACTTCCTCAATAGTTGGAAGTGGATAATGCGAGCGTTTCACTGCGCGGTTGAGATCTCGAGGATCCAGACATACTCGTATTTTCCCGTTAGATTTCTTCACTATGACAAGGCTAGAGACCCATGATGTCGGTTCAACTACCTTGGCGAGGATACCACTCTTCACCATGTTATCCAGCTCTAACTTGATGGTATCTCGAAGTGGGACTGGCACTTTACGAGGGGGATGTACCACCGGGCGGAAACCTTCGTCCACTTGAATGGAGTAGGTTCCTTCAAGGCAGCCAATTCCAGTGAAGATATCGGTAAATTCATATAGGATAGGATCACTTCTAACATTTGACGAGACGTCAATTCTTTCGTCGTGAATCGCATTTACGTCAGCATCCAAGATTTTGACCAGGTTCATCTTTTCACACGTCGTTCGACAGAGGAGGGGTGTCAAATCTTGCTTCACAATGTGATAAAGAACTCCATATTTTCTTCCTTTCCGTTCAGTAAGTAGGCGGATTTGACCAAGTGGCCAGACTACAGTCTTGTTGTGCATGATGAGCCTTGTAAACGACTGTTCAAGGTTTGTACACTGTTTGTCTCCTGTAGCCCGGATGTAGGCACTTTTGGGGAGAATATTACATGAAGCACCTGTATCAATCTGAAGTTGTACTTGGGCATTATTGTTAAGGCACGCCGTTACATAAGCTGATGTGGGGGAGGGTTTGTGGCTGTAGATTTCACAATCTTGTACGTGATTGACAGAGCGAGAGTGGCATTTTTTTGCAAAGTGTCCGTCTCTGCCACATTTGGTGCATTTCTTGCCAACTGCTGGACAAGCTGACTTTTTCATCTCGTGAACAGTACCACAAAACTTGCATTCTCGTGTGTATACATTGTCGGGGTTACCAGAACTTTTTTCTCTTGACTTCCACGGAGGAGTCCGCTTCTTACCTGAAGTGTGTTTATGCGGTGTTGTATCCTCAGTCTGGGTCTTAGGCGGTTTCGTTTTCTTGGCTTTTACCCTATTCACATTAGCTTCTTCAGTTGTCATGTCTAAAGCGCGTATATCAGTTAGCTCTTGTGTTCGCAGGATATCCAACGCGTTATCCAAAGTGAGATCTTTCTTCTCTAAAAGTTTCTTGCGTGACCGATCATTCTTGACTCCAAGGATGAGGCGGTCTCTTATCAAGCTGTCTCTTAGGGTTAGGAACCCACAGTGTTCAGAAAGGCGCATCAGTGCTGTGCAATATTGATCGACACTTTCTCCTGGTTCTTGCTCTCTCTTGTTGAAGAGATACCGTTCATACGTCTGATTTCGCTGCGGCAAACAACGAGATTCAAATTTAGCCAGGACGTCATCAATATTGTCAGCGCTTTCGTCTTCAGCGAAGGTAAAGGTGTCAAACAATTGGACTCCTTCTCTTCCAACGATGTTAAGAAAATGAGCAACACGGACTGGGCCGTCCTTTTGACTTATCCCAGCCGCCCGTTCATAGATTTGCCATGCTCTCTTAAAGTGTAACCAGTTATCGCCTCTACGTGACCTGTCTTCGAGATTAAGAGGATCTGGAGGTTTGGCTAGCGGTACTGTGGTGGTATAGATCGGTGCAGCAGCCGATGAACCAGAAGGTTGCTGACTAGCAGAGGTCGAGGTCATGACCAATATAAAATAAACTTCCACCAACAACAACAAAGCTCGTGAAACGTGACTCACCTCCTGACACCAAGTTTTGTCCTTTAAGACGCGAGAGAGCAAGATAGTGAGTCTGAGTCCAGTAAGCTTCTTTGAACACAAACTTTAATTACTTGAGAGGCAGGTTACCTTTAGAGCTAACGAAACAACAACAACGCGATAGCGACTCTCTTATTATAAAAAATGTTTTTGTCGTGTAACCCGAGAACTGACACGTGAGTAGTCCGAAGTGATTACATAACCAGGCCAGAAAGTTACATAACAGTTGAGAGTTACATAAAAATAGAAAAAAGCAAACGTTGATGTCCGGAAGGTTTTTTGCATATCATAACACCGTTGAATTTAGTATCAAAATAAAACTCGTTCTTCGTATTTTTGCAGCATACTACTTTCAATTCATTCCGCGCTTTCCCAGACAGCAACGCGAGCTCTTTATCAAAATCAATCAAAATTTTAATAAAAGGGAATATCGGTGACTAGACTATTTGTTTACAAAACAACCAGCTGCAGTCATACGATGAGGACAACTGTATGTCTTGCAAATTTTTCCCGTTCTATATTTAGGGCTATCAGTTATGACAACAGCCAGACCGCCATCTTTGGCGACATAGCGCGACCAAAAATTGCCGATAGCTGACCCGTGGTATTTACTCGAGTAGAATTGACAATATTTGCATATCGGAGCTTTAGGAACTTTGTGACGAATTCTTCCACGAGCATTTAACGCCAACATTACCCGCTTTTGCGATCGTTTGCTGGTTTATATTTGCTTCCGGGTCAGCATAAAACTGAGCGAGAAAGCATGACGACCCGTCGATTCTTCCGCTTCATTGTCTTCGTAAAAGTTAATTTCTGCTTTCGATTTCGAAAAAGATTGAAGGTCATACTCGCCGCTTTAATGCTCTGTTCAATCTGCTTTTATATCTTCAGTACGTTGTACCATTCACAAACGTATGACGCTGTTCATGTTGCGGTAAAAAATGATGCAGTGACCACTACAAACGGCACACCAAGTGTCATCGCAGCTGTGGGTACTCTAAATATTCACGTATGGCGAGAGGTTTGTGGCTCAAGCATCCAAAATCTGCGTCAATATTTGCTTTTTCCGCATTATCCTGACGAAATGGTCACGAAGCTCAATATGCTTAGGTTTCATATTACCGACAATACCATCGATTATGGCCAACGGATTTTTGGCTTCCTCCATCCTCCTCACAGCGACGAGTACAACTTCGCCATAGCCTCTGATGACGAGTCAGAGTTATGGCTCAGTCCTAACGATGATCTGAAGGAGAAACAGTTAATTGCACGTGTTTTTAAAGAAGGAGTAAGTGCGTGGACGAAAAAGGATGAACTTCATAAATATCCCGGACAAATCTCAGAACATCTAGTGCTCTCTGGAGACAGAAAATACTACATAGAAGTTGTGCATAAGCAAGGAGCGGCTCTTGGCTTTGTACAAGTTTATTGGAAGCGTCGCAATGATACCGATTTCTACCTTATCAGTTCAGAGTACTTATCGTCCCATGCAAACGATGTTATGATCACCAAAGCAAAAGATGTTTTGCATAGTTTGCTTTCGGAGAGCTATCGTCAAGATCTTGAGCTGAAATCTGAATCAACAGATCAAAAACGCTTACAATTTCCATCACTTCCGTTGCTCCCAAAAGATAGTTATCTTCCCTTGTGTGATTTCCAGTCCGGCTCTTTGTCAAACGGAGGAAAAGTGTATCGTTATCAAGGCCGCAAAGTGGTGCAGTTATCCAGCGTCTACCCTACTGATGATAGCAGTGCACTGACTGATAAAAATTTGCGGAACTGGCCTAACAAAATTGCTTACAGGGAAACAATTCATGCAGTCACGGATGAGATAATTACGTCGCTAAACCACAAAACCTCAAAGTAAGTTGATCTAAAAATTAAACTATCAACAAAATGGCAAATGCCAAAACATTCGTGAACTAATGCGGATGCGCTACGTAACGATTAAAGTCTATTAGGAGGAAAAACGGTGTAAAAATGGGCCACGATTCGCACGGATTGCAAATGACGAACAGCCCTCACAAAGACCCACAAACCGTGACTAGCGTCTTTCAAAACTCATGCTTAGTGGAATGCAATTATCGTCATTCTTCTGCTGTTAATCATGTTTGTAGACCATTATTATGATACGCTATGCTGAAATGTCAGCAAAGTAATATATTTTGCTGGGTAACCATTCGGGCTGAGTTTGGAACTAATGCTTCAAGGCCAGAGCCAATCACATGTATCAAAGAGGTGTGTGTATGTCATTAATTAACTGGCTTAATTTCGATTTCCCAAGTTACTCCCTCCATCTTGGGAGAGGAAAAAAATTCTTGGAAACCAAGGTTGTTTTAGAGATACACATTACATCCAATGACGTCCATTACACTATCAAACTGATATCATTCTTTGATCTACTTCCAGGAAATATTTTCTGAAGAGAATTCACAAGGTTTTAAACATCTCAGATCCAGTTCATGGCGATCTTTATTCTGTAGATCTTGAACTCGGTTTACAAGACGTCAATCAATCATTTCGTTTATCAGAGCATGTGTTTGGTAAGGATGCCAACCACAGCTTGTGTTTTCCTCGAGGTATTAGCTGGAACAATAAAGCTAAGGTGTACTTTATTCTCCCTGTCAAGGAACAAGGAAGATGGGTGTATCATTTTATTAACGAAATCACAATAGCCAGCTCTTTAACGGGCGATACGAACTTTCATGTCATTGTTGTTGACTTTGAAAGCGAGGATATTGACATGACAAAGGCATTTAACACCACTCTTCTTCAAAACAGACACACGATTATTCCATTGAAAGGGAAATTTTACAAGACGCTGGCTTTGAACAAGGCTGTTGAGCATATTCCAAGTACACATGACATTTTGTTTCTGTTTGATCTCCATATCGACGTTCCGCAGGACATATTGGACAGCGTTCGTAAGGTGAGTTTCTATCTTTGATTTGAGTAATGATTATTTACTCGTTAATCTATATATTTGTTTAGTATTTATGTTATAGATCAATCTCGCGAGCTTTATTGTGTCGTGCGGATATCCATTGGTGTGCTATGAACTAACACTAGTTATAGTTCTCACTAGAGCTGCCCCCGCCCTACAGTACCATTTTCTTTTGTTTTTTTTTTTGAGTTGGGCTTGCTGTTTACAGTTGTGTAATTTTTCTGTTATGCTGTTACGGAATTGCGGCTCAGTACTTTGGTTTTAGTAATTTTGGATCTCAAAATACTACAAGTGTACAAGATGTAGTTTTGGGAAGTGCTTGGTGTTTTTTTTTTTTGCTGTGTGGCTTAACTTAGAATTTGTTTGTTCTTCACGATCAAGAAGAAGCAGAATGTAGGGACTTGGGTGAGTTTTAACATTGGAATGTTATAGGTGGCATTGGAGAACAATTTATAGACAGCATTGAAGAACAATTTATTATTATATAGTTATTAGACACAAAATTATACCTTAAGAGGACAATTTTAAATATAATTTGTTTGAAAGGCATAGAAAAATTGGTTTGTTGAATAGAACGTTCTATTATTATAAACTGTAAAAACGATAAGTGGATGAATTGTAACTGGAACCAACAATATATTTTTATAATAATTGATCTTTTTTGATTGATTAGAGCTTTTTGTCAATATAACTATTGTGATGTGGTATCAAAATGGAAATAGAACTACATGTATGTACAATATATTTGGCTTATAAAAAGTGGAAAAAAGAGAAAAGCATGAAATTTGAACAAAACTATATATACAATATATTTTTCAAAATCTATTTTAAGTGACGATTGTGTTTTTAACTCTGATATTAAGTAAAGTTGTATGAATAAAATTTCAAACCGGAACAACATTGATATAAAAAATAATTAAAAATAAAGTATTTTTGTTTGAACTTTTGGAGTTATCCTTAAATGTCAAGATGGTACAGTGTCCAAATACGATGGTCACCAACATGAAACAATGTTTGGTTTTATTACTCATTTTTTGATTTTTCTTGCGTTGGTGGCTACAGTTGGTGATTTACTATCTCGCTGATAAATTTACCGTTTTTTGACAATGTGAAGTCAACATTTTCCAGCAACAGAAGTTTTTCTTTTAGTTCATCTATGTTGTTTCAGTATTGGAAAATGTCCTCGTTTAGGTAGACGCTGAGTGTGGCATGGTTTGCCACAACGTTGAATTGCTTCTCTTCCTTTTCCAGTTGAAAGCTCATGCTCATGTCAACGTAACAGTTTTTAACGAGCATTGCTCTGTTGCAGGCTGTGCAACGAACCATAACTTTAGATTCTGTGTTTCCTGTGATTTTGCTCTTACATCCTTTGGTGTTGCACATTGCATTAGTGTCAATGATGACATTTTGTATTTCTGAGCAGCAGATTTGAGGCTTGATAGCAGTTGCATCTGTATTTACATTGGTAATATTTTTCTTCTTGGCTGGCTTTATGAGGGTTTCTGTAGTGGTACTGATTTTCAACCCATAGTAGTACTTTACAGTGCAGTTGGAGATCTCAAAGAAATCCCCTTCCTTGATCAGAGAAATGTGGTCTGACCAAATCGAAATATCTATAGTTCCTGTTGAGTCTACTAATTTACCATCTCTTACTGGTCGTTTAGAGTTTTGTGGTGTTGAAGCTTCACTATCCCATCGAATTAAGCCTGAGACTGTGACCATATCCCCTTACCTCTTAGTTTTTAAAACATCTGCTACAGATGTAATGGGTGGTGTTGCTGGTGGCACATATTTAAATGGAATGGCCATCGCGGAGACATCCTTAACAATGCTGTTCTGGTGCATAAACACCATGCCACTCTGAACAACCCTAAGGTTGGTTATGGTGATGGGCTGTTGTGCTTTTTGTTTGTCTTTGAAAAGCTGGCTTTTCGTGGTGTCATCCATCGAACTTATCATTATTCTTATCATCTGCGTTTGGTCTACTGCCGTCTGCAGAATGATGTAGAAGTAATATGTAAATCCTTGCTGGCCTTTTCGATTTCGGTCTACTCTTTGTACATATCCAGTAAAGCCTGAAAAAAAAAATGTTTATTTTATATTAAACCTACATGCATATTTTCACACAAACGTATGATATCCATAAGTTCCGGAGAGAATTCAATAAAGACAAATTTTGCCTGTGAACTATAGGTTAAAACTGAGTCATCTGTAGGGGTTTCACAATTGGGACAATTCAACTTTCTTGGTTCAGTTTGAATAGCAGAGATAAAATGTGGCCAAGAATTGCGATCCAATTGACATTTTTGTAATGCAGATCTCGTCACATAGTTAACCAAAATAGAGCTTTTGAGAGCTACATTGTCATGGCAGGTCTTACAAAATGACTCAAAGATTCTCTGAGATGAAAATATATTCATTTCCTCTGAAGAAAGATCACCAAAGGTTCATTCCTTGAAAATCTGACTGAAGAATGCATTAGAATCCCTTGCCAAAAACGAGGGGCAATGTTGCTGTAAATGTACCCAAATTGGTTTCCTTATTTCTCTCAACGTTCTATCATTTCCTTGTGACTCAATGTATCTTTTACATGTGTTGAAAAGGAGTTCTGGGAATTCATTTCCCACAGTCAGTGTAGACGAATAGGGTAAAAATAGATGGGATGAGACTTCTAAAAAAGTGTCCACTGCACAGGAGTACATATTAGGGACACTTAGAATAGAATTCATAAAATGTCCCCTCTTTGAGATTAATGGGTTTATTTCACAATCACCTAACTGAACTTCCTCTGTCATGTTGTTACTATTCATAAACTACTGTAGGCCATAGGATCTGCTTCTATGTTAAACATGCTCATGCTTTCTTAAATTACAAAGAACCATCCTTTAGCAAAGTTTCTTTTCAGGGTAGCTAAACTACAAAATTCTTTAACACCTGCACAAAGATCATCAATGTGGGTCCAGTTCCCTTGAGTAAGAACTGCGCTGGTAAAATGTCCATTATAACACACCATCCCCTTTAACTTATATTCACTCGAGCCTACATGCATATTTTCACACAAATTTATCAAATCCATAAATTCTGGAGAGAATTCAATAGAATTCGCGAGTCCTTCGCGCCCAATAACAGACTTGCCTCTGACAAATCCAGAAATTGCCGAGTCTTTCGGCGGAGGACCCTCCGCCGCCTTCGATCGAGACTTCGCACAACTGTTTCTCTTTTGACGGATTTTGATCACCTTTTAAACTCAAAACTACCTTTAATTGTTAGAAAGATGCTATACACACTTACCGTTGGACTTGGAAACGCTTCTCGACGCTTTTCAGGGACGCTTAACTCGAAATCTCGACAAGGACAAAGCTCGTGTCAAAGACGCCGATCCAAAAAGTCCTCGCGCGCGTCTTTTTGTTGGCCGCCCATGACCATTTGCGGGAAAAACGTTGATACCTTGCGGCCGTGCAAGCGATCAAATCGAGATTTTTTTTGGTTATGATCAACCGAAAATACCCTCATTCTCTCTTCTCCAGTCTTCCTCTATATAACGCGGGGGCAACTAGTAAACCTTTATACGGGATACTTGCCTTTAGATTGGTCTGCCATTTGATGCTTGATTACAAGCAGTCCCTGCTTTTCAGCGAAGTTCGTCGTGCGAGTAAAAAAAATTAGTAAAAAAAATTAGTTAGCTTGAATTAATCATAATATTTCTCTACGGTCCTCATTTCTAGCTTTCATAATAATTCTTTGTTTTGCAGAACACCGTCGAAGGACATCTTGTTTACGCTCCCATTGTAGGCCGGTTATATTGTGGCAGTACGTATGTAGATCATAAAGGTTATTGGGAAATGGAAGGATTTGGCTTAATGAGCATCTATAAATCAGACTGGGTGAGGTTCAGAGGTAAAAAAAAACATCAGTTTTCAGTTGACGCTTCTTTAAAAAATACTGATTATAATTTCATCAGTTCCTAGAACTGACATGCAATATGCACAATTTAACTACTCGATTTTCATTCAGTTGCATAGCAAAAATACAACTACCTTAGTTTTCAGTTGACGCTTCTTTAAAAAATAATCAGAAATAGTCAGTAACCTCTAAAAGGTTACATTTAAAATTGTGAATATCTGTAGTTAACGGAAATTTTTTTCCAATAGTAAACGGAAACCTCCTAAATCTTATGTAGGCATATGTACTCTCTATAGGAATGAACACCGAGGACTACAAATACAAATGGGGCGGAGAGGACTGGGACTTACTCGACCGTGTTATCAATGCTGAGTTAAAAGTTGTTCGAATAAAGCACCCGGGTCTATACCATCATTATCATACAAAACACAAATCTTGGAATTAACATACGCCGTGCAAGTTACTCCAATTACTAACTCCCGTTCTGTCAACCCTTATGAAAGCACATGTTTAATATGCTTGAAAGCGTGCCGTGCGGGAGCCAAGGAAACTGGGTCTACTACACGAGATCGAGGCTTGCCAGGGGACTCCCCAGAGTAAGAAAGAAAACAATGGTAGGAGGTCCTTTTTTCCTTTGAACCGCATCTAGGAGGAGCACCGATGGTGTCGCTGTGAGTCAGCAATGCGGTTTTAATGTCTCTCCAGATGGTTGATTTGTAGCTGTTTGCTCTGTAATTATCTTTACCTTATTTCAGATTCTCCGAAGAGATACTTGGAATGTTTATGTTTTATTTGGACCATTTGGGGTCTAGCAAAAACAGAACTGAAGTTATCTCTACCAAAACAAAGTCCTGCTAAAACTTCGTATTTTAGTTATTAACTTTTGCGTTAACCTGACTCAGTTGTGATCAGCTAGTCTTGGCCACCTGATAGAATGACTTTAGGGGTAACTTCACTTAATAGGTTACAAATATTTTTCGAACGATTTCTTAACGATGTAATTGCAATAATGTCAACGAAATACACAGACTACTTTTGCAATACATATACATGTAGAATGAGGTTAGGGTCGGTTTTGTTTAACAATCAGCACCATTTTTCTGACAACAAGTGACACAAACAAGAAGTAAAAATCCAAACAACATAAAAACTATGCCAAATGGTAGGGCATCCGGCTTGTCACTAAACTGATATTCAGGATGTAGATTATAATCATCAGAGTCATCAGGAGTCAGGAAATACCCTATGAGGCTAATGCCTCCCAAAAAAAAACAAAGGAGCCCAAAGAGAACACATGGTGTTACACGTTGTTTCTTTCGTTCATTGTCGTGGCTCTGCATGTTGACCTCGAAATTAAATCTGTTGAGATGAAAAGCTCCTATCAGTCCTGCTATATGATATCATTGCTGTTGACAAGGGATGTCAGATAGTTCGTACAACAAATGTGGATCTTGGTCAATTCTAGCTAAGAGAAAAACATTTGCGAAACCGTCGGATTTCGCGCACCGATGAAATCCGAAAGTTTGAGATTCGACTCCGCCTGGAGAATCAGAACTTATTATTTGTCCCACGCTCGTGACAAGACAAAAGATATCACTTTCTCTACATCTTAACCGTTCTCAAAATCTATTGTCTTTCTTATTCTATTTACACATAATTTCTACCCACTTTCAAACACCACATTTGAGCGCAAAGATCGCTGCTTCTGAATGTGTAAGCTTCCTTTCTCGCGTCAATGGTATTCAATTTTTCGATTCACACCTAAACCCCAGCAAGTTTCTGTAACCGTTTGCTGGTACTCATTTAAAATCCTGAGTGAAAAGAGGCGTCAAAAATTGAAAGTAAATCGCCTTTATATTAGCCTACAGTGTAGGCGTCTTGTTGGGGCGAGTTAACGTTACAAGCTCGCGATCGTTTATTAGACCGACCATGTTTGATTTAAAATGGGCGGTGAGGTGAGGGACCGGGGAAAGGTGAGAACTTATATTGCCCTATCTGTCCTATGTTTTGACCAACGTTCACCCCCTAGGACAATTTTAATTGTCTCCCCAGTCTTTCCCTGCACTAGCTCTCACACTCGCTCGCCAAACTTCCGCCATATCAACGAGCTACTTATTCTGTTGCGTGAAGAAAAAAGCAATCACTCCTTACCTTCTACTAAACAGAGTGCTGGTATTACAAATCAACAATTAGATCAGGAGCTGTTTAGTTGCAGTTTCTTTCTCTTTGTTCGAAGTTACAGGCTGGGGAAAAAAGAATAAATGAATAAATGATTAAATAAATGAACGAAGTCAGGATAAAAGTATTTCCCTTTCACTGCTCTTCCTGAATTTTGCGAATGCTCGGGTAGAACGCAGCTATGGAAATGATAACGGTCGAAGAAGAAGCGTTGTAAAAGCTTTTAAGTTTTACTCAGAAATAAAGATTTGAAGAGACAAAAATTGCTGACTTCCTTGGCAATAAAAACTTGCAGATCATATTTCAAGTTTCTCGGTCGGGGCTGAACGCGGAATCATGTGTCATCATTGGTGTTTAAAACTTGGGAGTCATGACTGATTATGAATTAAGAAAAGAATTTAAAAACTTAATCCTGAATATTTTTTTTAAAAAAAAAAAGATTGTTAATGAATCATAAATCGTTAGGCTAATAACGAATCTCGTAGTTCGATAAATGATTCTCTTCCCAATTCTCGGGTTTACTTAGAGATTGCCCGCCATCCGAAAACTGTTACGGGATAAAAAGCTGAAATTTAGGACAAAAATGGCATAAACTGCTTCGAGTTAAAAGCTACAGTCAAAGAAGAACTAGACTTGTTTTTAAAAGCGAAATACGAACGAATTCTTACATATTGAATAATTATTTACTCTTAAGTAAACAAGTTTTAACAAAATGTTTAAAACTTATCGTAACTGTGGGACCAGGTACAAAACAACACAAACACTTCAGTTACAGTACTAGCCAGAAAGACTTAGATCTCGCCACGGTAGTGACGATAGGTGCCGAAATCTCACTCTAAGTTTACCTTGGTTTTTTTTATGAAACAATGACACTTTATCCCTGGAGGGGGGGGGGGGGGGGGGGGGGGGGCTGTTAAATGAATTCAGGCTCATAAGACCTAACCATATCAGGAGTCCATTATATATTTCGTTGGTTCATCAAAGTGCACTTTCTGTTAGTAGCAGTGGACTGGTAATAGAAAGCTACCTGTTTAAATGAGTAGTAATGCATTTTCAGGATTTGGCATCGGTGAGAGCTCTCGCTAGCTTAACCCTTAAACCCTCAAGATCTGATTTTTAATTATATTTTAATTCTGCCCTCAGGCTGCTATACATCCCCTTTGAACTGGCTACAAGAATATGGTGTCCAATCAAGATTAAAACTTCTGGTTGATAAGTTTGATAAGCTGGATAATGTATGAAAATGAAAGGAACACAATTTTGGCTGGGGGGGGGGGGGAGGGGGCGGAATTTCAACAAACCAATTATCAAAGTTCACATGCCCCAGGGTTTCCCTTCCTCACTCAACGGACGTCAGTTCCTGACTACGAGATATCTTAGCAAGGTAACGCACATTTTGAGCTAATTTTTTCGGTTTCGTGCAACAACGGTTTTCTTCTTTTTTTTCCAATACAGAAACGTTCGGTTCAGAAGTGCTGTGGTTTCACGTATGGCAACAGATTGTGACGAGTATCGATTGTCAAATACGTACGTGTGCATTTTGTTATTTTGGAGAACTCAACATTGCTCTTGTTAGGAGGTGGAGACCTACTGATTTCAAGCACTCATCTTTTGTATTAAATCGAAATCTTTGTTATTGGGGATATGCTTGAATGAGGTACTTGAAAACGTAAGAACTGAAAGGTAATTTACGACATAAACTACCAATATGAACGATTAGAAAAACTACACGTAGCATATGCTACTGCGGTGCAATCATTCGTGTACAAGCTTACGCGGAAGTACTATTTTAGAATTGAATTAAATCACGCACGATAACTGCGACAACAAACTTAATCCGAAAGCATACAAATAGAAGTTACATAAGCGAAATCATACCTCTTTTCTTCGGTTAAGATTTCTGATATTGTACAGTCTTATTTCAAGCAAGTTTCTTTGCTTCGATTTGGCGTCCGTGAACAACTAGGAATGTATCTTGTTTCATTGTCCTTTGAACCTTTACTCCCTGATAGGGAATGGAATCTAATTTCTACTTTCAATATCATCCCCAAATAAAACATTAAGGTCATGAGAATAAAGGAAATGATAATCAACTGAAGAACCTCTTGATTGTTAAACAAATTCTCCTTGCCAGCACATTAGGAACGTGTAGACAACAGTATGAAGAATACAGCTATTTCAATTTACGTTGTCGGATCAAAGCTTCAAGGGTACGGGATAAGACCGAAAGGCGGTATGGGTAGATTAGAATTAATTTTATGCTTTCGGGGTTGTCGGCGCGAGATGGACATGGAGGCTGAAAATACAATTAGTATTGCCTTGCGCGTCTTAACAAAGAGCAACAAGAACAGATTAAGATCCCATATTCCCCTTCGGTCTTGTCTTGTAGGCTTGAGGCTTTGATCCGACAACGTAAATTGAAATAGCTGTATGCATGTGTAAAGGGTTAGCCCTTAAACTCCTATGAGTGACCAAGACAGAATTTCTCCTTACAATAATATCATTACAATACCAACCAGATACGTGACAAGAATAAAGAAAAATATCAATTGGGGGATAATTGATTGATTCAATACCAAATGTTCCAAACTAACATAACAAGATTTCATGGCAGACAGTAATGAGAACTTGGGAGTTAAAGGGTTAAAAACTTGACTCAAAACGGAAATTACCTAATTAACAATCATAGAATCATAGCTAATCATTACAATGCTGATAACATTTTTGGAATTTCGAGATTGATATCAAATGTAATTGTCCTAGAAAATGTCCATAGCCTCCTATGCGGGATCATTACAAATTTTAGACGGGTAGCAAAGTCTTGTATGGAAATACCATCATAATGTAGTCATCCTCTGATATACCTCCATCAAGCTCTTGGAGATAGTGGAAAACAAAAGGATATTTCAGATGTCGGATTTCGCTTCACTTTAGTTTATGATTGAGTTCAAATGTAACAAAGATTTTTTACTGATAGAAATTACCTGAAAGAAGCTTACTCTGCAGGAGCATATATTTTTATTTCACAATTTTTTTGCGGCAAATTAATTTGACCACCTAGATGTTAGCAAGCATTTGTAAAGAATTTGTTAACAGTTCGATCTCTGTGTACTGGTTTTGACTTTGAATAGCTGGAATATTTTACCAGAAATGCATGCACAGGCGAAGAGGGGCAACCTTTAACCTTTCACTGTAACAAGTTGGTAGGATTTTACTGTGGGATTGTCCCACTATTGCATCCCCAAAACAGGTTATGGTTTGTCGTCATGGTGATTAACATTTTGAAAACAGAATTGAAATCATTTGTCTTACAAAGTGGTCACTTTAGACATGGATTGTGATGTTTCGACAGCATACTGCTAGTCTTTTTCAGGCGATCAGGTGGATTGAGCAAGTTTACTCAAAATTTACAGGCCTGGTATATGAGAAATGAAGGAGTTTTTATCTATCTTGGTCATAAAATTTTTTTTAGTGATATTGTGTTTTGCACCTTTTCCAAAATTATTTCAACCTTGTAACTTGTTGAATTTTGTGAAAAGATAATGATGTATAGATACATATTTTATTTTCATAATCAATCGTTAAGGTTTCCTCTACACTTGTTGTTTCCCCAAATTTAGACCAAAGTGTTTGAAATATGCAATGAAAATTATGCTTAATGAAACAATTTGTTTGTTTGATTACTCTGGCTTTGAACAAAACAAACAAACAAATACATACAATTTAAAGAACACGAGTCTCAAATTGTGTTTTCTGTTTTGCTTATCACTAATGTTGCCCCTCGGAGTGATCGGAAGGTAAATTCTTCGTGGCAGTTTCCTTCAAATGGAATTAACATCTAGAGTTCGAGAGTGATGAGAGAGAAAACTTTAAGTTAATTTATAAACTGATCATGAGTTCTCCAGCCTCTTTCCCCTTTTATCACAGAGAAACCTTTGATTTTAGAGAAAATGATTTGCAATCCAAGATTTGTGAAATCCACGGAAATGTTTGAAATCGCGAGAAACATTTTGCCAAGTTCCGCTTGCACAAGCAATTAGTTGGAGTTGCTGCTATTGGAAATGGCAGATAGACTACGAGCAGCAATGTGCATATTATTGGAACTGGAGTCCCCATATAAAGTTTACCACCGAAAAAGGAGTAGTTTACGCTAAATATAACTATACGTTAATCTTCAGGAAAACTGGGTTTGTGACTTAATAGTTAAAACTATTAAGTCACAAACCCAGTTTTCCTGAATAATCTCGCTATCATTCAACAAATTACAACCAAATTGAAGACAAATGTTTTTTAAGTCAGAGAATGAGTGTTCCAAAAAAAAATCGCACTGGGGTTCTAAAGGTCTACAATAACCTTCGGTTTGCAGGAAGCTTTGTTGATAAACATTGAGAAGAAGTAATCGATCGACAAACTTGACGGGAGCAACTGGAATCCTTGGAAAGTTCAAATGACCAAAGGACTCTGGGGCTTTGTAGATGGTTGTGATTTTGTGAAGATGGTGGGGGGAGACAGGGGGGTCAGAGTCTCCCGCTTCCCGTGTACGTTCTCCCGCCTCCCGTACTTTTGTGCCCCTTTGCCTCCCGACTCCCGCCCTTCATTGTGTTGCTCCCGTCTTCAGGTTAATCAACCCGGGTTTAACTTTCAAACTGTGCCAAAACTTAACATTCTTGTTCATTTTCTGGTCTTTGTTTTGGCGGGGGGATTATTGGGTCCCGATGAAAGTTGTTACAGGTCATGACCTATGACGTAATCGAATTGAAGGGATTTCCAAATTCACCGGAATAAATGCTGTTTTTTCAGCCCTAGTACAAATTTACTTTCTCCTGCTTCCAAATTTTCTTTTGAGCATTGGTGGATGTTAAATGGAAATTTCAAAACTTTGCTCGATGAGTGTTTTTGACTGAATAATACCCAGTAATAAAAACAAACTATCGCCTTCTTTATTTTTGCTCCCGCCGCCCCCTCTCATATAGATCCCGTTTCCCGCTTCCCGCTTCCCGCCCCCTGTTCTCTCGCCTCCTTAGGCCTCCTGCAATCAAAATTCAAATCTTTACCACCTGTAAATAAGGCTATGTCGTCTATGCCACTCAACTCCTTTTGATTATTCATAAAAGTTCTAAAGCAGAAAGATAAACCAAATTCTGCGCTGTCACTGGCCACCCTAGCAGCACTCTCTTGCCAAATATGACTGTATTTCATCAGAAGTTTCGGAAAAACGGAATTAATCCTTTAACTCTCAGATATGATTAACATATAACCTCTCCCTGAAATATCCATACATTATCCAACAAATAGGTAATAAGAATACACAAACTAATCAGGCAGAAGATATTATCTTGATCTAACAACAAATTCTCATAACTAATTAACAAGGTAATATCTAGTAGCAAGAAGGGAGAATTGGCAATCAGATCCTGGAAATTAAAGGGTTAAAAGAAATACGGAAGGAATAGGAAAGAATCTCTTATTGTTAAATTTTTTTCACTCCTAGACAAAAGAACCCGCGAAAATATTAGAAACATTTAAGAGGGGTCGTGTGGGATTGCTTTTTCGCAGTATTTGCCAGTTCAATACCCGGAAAATACTGGACCAGCAAAGACTAATTCGACTTGTTAATTTTTATTATTTGCGCACTGGACAAGTTAGCTGTGTGTTATAGGTTGATGTGATACAGGCTTTTCCCCCTGCACGTACTCTACTTACCCTGGATATCAATTTGGCCTTCATATGCTTTGCTGGCTCTGTCTCTAAATGAAAGAGAGATTCATATACTGGAACGATTTGTGCAAAATCAAAGCATTCTTAATGAGAAATAACATGCTTCAGCTCCCCGTATTGAAATAAGTGAAATGTTTGGGGTATACCAGGAAAGGCGGAACTTTTTCTGTTAAAAGTGTAAATAATTTGCTCGGTGATTCAGTTAAAGCCTATTTTTACCTTAAGCCAGGCAATAGTATTTGGCTTAAATAATCAACTTTTATGTTAACAAGTTGAAAGTCGATTCCTCGGGGAATGAATCAACCCTTTATCTTCCAGAAGTGATTAACATGTACCTTCTCTCTATAATACAAATAAATTATACAGCAAACACGTAACGAGAATACTTAAACCTATTAGGTAGAATTTTTTGTCTTGATCGAAACCAAATTCCCATAACTAATTTACTACAGGAAACGAGTAGCAACTAAAGGGAAGAAATGACAAGTAGGTCTTGGGATTTAAAGGATTAAAGGTTTAGAACTTCAGTAAATTGATCCCATAACTTGACAGGAAAACAAATATTAAAATCAATTTTCAGCTGTCCTGCGCTTTCTTTGAAATTCAAAATGGTAGTGGGTCCTGGTACAAAACAAAACAAACACTTCAGTTACAGTACCGGCCAAAAAGTCTCTAATCGCGCCACAGCAGTGACGATGGGTACCGAAATTTCACTCTAGGTTCACCTAGTTTTTCTAATGATTTTTGCTTTTTTGACGGTGATGATGTTGTGGTAACCAGCCAAGTGCTAGAATGCCCAACTGGAACTGAATGGGGTAATAATGGATTAGCCAAAAAGTTAAAGAGGGGTGGGCTGGTTAAATCATCGGATTGAGGGACCATATAATTGCATGAAAAAAGGGGTGGGCCATGAATAACCATGCAATACAGCAGGGGAGGGCAGGTCACCAATGAAACGTGCTTCTTGCGATTCGTGCGGGAAGCGTATTATCGACAGTATATTTTTTAATGCGCTGAATACAAACTTTTAAGTTAGTTTTCTTTTCATTTTTCTATTCCTTGGGGGGTCCAGTTCTTGATGAATCAGCACTAGCATTTTCTAAAATCAGGAACAGCAGAACACTGTTTGAAAAGCTGCAGAAACTGTAATCAATACAGAGGCCCCATTAGGGGAGGTTTGAATATTCCCTATCCTATTAATTTTCGGCCTAAATATCCCAAATCTTGTTCTCTCCGGTGGTTTGTATCCCAGTAATTTTAGGTTGATATCCCAGAATATCTATTTGAAATATCTCAAATTTAGACATAGTTTGATGCTACTCTGGTTTAAAGATTTAATGCATGTAACCCAGAAGTTACAATTCATAGACCCAACGTTTCGACATTCCTGTCTAGCTAGTGCCCTCATCAGGGGTGATCTAAACGCTCCAACAAGAAGTCCCTTTATACGCTCACTAATTAGCTGCCCCTTTTTCTGTGGAAGTGTAAATAGGCGTCAGGAAGTGAGCCGTCATCATCGCGATTTAAAGGAGCGTGGGCGGAGTTGATATGCCAGGCTTCCAAACTAAAAATATTACCACTACCAGCGCCTCATTAAACACTAGCTGCCTTCCAGTGACCCTTGCCTAATTTTGAATTCTAGCTTCAACTGTGTGTGTGTAACTCATCAGCCAGATCCTACCATTTAACTGTAACTTAAGTGTTAAAATTGCTTGGCTGTGGAAGATCTAGGCATGAGACTACTGTGCATGTACTTAACCTTCAAAATGGACAATTACACAAATTTCAAACAGCAAATAAAGTGTTATTTGAATTTTGGTTTCATGAAATCTTGCCAGAGCAAGAAATAGTTTATCTAAAGCAAAACAGCCAATTGTAAGTTGAGGGATATAATGACACTTTACGCCTGGAAGGAGGGGGGGGGGGAGGGCTTAAAATGAATTCAGGCTCAAAAGACTTAACCATATATATTTTAGAGAAAGATGTTTTCATCTTGCCACAAGCATGGGCCTAAGAAAAAATTCTGAGTCCCCATGAGGAATATTTATTTTGTTGGTTCAACATGCACTCTTCTGTGTTTGCAGTGGACTGTTAATAGAAAGCTACCTGTTTTAAAGAGTAGTAATGCATTTTCAGGATTTGGCATAAGTGAGAGCTCTCACTAGCTTAACCCTTAAACTGCCATGAGTGACCAAGACAGAAATTCTCTTTACAATATCAATAAAATATCAAACAGATAAGTGATGAGAATAAAGAAAAATATCAATTTGGGGATAATTAGTTTATACAATACTAACTAGCATTAGAATTGTATGGTTGACAGTAAGGAGAATTACAAATTAGATCTGGGAGTTAAAGGGTTAAACCCTCAAGATCTGATTTTTAATTCCTCTTCTGGCTGCTATACATTCCCCTTTAAACTGGCGACAAGAATATGGTGTCCAATCAGGATAACAAATTCTGGATAAGTGTGAGTATTCTCCATAGCTATTTGCTGGATAATGTATGAATATTAGAGTGAGAAGTTATATGTTAAATCACTTCAGGGAGTTTAAGGGTTAACATAAGATAATTGAGTTCTCTAACTTGATCTGGTGACTCTTTCATTTTATTTTAACCTGAGGCATTTTTTTTCTGCCTCTCTGGAGTTTTCTAGAAATGAAATAGAGGTAACGGGCCTTTTACTTTTACCTCTTTTCGTATTTTATTGAAACCTTTACTTCAGTGTTTTACTGAAATAGAACCATAAAAATTTCAACCACTAATTTTGATGTTAAACGTCAGTGAGAAGAAACCTTTAGATAATTTATAAACTGTTCACAAGCCTCTTTCCTCCTTTTACCACAGAAAGACCTTTAATTTTATAGAAAATGATTTGCAATCCAAGATTTGTGAAATCCACAGAAATGATCAATCAGTTGAAAGCCATCAGTTGAAGTTGCTGCTATTGAAAATGGCAGATAGACTAGGAGCAGCAATGTGTATATTATTGGAACTGGAGTCCCCAGATAAAGTTTACCACCAAAAGAGGAGAATTTTACCCTAAATATTATTTTACCTACATCTGTGTATTTTAAAAGACTTTGTAATCAGAAAATTTCATGGTAAAATCAAGAAAATTAAAGAAAGTTATACATTCATTTAAGGGGAGGAGGTTGGAATGTAGCTTGCAAACAATATGACTCAGTCAAAATTGAGCTTTTTCTTTGTTTTAACTACATAGGAATTCCTTACATTTGAATCATTGTTTACTAGTAAGCCTTCCTAGTCAGAAAGTTTGGTGGTAAAATCATGAAAATCAAAGAAAGTTATATGTTTCTTTGAGGGTTGCATATCAGAAGTTACATTTATTCGAGGGTTGGGGGTTGCATTCTGGAAGTGACTTATTTAACCCTTCAAATTTCAGAAGCAGAAACAGTAATTAAACTTTGAACTCCCATGAGTGACCAAGACAGAATTTCTCCCCACTGTAACTATACAATATCATGCAGATAAGTAATCAGAATGAAGAAAAAGATCAAGTATGGGATTAGTAATCGATTCAATACCAAATTCTCCAAACTAACAGAATGAGAATCATTTGGCAGACAGTAAGGAGAATTACTAATGAGATCTTGGGAGTTAAAGGGTTAATACCATCACACCATTCACACACAGGCTGCTAAGGAAGACCACAAAGACAGAGAGACACAAATATCAAAATGACCAGTTTATTACAATTATCCTTGTTGAGAAGCCTTGTAAACACTTAAAACATGTAGCTATTCAATGCACACACAGTTATTTTCACAAATTTTAACATTCAAAACATTTCCATCATCTTATCAAGAATAGACATCCCATTAGCTGTAAGATTTCTTCATTATATGAATGTTATTCATGATCAGCGCTGTTTTTTAGGCATTGTGTTTGTAGCCATCATTCCAATGACTCCCACTCCCACAAAGAAACCAACTGCACATCCATAGACCATAAATCTGTATGGAAAGAATTCATACTATTTTGGTTAACCCTTAAATTCTCATGAGTGACCAAGACATAATCTCTCTATACAATATCAATACAACATCAAGCAGACAGTGAAGAGAATAAAGAAAACTAAAAATTAGGGAATCATCAGTTGATCCAGTACTAAGTTCTCCAAACTAACATCATAAGAATTGAATGGCAGTCAGTGAAGAGAATTACTAGTGAGATTTTGGGACTGAAAGGGTTAAATACTAGTCCTCTGCACATATAGCTTGATAGCCTTTGTTAACTGAGCAGCATTACCAAACACAACCCAATCTCATCAAACACACCCATACATCCATGTACAGTTTTTTATTTGAGCAAGTAGGAAAACATCATAACTTGGAGAACAAATCCCAGAAAAAGGACATGAAAACAGCAAAAAAAAGAAAAAAAAAAGCAACATGTTACTCCAAGTCTGCCCTCTTTCCTCCCATCTCAACAAACTGTTATGAGAATGTTCCATTAATTTTTGTTAGCTTGTGACAGATAGGAAATGTTGCACAGACATTCTTTTGAAGAGAAAGAATAAGTCTGTTAAAAACTACCTAACAAGGTTTACAGAGGTAATGAGAGGGGACAAAATTATCTACAAGATGATAATGCCTGATTCAGTAACAACTTTTCCAGGCTGAAATTATCAGAAATGAACAACAGAGTGAAAAAAGAATGGATACTTACCCCTTAGGAGTGGAAGAGTTAATTTCTACTTTTTTAGGTGGATAAAAAATGCTTCTAAAAACTTGTGTAGATAATTTACCTTGTAAATGGAATTCCATATTTTCCTTTCAAATGCACAGGCAATCCATCTTTTTTCTGCAAAATGAGTATATCAGTAGATAGAAAAGCCAAAACTGAAGGGAATTTACATCAAAGTGACAATGTTGCATTAGGGGACACCACAAACTGACCAATGCAGTGACAAAACAAAATCAAACACAGGCTAATTTTCTTTTATCAACTGAGCCAGAGCAAATGATGAAGGGCTAACTCCCCAGGTAAGTGATGCCTACAGCATCTCACTCATAATAATAACAATTATAATAATAATTATAATAAAAATAATTATAATAATAATGATCATAATAATAATAATAATAATAATAATAATATCAAAACAGTAATAACTATAATAATAACAATAATTTTTATACAGGGAGCAATCCCACAATAAGTAGTTTTCAGAACAACCTTGTAGAGAATATTATAACTGATGGAGTAAGAAACGTAATAAGCTATACAGAACAAAGCTACCTAAACATAACAAATATGCGTTCCAAGTTCTTTTAGAAAAGTAGAATAGAATTAGTTTCCTGTATTTCAGGACTTAGAGGGATAGGGTCAAAAGCTTCTTCGTCTGCATTCACAATAAATATTCACAACAACTAATGATATGTACATACATCTATCTTTGAACTCCAAATATTTCAAGGTAACAAAACTCTTCAGTGAGAATTGCTAATCGAAACGCCATCCCTCACCAAAAGAAAAGAAAAACGAAAATCCATTCCTTCTTCATTACGTCGATAAGCTTGGCTGATTATGTGCGTCGCAAATAAATTTCCGTGCACGCAAATTTTGATTATCATATTGTTATAAGAATAATAAAACCGACCCATACGACGCATCCAACTTTGCCGACGGCGAATTTCCGAGCGTAAGACACAATAAAAGAAAAATGGAAGAGGAAGGAACCATGGAAAAGTCATGCCCATATCTATTTGGAACGTGCGTAAAACACAATTTGTTAATGAACTTCGATATTCAACTACTCTACCATAAGAATATAATGTACCTGAAAATGTTGCTGATACAACTTGATCCTGTTTTGTCCGGTAATAGCGTCTGTGAGGAGATCTTGGTGTATCCTTTGTTGGTAACCTTTTCTCGCTTCATCCATTTCCACGTAAAAACTATCAACGTTATTTATATATGTTATGTGTTACCGGTTTACAAGACAAGATGGCCGACCATAATAATGTTCGAGAAGGACTTGGTACTAGCCTAAGAAGTGTAGAGCCCAGATTCTCACGTTCACATTCAAAACCGTGGATTATTAAAAACAATATTAACTTCTTCCCGTAAAAAGACTGATTCAAATGATGCAGGAAACAGATGACATCCCGAGCTAAAATCTCTATACCCAAATCAAAAGTGAGCCATGTACCTGATAAATGGATATGAGAGATAAAACAAAGAGCGGCGTTTTCAACGAAAAGGCCTTTGAAACGGCTCGGAGCACAGGTAGCCCAACTTCGCCCGATGTGCCTCCGTAAATATGTTGCAAAAGAGGCAAATTCGGACAGACGAGCCTGAAATCGGACGGTTCGGGACTCGAGATTCGGGTGACAGGATTCGGGATTTCGGGAAAGAGAGATGCAGGATGAGGGCAAAGGTTCACACGATGGTTTCTTGTATATTTTCATATTATCAATAAAGGTATAAGAGGAATGAAACAATTTTAGAAAATGGACACTGTCTGTTTGTCATATATGAGTAACCCGGCGAATTTTGTTGGCAAGAGATTGTTATTTCCATAACGTTTCTTTTGGTTATAACGGACACAAATAAACGCAAAATTGACATTTTTATTTTGAAGTTTCACTATAAAGGTCAAAGTGGAGAATATTCCGCATCTACTACATACATGTGTTATAAATAATGACGGAGTCATTGAAGCTTTTTCGCTTTACTATACAACGCATCCACAACCTTTCCCATTTCATGAATCAGTTCCAGGGTGTTTTCGTAAGTTTTATCAACTGGGGTCTCGTCGAACACGACCAACACTCCAGAACCTTGATCAAGAATTCCTGCAATTTCACAAAAATGAAAAAGTTCAAAGAAAAATTGAAACACAAGACGAGACAATTTAGCCGTTTGGACAACGATAGAAGGTTGTTTAAGAAGGCCCATGCAAGTGCCTGGCATATCTTTACCAACCTTAGTAATCGGTTAAGAATAATATTGCTTAGTAAGTAATCAAGAATCAAAATTTTAGATTCATAACGTCGTGAAACCTTCGAAGATCGCCATCAAAATGACTATTTTGACAAGGTAAACAATCTTTGAAGAGAATTTTCATAAAGGAATGGCACTTATTTGGTTGGATATAATCTGTAACCAAGTCCATCCACACACAAAGCTCCCCTGAAGCTTAGCCGTTTTAAGCACTTTTCTCAAAAACGATAAAACAGTTCAATAAAAAATGGTGAAAACAGCCTTGTTGTTGTTTCAAAAGAGTTGAAGCACAGTTAACTCACCATGAAGTTTCTTGTCAAGAATCATCTGAGAGAGCTTTTTTTCAACCACATTCTGCAAATAAAACATAACATAAAGGAAACTTACGTTCATAAAAGGCCTCGACTAAATTAAGCCCAAGAGCGCCAAAAAAAGAGGGTGAAAGTTGTGGTAAGGCATGTGGAGCATGATGTCACGAATGACATTTCAAGTTATGTATTGTTGCAACGTAGCAGACATAGCACCTTACGGCTCCCGCGAAAGCTCTTAACCTGCATTTTCTTCCCTTGCACCCTGTCTCACGCAGTTCATTCTTTCTCGAGTGTCTATTCAAAAGCCAGCAAAGGTTTCAAGTCAGGCCCTTCAATTACTTCAGCATATTATCGATCAGAAGCTTGAATTACCGTTAATATCCGAAGAGAAAAACATCATAAAATATTACAATAAGTGGTATGCATACCAATGGAAGTGCAATGAGCTTTGCAACATGATCAATCTGAGGGGAAAAAAGACAGTAAGTTAATCGGTAAAAATTAAACTTGCATTTGGTAACTTCTGAGACACTTGTGAGTACCAATCTGAAGTGGCCAAAAATAAAAGAAAAAAATATATACCTGAACACGAGCAAATGGTTCAATAATCCGACTGAGGTTCTGTTCCAGGAGGTTGTCATAAAGTGCATCCAAGTGGGTCTAAAGGAAAAAAAAACAAAAAGAAAACAAAAATAAAATAAGATGTACCATTACAAAAGATAAATATGACACACAAAGCATGAAAAATGTCAGGATCAACCTTATAACCCTTTGACTCCCAAGATCTGATTGTTTTAAAATTCTTCCCTCTAGTCCCCACAAATTCCCTTGAAAATCAGTTATGAGAATACGGTGTTAGATCAAGATAAAACTTTCTCTTGATAAGTGTTAGTATTCTCATTACCTGTTTGCTGGATAGTGTATGGATATTATAGGGAGAAGTTACATGTTAATCACTTCTGACAGTTGAAGCGTTAAAAGAGCAACAAATGCAACTTGTCATTGAAATGTCCATTATCAATTCACCATACTGATGGAGAGAATAGATGCTAATTCTCTTTGAAGGCCGATTAGCAGCAACCCAGGGTTAAGTTTTAATCTGGGTTTCTTTATTCCCTTCTTCAAAGGCCTATTTCAGATAATTTCTTCAATTCTTTTTAGAACATCCAGGCATCAAATTATAGGCAAAAATAAATTTACCGAATACGCCTTTAAAGCTTTCAGATCTGAGGTCAGATTTCACACTAACCCTGGGTTATCTTAACCTAGCTTTGAACAACATGGCCCTGGAGGTTTACAAAAAAGATTGTGGAAGTGAAAGGTTTATCCATGTGTTTGCACAGCTTGAAACACTGAATGGCTCTCAGCTTATCTGATATCCTTTTCAATTTCTAATCCATTAACCCTTTGACCACTAAGAGAGACCAGCATCTAATTTCTCCTTCCAATATCACTCAAAAATCACACTTTTAAATCACAAGAATGAAGGAAATGATCAGCAACTAAAGAAGTTCATGATTGTTGAACAAATCCTCCTTGTCAGCACCTTTGGAAATGTATAGAGAACAGTATGGAGAATATGCATATTGATTTTGGGGAGTAAATGGTAAGGGTTAACTGATAAGTGTTCCTGCAAAAGCCTTATGGTTGTCTTGCCAGTATGCAACTTTTTTCTTTCATTTTTGTACATACCCTAATAATAGGATCTTCAGTGAGTTCCTGTTTGAAAGTGTTGAGGGCCTTTGAAGGAACAACAAAATAACAAAATTTTTTTAATGAGAAATTCAAAATCTTAAGGGAAGGGATGATGATAATTATGAAATGACAACAAGACATAAGATATCATGGTAGAATTCCTTAAAAGTTCATTTCAAAGTGATTAAACATCATTTTAATAGTGGGGGAAATCAAAACCAAAATGCAAACAATGAAAAAAGTTACCACACCTGCTGGAATTCAGACAGTGACCTGTTGTGGCTTGCATTAGCAATACTTTTCATGGCAACTAACTGTAAAAAAATATGTGAGGTATGTCACTGTTTGGCAATGTTAAATCTGGACTTAGGACTGAAGATTAGAACAAAAATGAAAAAAAAAAAAAAAGTTGATAATTGGGCATGGCTACAAACCTGTGATCCAGAATATCTCAGTGCTAGTTTTCCACTGATTATTGATTGTACATCATCTGGGCTGAAATAAATGAGAAAAGAAATGTCTGGTGCCTTTTGCACAGTATATAATGAGTAAAAATCTTTTCAAGTAGCTGATTCCAAATCAACTCCAAAGATCTTCATGCTAATTCCCCAAACAAGAAAGCGAAACACACTTTTTAAGGAAGGAGCTGAATTTTTTCATCAAAACAATTTTGTTGAGTCAATAATTTTCTGAATTCTCATGACCTGTCTTCCTCAACAATGAACAAGAAGTTCTATGAAAATTTACATACCGATCAATCAAGAGGTTAATTGACTCATAGGCTGTGCAAACAAAACTGACTTAGTTCAAATGGGGGGGGGGAGGAGGGGGGAGGGGAATAGCTCCACCACTGTGACAGTCACAGTTGCCAGCTGACTTTCTACTAACATGGGAAAATTGAGCAATCTTTAACTGGGGATTGCAACTGAATCATTGATTTTTGTTATCAAGCTACATGAAAGGCTAGGATAGGCTGCCATATCCATTCAACCAAGTGGATGTAGAATTGAAATCAGCAGCAATTGGGTCACACAAGTTTTCCTGCAATTGGACCTAAGCAACAAGGAAAACATGCATTTTTTTGAGTTCCCATTTGTAAAATATTCATAACATCATTTCACCTTATTTGTCTATTGTAATTATTTCTGGCTGGGTTCTTTTTATTCTACACTCTGCCTAAACCTACCTGTTCAGCATAATCTTGCACAGAAGCATGTATTTTAGTGCTGATACAGCTTTAGGGTTGTCAATAGAGTCAAAGCCCTAAGATAAAAATGAGTATATGGATCAGCATCAATACCATTAACCAATAACTCAGCAATAGTAGTAAAATTAACATGTCGCAAAATTCCCTCTGCAGCAAAGCCTTACATGTATCTAAAAAAAAAAAAAAAAAAAAAAAAAAATTCCTACAGTTGTGAGAAAATCTGTCCCATAATTTTTGAGACCATCCCCAAAAACTTTTTACCTGGATTTCCCCCTAAAAATAAGAATAATAACTGGAATTCAACTGGTTTGACAGGGAAGAGTGAAAGCAGGTTTATGAGTGCTTTGAATATAGTCTGTATTTGTCTCGCAGAACTGTATCCAACCCCCTTAAAACAGTGATCCTATGAAAAGATGAAAAACTGGATTTGTCAGAGTGGTAGTAATTAAAACTAAATGAACAAAGGGGGTAAGTTTCTAAAGAAACTGTGGTGCTGCATTGGTAGGAGAGTATAACAGAGTAATTTAGTATTATCAGCTGAGTTGATAATGTACATTGGCTACCATAAAGAGTTTCAAAGCTGAAATTTTGAGCATTAGCCCTTTGTCAGAGTGGTGATTAATAGCTATCTGCTTTCATTAACTGCACTACATTCTATACTCCCTCCACCTTTCATCACAAATCATCAATTACAAAATGTACCTCAAATGCTTCATAGAAGTAAGAGTATGCAGTCTTAAAGTCCTTCTCTTCAGCATGTAAAATACCTAAGGTGAAAAGCAACATGTTAAAAGGAAGGTTCAGCTGATGCTGAATAATATGTCTTACTATATGACAAGGTAGTCCTGAGGTAAATCTGAGTGTTCTGATTGGTTCTTACTTGGTCCATATTTTGCCATACACACTGTTTCCATGTATTTTTGGTTTTGAAAGCTAGCAAATTCAAAATAATCAAATATGGATCGAGTGCCGTATAATAAACTACTTACAAGTACTTATCTTGTTTACTCAAGCACTACTTAGAGATATTGGCTGTTTGTTGCTCAGTCTGTAATGCCATGACCTATGGCAAATATTCCCCAGTACAGCCCTCTTGCTTAGTCAGTAAGAAGATAATTACATAACCTGGACAACAGTAGAAGTAGGTATAATGAGAATACTGTATACTAAGTACCTGATTGCAGGTCTAGTGATGCCTGTAGTTTCGGAGGGCAGTAAATGCCATTAGCTGTTGTTCTTGCTGATGTAAGAGCAGCCCTATTTGAATATATCATAAAAACAAGTCAATTATTGGTAATCCCCTACAACATTACAAGCTTAATACAGGAAAATCATTACAGATGATTTCAGCAGGCTTATATATTAATATTCTGGTATTTTCAACAATTTTCTAATCTGTGTTACAAATAAAAATTAATGGAAGGTGAAGACAAATTACGGTCAACTCGCTGACGGACCAACTCGCCGACGCCAACTCGCCGACGTATAAAATCGAGTAGAGACGTCGGCGAGTTGGTCGTCAATCCAATACAACTTATTAGAAGTTAAACATACAGAAAAGTAAACGATATTTAATAAAAAAACACTGGTGAACATTGGTGAACATCTAACAGAAGCTTAAACATTGGTGAACATCACCAATGACCATAACAGATTTTTTAAAGAAAAGTTGGCTTTCTAGACGAGATCTTTAGTAAAAAGCAATTATTTTTATTTGCAACAAAGTTATAAGAATCTCAACGCGAACAAAGCGAAGTAAACATCACCAACGACTCACACAACTCATTCCAACTACAGCCAATTTTGTTCATTGGCGATGTTAACGTCGCTTTATTCACCTTCCGATCCTTATAAACTTTGTTGCAAATAAAAATAACTGCTTTTTACTAAAGATCTTGTCTAGAAAGCCAAGTTTTCATTAAAAAATCTGAGCGATTAACATGATGAGTCTTTACGGTGTTGTTGTCACACAATAACTCGTTCGCGTCTGAAGCGGATGTAGTCATTGGCGATGTTTACTTTACTTTATTCGCCTTGAGATCCTTATAAACTTTGTTACAAATAAAAATAACTGCTTTTTACTAAAGATCTTGTCTAGAAAGCCAAGTTTTCGTTAAAAAATCTGAGCGATTAACATGATGAGTCTTTACGGTGTTGTTGTCACACAATAACTCGTTCGCGTCTGAAGTGGATGTAGTCATTGGCGATGTTTACTTTACTTTATTCGCCTTGAGATCCTTATTAACTTTGTTGCAAATAAAAAGAATTGCTTTTTACTAAAGATCTTATCTAGAAAGCCAAGTTTTCTTAAAAAATCTAAACCGATTGTCATGATGAGTCTTTACAGTGTTGTTGTCACACAATAACTCGTTCGCGTTTGAAGCTGTTTGAGTCATTGGTGATGTTTACTTCCCTTTATTCGCCTTGAGATCCTTATAAACTTTGTTGCAAATGAAAAGAAATGCTTTTTACTAAAGATCTTGTCTAGAAAGCCAAGTTTTCGTTAAAAAATCTGAGTGATTGACATGATGAGTCTTTACGGTGTTGTTGTCGCACAATAACTCGTTTGCGTCTTAAGCTGTTATGGTCATTGGTGATGTTCACCAATGTTCACCAATGTTTAAGCTTCTGTGTGATGTTCACCAATGTTCACCAGTGTTTTTTTACTAAATATCGTTTACTTTTCTGTATGTTTAACTTCTAATAAGTTGTATTGGATTGACAACCAACTCGCCGACATCTCTACTCGATTTTATACGTCGGCGAGTTGGCGTCGGCGAGTTGACTGGTTACAGTGAAGACAGTATATAATATAAATTTAATGGCTGACCACACTGAGGTAGTCTTGCACTTGGTAAGGTTAAATCAACAGCAAATAAGTGGAATGACAATTACTTGCTTATTTGTATAAACTTTTCTTTTTCACTGCAAACACAGATTTACAAGGTTGCTGCCCTTGCTTTCAGTAGTACTTTTGGTGCTTTCAAGGGGAAATCAATTTGGTAAGGATACCATTAAAAAACATCTCGAAAAAAAACACAACAAACACACCAAAATACTTTACCTTGACTTAGGAATGTTGCTAAGATTGTGGTAAACCTTGCTCTCCAATAACTGTACTTCAACAAGTAACGCCTTATCATCAAGTTTCTTTAGCTCTTTTAAGAGTTTTGAACCTGTTTAAGGATGATATTCAAAGTGAAAATAGGCAAAACAAACTTTGAAAGGACAAATACCCCTGTTCTTTAGATACTCAGTTTGTAAAATACCACGTTTTGTAAACCTCCCCACCTCATCACCTTGGAGTACCTGATGTCTATTGTTGTTATACTGTAGTTATAAAGGCAACCATATGGTCAGATTGTCAGAATGACAGTAACACTAACTGATGTTTCCCCAACCTCGGAAAAAGTCACCATAAGATTTAACTAGTTTATCATCAGAGTAAGAATTGAGTCACCTGTCTCTGATGGTGACTTCACCTCAGGTTGTCAAAATATCACTTATTCTTAATAACAACAGTCCTTTTCAGGAATACATTCTACTGTACAATCAGACCACATCACCAGTCAATACAAGGTTCAAGTCATTTGTGGCTTAGAAATAGGTATTCATAATATAAATGGAAATTTAAAAAATTCAGTCAGTGCTTGTATACTTACCTAATTGCAGCGCTTTGGTATAATTTTTGGTGTCCAAATACAAACCAACCAGTTTTGCCTGAAATGAAAAGTAACACAAAGTGGGAAAGTAAATACTACCAAAAAAACACCATTTCTATTATTCAAGTTGACAAAACTGAAGGATACCCCAAAATGATTTACACTGTACCTCATTTACCAGTACTTTAATCAAGACACACTAGAATAAATTAAGTATGACAATGCCTCAAGTTAAAAATCATTACCAATAGCCCACATACTGAACTATGGGCTGGTTATTTAAACAAAGTTTAGCCGTCGATGAACAAAACAGCATTCTAAGCTACCTTGAATTTAGCTGAATCTTTTATCTGAGCATTTATTATAATTGTAAACAGTGTCAAGAAGGCCAGAAGCTAGCAGTGGAAGGACATTTATTTAATTACAACAATCCTCTTGTAAAGATTACATAAGGCCCAATGCCTGGATAAAACCGTGATTTGGGTGAAACCTCATGTAAGTAACTAGCCCTATGCCTTTGGACTTGAACCTTGAAAACTGGATCAAGAGCAGTCAAGACTAATCAGTCAATTTCCTAGAAAGGATAAAATCACTGACAAATCTTGATGTTTTGAATTTTTTGTTTATAAGTAAAGCAAAAACCAAAAAAAATCAAATCAGGGACAAAATTTAGTTTCCCTCTTTTCTGTGAAGTTTACAAGTCAGCCAGTTCTTGATTTATTCTACTTTTTATTTATAACCAGCATCTAAAAATATCCAAAAACAGGTGTTGCAAAATAAACAGATGTAAGGACCAATCAGAATCTGGAGTTTGGTTTATTTTGAAACTCAGAAAACTGGGAAGATACTGATGTGCTACTAAGAGATCAGTTGAGTTCTTAACAGTCACTATCAAAACAATAAATCAAACCTAAAAACCCCAAATTAATTACCATTACCATCTGTAGTTTAGTCTGATGCCTGATGGCACTTTCTTTGAAACAGAAGAAAAATTCCACTGATATTTTTGGTGTTCAAGGTTCTCTGAGATTCACAGTCAGATACATGTATAATAGACATTAAATTGCAATCATTTAGATTAAACAACACAAACCTCAAGAGCTTGTCGTAAAAATGTTCTTTTTTCCTCTTTGGCCCAATCAATACATTCATTGCAGAGCTCAACCTTATCACAGGAGAATATAAAATTACATTTACAATTGTTTTCACCATTAACTCGTAGTAGAGTTTGAGAATCAAATCAAAATCATAATCCTTGAATGATGAGATAAAGGATTCATAATATTTCAGGAAAAAAAAACACTCTTTCTATTGGTTTACAGGTGCAATAACCCACAAAGGATTTTGGTAGAACATGAAAATACCTTATAAATCAGAGCTCGAGGTGAGTGATCTCAAACTTTTTTTTCAATAGATAGTGCCACCTGTTACTTTTGTAAAATTAAGTTAACTTTTCTATGGGTCTATCAGAGCAATACACAATAATTTTTTGTCGAATAAGGGTGCTTGTAGTATCTCACTTATTTTTTAAATCAGTAGTAAACTACAGTTTCTACCTCCATGCCAGTTGATGCTTCCATATCAAGAAACAAATCAACCAGGTTCCTAACAAGCTTGGCAGCCTTTGCTTTTGATACCATTTTCAGGAATGGGCGAATATACTTGATTAGTCCTCCCAGTTCTAATGAACAAATCAGATGATAGTTACTTAAAGTGGCCCTCCAAGGACATACTTAGAGGTTTCAATATCAGTTGTGTAGCAGGGAGATCAATCTACTTCTAAAGCTGATGACACACCTGGCAATTTTATTGGCTGATCGTGGCATATTTGATCACTGTGATAGGTGTAAAAAATCCCAGATATCTTGCATATCAGATATTGGTGATTTTGTGTGCCCATACTGTGATGATTGGTAAAAAAATGCAGTTGCTGCACTGGGCACAGTAGGCAATTTAGGCCAATTGTTGTGATTAGCAAAAATTGCCAGATGTGTTGCTGGCTTAATGTGCTGATTACAATGATGTAACCTTTCCACAAAGGTTTACTGTACTCTTAAGATAAAGCTAAATATTTTTAGATTGCTAGACCACTCAGACAAACAGAGAGCCTTAACTGAACCAACTCAAAACACAACATGCTTCCCTAGGAAACGAAGGCCTCCTGGCCTTCAAAACTAACAGCCTGTTGTTCTTAACTATCCCTCTGAACCTAATTTCATTGAAATCACTGGTACTACGAGGAAGTCATATTCTGAAACGTTAATTATGAGAGAGTGGCAATGGAATTGTCAGGAATTGTCAGTTATTATAATTATTTGGAAGGAAAAATGAACGAAGGTTTATTTCATACCCTCTGCTTTTCCGTGCTTCGACAGCATATTCCCAAGATTTAAAATGGCTTGCTCTTTCATTTTGATTCCCTCTTCATCTCCGGTGCGAATGTCACGCTTTACTAAAAGACATTGAAAGACAGTATATCCATGAGACCCTAATTACTTCTCATTGAAATATTGAGTCCATTCGTTAGAAAAAGAACATTAGGCTAGCCTTGAATACTATAGCCGTAACCCACCAATAGAGGAAAGTAATTCCATTGCTTGTTCCGGCGAGGAATTTGCCATTTCTTCGGCTAAATCGAGCTCATTCCCTGTCGCCATATTGATTTTTTAATAGTTCCAAGTTACCCATACTGCACTTGGATCGTGATTTGCATCGTCATTGTTTCCCAGTTCTTTCTCAGCCTTATGTCTCGAATTTCGTTATAGTCTGGAAATTAGCCGAATGAACCGGAACTCACGTGATCAAGATTACGAAGAGCCGACAACAAACCTGAAAATGGCGGTTGTGTTGGTCAAAGTGGATCGGAGCGTGCGTAAATGATATTTCCGTAAAATCTCCTCGTGGACGAGACAGAAACTCTCGATTGCTTCGCCATGGAAAGTGACGATTCAGAAAGGCAGAAAAAACTGGAAGCAGGAAAGGAAAAGGTAAGAATTCAACTGTGTGACGTGGCCGAGCGCGCGAAGTTCATAAACTACTCTCGCTAGTTTGCATTTCAGCTGCTCTTTCTTTGACGCTAATCCTTCCTCGTTGTTTTTCACTTGCAGCTGAAGATGTTCCAGAAGAAGAAATCGGGATCAGGGACGAAGAAAAAAAAGAAAAAAGATAGGTCTTCAACGAGTGGTTCGGCGCGGAGTCCTTCACCTGGAGAGCGACGACGAAGAAGCACCTCGCAAGATCGAGGCACGAAGCCTGCACAACCTGAAGCTGCAGTTGCTGCCGAAGAAAAAGTTCCCAAAAATGAAGGAGAAGACATGGAAGTGGAGGAAATAAGCCAAGCAGACACGGATAGAGATGCGCCATCTATCGCTTCCGAAGTGGGCTCTCCAATTCCTTTTGACGTGAGTTGGAAAGAGATTTTTTTTAAAGATCGATCAAAGTGAGAGAGGAAATGAATCACGAAAGTAGCAACTGTGCGTTGATATTGACACGAAATAGACACGTTGAGTTGCAAAGATATTCACTAAGTTTTTGTTGGAAAATTGATTAATTTCTACACGAACCATGTGTTTATTAAGTTAGAACTCGGAATATAGATTCTATTTAAGTTTTGAAGTTTGACTTGTTGGCTCGCAAACTACCGTTTTCGGAAATCCGATATTGAGATCAGTAGATCGCATGTTCAGGCATAAACAGATTATGATACCCGTGCGATATATATTCAAGAGAAAATACACAAGAAGCTGCAGATCTTAATATGTTGTTTTCGGTGTTTCTTTGTTGCTCCTTAAGTCTACTTTCTCGTGAATTTGTTTTTCTGAAGAAGTTAAATTGATTAGAAAAGTATTAGCGCTTCGTGGTGCGTGGGCAAACGCATAACAACGGAAGACGCGGTGTTTGTAGTCAATGACCTTCAACGCTGTATGCTCATAAAATATTAAGATAACACTGTTATATTTTACCCATTTTCAGGCGGAACAAGAGCAAAACTCGCAATCGGGAAGCTTTGTCAGTGGGAGTGAGTATACCAGCGGAGATTATTCTGAGGTGGGGAAACAAGTTGTGCTTTTTATTTATGTTCATGCAGCTTGTGTTTTGTTGTGGCTTTGTTGTAAAGGATAATATATATATATCAAGTTTCCGTAATCTGCCGTTTTAATAGTCTTGTTAGACAAATGTTTGTACAGGAACAGCAGGGTGTGCTGAATCGTTTACAATTTTGATTCCTTGTCTATTTTATACGAAATTGTCGAGATAATATTTCGTTTGAAAAATTTAAACGTGATCTTGAAAAAAAATTTATTAGTTCACCAAAGTGGTCATTAACACCTCTCCATTTGCATTCTTTCTTTGATTGTCCTTCTGGGAAGTCAATATGGAAGAAATTATTTGCGTGCACAATTAACTTCATGGCCATTTATGTGCGTAGATCAGAGGAATAAATCACTTATCCAGGTTTAGTTCAGACATGAAAATATATTAATTTTGGGAGAATTTGCATTCATAAAACTGACAACATAAGCATCCATTTAGTCAAATCTACCGGTGTATTCTGCCTGGCTCTCATATTATTTGCATTTAACTTTGTTTGCAGTGCATTTCATTAAATAGTTTTGTTGCTACAACAATATAAACCTATGCACCATAAAACCCCTCAAGCATTTTAAAATTATTGTTGTAATGCATGAGTGTGTGCAGCTGTTTCAATACTTATCAGATTAAAGGAAATTTCACCTTTACAGGACGTTTTGTTATATCTTAGCTTGTTATTTGGATGTAAAAGTCGATAGGTTAATACAAACACTGAATCAATATAATTCCACAAAATTTTTGTGAATATTAGTCTGCATAGAGCATCTTGCTTTGTACACAATAATCTCTAAACGAAAGACATATATAATCTGTATGTTCCTAAGCTTGAATGCTGAATATCCATGCAGAGTGAAATAATATGAGCATGTATTCATATTTTCCTGTTGGTTTTTGTTTTTATATCTTATTTTGCAACATTATTAGGAACACAAAAAAGCAACAATGTCCTAGAAAACATTATGTATTTGTATGGCTTGGCTTTTTTATAATTTATTGGCCCCTAATTAGGCATAATAATCCTGTCAAAAGGAGGCAACCAAATTTACCCCTTGAGTGCCTATATGACATACTGAGTATGTCATGTTTTTTTCCTCTCAGGTGCCTATATGACATACTGAGTATGTCAAAAATTTAAGACTTTATGCGAATTTCTCGGCACACCAGAAACAATTTGAACCAGCACCCAAGAACCACAATAGATTTTGTGGGAGACTAGTAACTAGTTTTTTGTTCCCAAGAGAATCTGAGAACTTGTCTTCACCTTTTGTCTGATTTTTGTCCGCCATCTTGGTTTTGTGTTTTGCTTGGTGCATGTTGCAAAAGTTGCGAGAACAAAACTGTTAATTACGTTATGTTTTGAAAAGAAAAACTGAACGAATATCGGGATACAGTACAGACGATGTATTAGCAAGTGTATGGAATGATTTGGGCAATTTACCTTAGGATTACATTTTATTTTCTGGGGTAGATCACCTGAGAAGTTGAGTGAAAATTAGCTTATTGTTGTGGTATAGAATTAGGTTATTATTGTGGTATAGAATGGCTTTTCAACTCTCAGGTTGAACATGACATGGTGACTTGCTATGTCAATGTGTTGCCTCTCTTCTCCTCAAAAGCTGTCTTAATTAAAGTAGTTGCCTTCAGGGAGCCTTTGAATTTTCCACTGGCTTAAAAATGTTACTTGGTCCACTTGATTGCAACACATTATTTTTCCCTGAGAGTCTATGAAATTTTCCTGTTTTTAAGCTCTTATTGTTTTGAATTCAGTTCTTCCCTTAAAATGCAGATTTAAAGAATTTTAAATTTTACCAGGCTCAGAAACAAATGTGTTAACTGTTTCTAAAACTTTCAAACTTTCCAACTAGATTGCTTTTAGATCAAAAGTCTTTAAACCAAAACCAAAATTACAGCAAAGGCCAATCAGACAGAAGGAAAATGCTGAGAGCAGCCAATGACAACCCAAAGAAAAAATGCTCAAATTGCCTGAAGGGTGGGAAAACCTTGCATGACCAAGTTGCAAGTGGTTTTAATATTTGAATCTGATTGGTTGAGAAAATGTTACAAGTTTTCTGACCTATCAAGAGGCAAAGCACATGTAAAGCAAAACAAAATCAATCCTTGATTATTATTGAGACTGTTGAAAACTGCTATATTATTATGATGTTGCTGCAAACCAGCCATGACAACATATTCTTTGACAGCTTTTATTAACTGACTACAATCTCTACAGTGTGGTAATGCTGGTATCTGCATGGTACAGTTTCTTTGCATGGCTTGTTTGCCAAGTGCAAGCATATGATTCTTTCGTTTGCTTTGTTCATATTGTTGTTTCTCTCCTTGAATAGGAAGGTGGATTGGACAGTTATGACATTGCAAATATAGAACGAAATGAATTGAAGAACAAGGCACAAGAATTGGAAGAAGAGCTTACTGCTAAAAAGGCAGCATTGAAGCAGATCAGTCGTGAAAATGCTGAGTTAAAGGGAAGACTTGAACTAATGTTGCAAGATCAGTCTGGAGGCTCAGTAATCAAGGACCTCAGCAGGCAAGTAGAAGAAATGAGAGAAAGTTTACAGATGAAGCAGTCCATTCTTCAAGACATAAACAAAGAAAATCAGGATCTTCGAGCCAAACTAGAACAAGGTGAACAGAGGGAAGGAAAGCCTGATGGTGGGCAACTTGAAGAGTTGAAGGTTAAAATGAACGCCCAGCAAATGACTTTGGATGGACTGAATGAAAGAAATAGGTTTCTTGAGGATGAAAATACAAGGTTAAAGAAACAGACGTCACAAGGTGGTGATATGCAAACAGACTTCTCAGAGTTGGAGAACTTGAAAGAGACCTTAAGTGCTAAAGAGGAAGTCTTAGTGAAACTTCAGCAAGAAAACAGTGAACTTGCTGCACGATTGAAATCATTTGACGAAAGTGCCAGTGGAAAGGTGCAAGAAAGTTCTCACAAAGTGGACGAACTTTCTAAAATGTTGTGGGAGAAAGAGAGTGAGATTGGAAACTTGCAGTACTTGAAGTCACAACTTGAGGAGAGACTTGGAAGTTTACAAAATGTCCAAAACGAACTTGAAGAGAGTAGAAGGCAAGTGACTGCACTTGAAGCTCAAATGGAAAATTTAAGGGTAGAAGATCAATCTTTTGAGGAGAAATCTGAAGTGGAAAACCTCAGAGAGAACCTTCGACTCAAACAGGAAACAATGGAACAGCTTAACAAGGAGAATGAAGAACTGAAGGAGAGATTAGATGCCCAAGGGACAACAGATGTAAAAGGACTTCTTGAGGAAAGCTACCAGAAACTCCAGGAGTTAAGCGAGGAATCAAAAGCAAAGGATGAACAGCTTGAAAAACTACAAACTCTTCAGTCAGAGTTTGAGAAGAGCCAAGATGCAAACAAAGAGCTTGAACAGCAAGTTTCATATTTGAAACATCAACTTGCCTTGGCAGAAGACAACTCACTTTCTGAATCATCTCAGATGGAGAACTTGAGAGAAAACGTCAAACTTAAACAAGAAACAGTTCAGCAACTCAGCAATGAAAATGAGGAACTGCGAGCTAAGATAGAAGAGTTGGAAAAAGGAAATTATGATATGGAAGACACGAGAGCTAAAGTTGAAGATCTTTCAAAAGAGTTAGAATCCAAGAAAGATGAGTTGAGTCATTTTGAAGAACTGCAAAATGAATTTCAAAGAAGCCAGGCCAGATGCACTGAACTTGAACAAGAAGTCACCAGACTCCAGGGTGAGGTAGAAGCACTGGAGGACAACTCACAGTCTGAGTCATCATTGTTGGAAAATTTGAAGGAAAACCTGAAAATCAAGCAACAAACTGTTGAACAACTTGGCAAAGATTACCAAGCATTACAAGAGCAGCTGATGGAGAGTAAGACAAGCTTGGATGGACTGTCAGAGCAGCTCCTGAACAAGCAGAATGAGTTGGACACAGTGATAGGAGAGAGGGACAAGAAACTGATGCAGCTGATGGATCAGTTTGCTGAGAAGGATGAGGAACTTGAGGATCTGAGGAAGAACGACGAGCAGATGAAGTCACAAATTCAACAGCTTGAAAGTGATGTAAGTATTTCTGAACGTGTACTAGTTCTTAATCTTGTAAGAAATAGCCCTCTTAACCCTTTAACTCCCAGATCAAAATTGTAATTCTCCTTACTGTCAACCATACAATTCTAATGATGTTAGTTCAGAGAATTTAGAATTGGATCAACTAATTATCCCCTAATTGATATATTTCTTTATTCTCATCACTTATCTGGTTGATAGTGTATTGATATTGTAAGGAGAAATTCTGTCTTGGTCACTAATGGGAGTTATAGGGTTAAATCTTTTTTTCCGGCGATCGCACTGTTAATTACCCTCACAGCTGTACCTCCTTCCATGATGCAACTGGTATTTAACAATGTCCTTCAGTTTATATTTTTCGTAATTCTCTTTTCCTGTGTGCTTACAAATGATTTGATATAGTGCAGAAAAACTACTTCTTGGTCGCTCTCGCAAGTAAACGGCTGAAGTTTTAGTAGTTTTCATTTTCAACCGCCACAGGGTCTAGTGCCTGTTTGGTTATTAACCCTAAGCATCTGAGAGTGATAAGCAACTAATTTCTCCCAACAATCTCACCCCTGAATCAAACATTAAGGTCACGAGAATAAAGGAAATGATCATCAACTAAAGAAACTGTTGATTGTTAAACAAATTCTCCTTGTCACCATCTTAGGAAACGTATCGAGAACAGTATGGAGAATATGCATACTGATGTGAGGGTGTAAAAAAACTAAGCCCCCAATGATAAAAACGTTTAACCTTAATATCTTGTTTGAAGGTCTCCACGTACCGCACTCAATCTGAACAACTTGCTGATCGTTTGAGTGGGTCCCAGGACCAGTTGCTAGAGCTCCAAGAGGCCATGGAAAGAAGAGAAGAGACTGTGAGAGATTTGATGACCAAGCTTTCAGAAAGTGAAAGTGAGCAGATAAATGCTAAGCAAGACGCTACCCTGGAAACTAAGGAGTTAACTGAACAGATTAAGATGCTTCAGGAGCAACTAGTACAGGTTGGTAAAGCTCTTTAAGAGGCTAAGAAATTTGACTCACAGATTTGGAGTGGTTTCATTTTTCCTATTTTTAATGGCCCTGCAGTGTAGGATTAACTCAAATAACAGCATGCGGTTTGTGCGGGAACAAGTGTTAAGCTACAAAGCTGTCTTTCTTTGAGATTTGTCCTCTTGTTTGCGCGATTAACATTTAGTTTGATATATTTTAATTTCTTAGAGCGACAGTAGCCTCAAAACCCAACAATCAGAAATGAACAAGGCTTCCAAAGAACTGCAAGACACCAAATCCTTGATAGAAGATCTTCAGAGCGAGATATCGGAGAAGGACAATGTAATCATTGAAATGTACAGTCTGAAGGAGAAAGACGAAGAAAACTACAAGGCTACTATAGATCAGATCAACGAGGAGTTAAAAGAGAAAATTAGAGCTCTTGAAAAAACAAGTCAAGAGCTGCAAGAGAAAAATAGAATACTTGATCGAATGAACGAAGAAATTCAAGAGAAAAATAGAACGCTTGATCAAGTTAACGAGGAGCTGCTGGAAAAGACTAGAACGATTGATCAGCTAAACGCCGATGTTGGAACTTTTAAAAGTGAGGTAGAAGAACACAAGGGTAATGTGCATCAATTGGAGGAAAAGCTTCGTGATGTTCAAGAGGTGAATGCTGGTGAAATTGAGAAACTCAGAGTAGAGCACCAAGATGAGCTACAGGCCCTAAGTTCTAAACATGTCGCCGAGTTTGAGAATCTGAAACTATCGATGAGTGAGCAACTGGAAGAATCGGGACTCGAGGTGGACAAAGTAAGGCAGGAACAGATTGAGAAGCTGAAACAAATCCACGAAAGTGAGCTGAACGTGCTGAAGGAAACTTCAGACAAGCAGATCGCGTTCAATCATAACTTGGAACAACAGATGAAAAAGATGAAAGAAGACTTTGACAATGATCTAGCTCGGGCGAGAGATGTCGTTGCTCAGAAAGATGCAGTTGTAGAAGATCTGAAAGAACAGTTGAAAGACATGAAAACTTCAAGTGCAAGTGAAATTAGCGAGCTGAAGAACGAGTTAAAGAAAAAACAAAAGGAAATTGCTGAACTAGAAGACAACTTGTCGAGCTTTGAGGAAGAACACAGCAGCGACGTTGCGCAGTATGAACAATCCATGCAAAAACAACAAGAACAAACAGCCGAGCTGGAGAAACAGTTGGTGTTAGAGCTTGGCAATGAATCTGCGAAGTACGAGCAAAAGCTTGCCGAAACGAAAGCTCACCTTGAAGCTCAATATAAGAAAGCGATTCAAGAGCTAGTGCAGCGAGTGAAGGATTTAGAATCGGAGAACGAAACACTGCAATCGACGCACGGACAGGAAATGGAGGTGTTCAGAGAGAATCTTGCTCAGTACACTAGCAACTTAGAGGAACAGATGCGAGAATTACAATCGGGAGCTCAGGAGGAACACGAGAGCGAAATGAAAGCACTTCAGGCAGAACACCTTGGGGCGACGAAAAAATTGGAGAGAAAAGTCAAGACGTTGTCTGAGGAGAAAGAAGCTTTGGAGACGAAGATAAGAAGTTTTAGTGGTGAAGAAGGAGGTGGAGATTCAGTGGGACAGAGTGAAGAGGTTGCAAGACTGAAGGAAGATTACGAGGGCCAGATACTAACGTTAAAAGAGCATGCACAGAATGAAAGAGAAAGATTAGAGAAAGAGGCCGTCGATGCGGTTAGCAACAAAGAAAAAGAATTTATGGAGGTGCTTGAGAAAGTCCTTGAGAAGCATCAACAAGAAGTGGCAGATTTAAGGAGTTACTACGAGCAGCAGTTGTCAGACACTGGTGAAGGACGTCTGTCGTTTGGAGAAGAAGATGACCCGCTGGTGATCTCCACGCAGCTGAAGCAGGAGAAGGAGAGAGAAATCTCACGGCTGAAGAAACAGTTCCTACAAGAAAGCGAAGAAAGGATCGCATCCGCGCAAGAAGCGTTGCTGTATAAAGTTGCAAAGGAAGAAGAGGAGAATACCCGATTACGAAACAAGTTGGCAAACAAGGACCAGGAAATTTCTGAGGTAACTAGCGAGCGGGACAGGCTTCTGAATGAGATTCAGGTGCTGACAGATACTCATAGGGTGCTTGAACAGATGACGGCCCCATTGGAGCCAAGTCTCAGCCCTGTCTCCAGTCAGGTTGTGCAAGAGGAACCACTGTTTGTACAAGAATCTGCCGATACTCTGGAGGTTTTACCCGGTGCTGGATTTAACGAAGGTATGGAGATTTTTATTTCATTACTTTCATTTATGCTACGAAGAAAAGGCATTGCTCGAAACCTAATGACTTCAAAATCTATTTCGATTGGTAATCTATCCTCAATCAACTTTTGGTTGATTGTGAAAATCAAAATGCTCAGGAGGAAACACTATGCAATTTAAATATTCAACAAATACATGCTTATTGAAAAAGTCCAGCAGCGATAGTCCAAAGCACGTGAAGTGCGCGAGACCCACGCGTGTTGCTATTAGAAAAGACCCTCGTTGGAGTTAAGCGTTACTTGAACATATAGGCGATTTTAAATTCAATTGTGCTTAGTACAGATGGAAGCGAAATGCCGGAAAAGAAGATCAACCAAGAGTTTAAGTGGATGCCTCGGGACCTGATGCCCATAACCATTTTTTCTTTTGTGTCGTTTATTTTTTAAGGTTCTGTCTCAAAGCAATCTGATCTAACAACAAAACTCAACCAGATGCAAGAGTTGGTCCGACAGAAAAACATGGTCGAAGTTAAACTAAGCCAGCAACTGCAGGAGACAAAGAAAGAGCTCGATAAGGAAAGAGAAAATTACAGAGCTGAGATGCAGGAGAGAGAGGCCCGTGAACGCGCGCTGGAACTCAGTAAAAGACAGCTTGAGGAGCAATTGACCGCAATGGACAGAGAGAACTATGAGTCCCTTCAGGAGTTGAACTTGTTGCAAGAGAGACTTCAGGAGAGAATTCGAGTCGAAGGTGAGCTAAGAGAAGAAAAGAACAAGCTGCTGAATGTGATCAAGGAGAAGGACGCCGAATTGGCGAAGGAGAGGGGAGAACTGACGGAAAGACTGCAACAACACGAGCAAGTAATTGAGGTGAATACTTCTTTTTGTGTGTACCATTCATTGGGTGTGGTATGTAAGGAAAAAAATTATTAAAAATCATATGAAAGACTTAAAAATTTTTCGAAATTTGAGCGAAAGTCTTGTGTGTTTTCCTAATCTTCAACGAGTGCTCGATAATTGAGTGAAATTTTTGAGTGGAATTTTTGCGTCTTTTCTTTCACGATGCTGTGGTTGTACATTGCGAGAGATTCAAGGTTGCTCTTTTTGCTTCACAAACCAGTCAGTTAAATTTTTCATTTATTTGTCAATCGCAGGAGTTGCGCGACAGGATCTCAACGTCGGACTCAGTCTCTGATGATGTGCAGGACGCGTTCGGTCGTCAGTTACTCGTGCTTCAGAGTCAAAGAGATTCGCTGTTACAGCAGCTTGAACAACAAAAGAAAGACCGCAACTCTTATGTGGACGTGCTGGAGGAGAAGAACGCTTTAGAAGATAGTTTAAGGTAGATGAGCAGGATGTTGAGTAACCTCTTTTGTCTAGGATCTGATTTTGGAGTGTTCGATTTTTTCATTCGCGTTAGACGACCTTATGTCCGAAATTGGACCGAGAGGATTCCATACTGCTTTTGACTTTCACGTGATAAAAAACTCGAAGCGTGGTTGCTACGGGTCAGGAAACAGCCGAGGAAACAATAAGTTGCGAGCGAGGTCCTCGCAAAACAAAATGGAATTTAATGAAATTTGAAATAATAACTTCCTAACTCGTCCGTGCCCCTGACTTTGGTTTGTTTTGTTGAGGCAACTGTTGTTGAAGGTAATCGATGGTCTATGGAAAGTTTTTTTTTTTTTACGAGAGGGATTTTATCTTTATCAGGAAAAACCGATTGTGAAATTTCGAAAACTTATCAGTGTTTATTGTAACAGCGCTCAAGCTCTTTCTTTTTCCCCCAATTTAATCGTTCTAAGTCTTTGACTCGGTTTTTTTGTTCTTTAGACTTGAACGAGAACGACTATCTGAGAAACTTCGCCAGAAGGAAGTTTTGGAGCGAGAACTGAGTCGTGAGAGAGCTGCCCTACAAGAACAGTTGATCAAGCAAGCCAAACTAAACGAGATCATCAGGCAGAAAGATCTGTTTGAGAAAGAACTTAGGAAGGAAAAGAACGAACTTCAGGTAACTTGAGACGGTTCACGTGTAGTGTGGATGAATATTTCTCAATTTTGGTTAGGTTTGCCTTGAAAAGCAGTGTTAATTTTGATTCGAAGTCATCTAGTGACGTGATTACTTGAATTGATATGACTTCACTCGATTTGTGGTCGACGCAGTCTCCAAGTGGTTAGCCCGCTGAACTCCGGATCGAGTAATGCGGGCTCGAGCTTCGTCGTGAGGGATTAGGTTGCGTATTTAAGCAAGTCATTTCACTCTTATATAACTGCTTTCCCACTCCCAACCCCCTTCTCAGGTGTTATCTCCGATAGCTTAGCATCCGGTTTAGAACACTCCAAATCACCTCATGCTATAAAAACCGCGGTAAGCTCTGAAGTAATTTTTAACTTTTCGTTTACCACTAAACCCCCCCCCCCCTCCCCCCATTATGGCTTGAGTTGACTCAAGTTGGACCGAATTTGTAAACTATTAGTTTTTTTTCTCTCTTAGACAATGCTAAGCACTACATGATGAACTGCGATACAGTTCTCGTGTAGAAAAAGTAAAAAAAAATTTATTTACTATCAGAGATTTATTTCCCATAGATTGAACTGGAAGCTATTGAGTCAAAACTGCTCGATAAAGAAGAGCTGCTCTTACACGAGAAAGAACGCCTCGAGGAGGAAATGAGACAAAAAGAGCAACAACTGCAGGAATGGGAACACGAATTCCATCAGAAAGAGATGGAATTCTTGTCCAAAGAGGAATACATCAGAGAGCAGTACAACAAAAATCTGTTAGAGACCCGCTCGGACTTAGAGAACCAGTACTCCGCCTCGATGCAACAGTTGCGGACCGATTTGGACGAGGATTACCAGCAGCAGTTGAGGAGACTGGAAGCTAGCTTGAACGATCATTATGGCGGCGAGATTGGTCAGCTCAAAGCCTTGCATCAGGAACAGGTGTTGTGGTGAAAACTGCTTATAGTATTAAAATATTGTTATCAGATCAATGTCAGTATCTGGGTAACTTCCCTTCACCAAACTTTAATTCTAACATGTTTTCAGTTGACTGTTATTGTTTTGGGGAAGGGGTTGGTGCGCAGTTGTTTAGATTCTGTCATTGATCCGTGTTATCATGGAATGGTGCCTGGCACGTATTTTGAAGTTACCATTAGTATTTCAAGCTTTTCATACATCTCCGTACGTATCCTAATGTTGTTAATTTACCAAGAGGTTGTTGCGCTTCCGTTTCCTAAACAGAATTCTGTTTGTATTTACTTAAGAGTTTTGATAGTGTTTTTATAGAAATTAGGGAAAAGGGAATGGTCAGAGAAATCTGGTGGTGAATACACTACTTGGAGACAAACTGTCATTGCTTTTTGTCTTTTGAAAAAGAAGAAACCAACAGAGTCCCCAATATGTAGTTTAGCAGCTACCCATTTTGTACTGTAAATGCGTGTCGTTTGGTGGTGAAATTACCTCTCGTTTTATCAAAATATTTTCAGAAATGTTCTAATTGTAGCCAGCTAACCGTGGGTAATCTTGTAAAACTATGATACTTACAATTCCGTTTTTCGAGGTGGGGAAACGAGGGTGGGGAAGGAGTCGTCGCACACAGATCTGTTGATGTGTTAATACGTAAAACGTAATGTTTGTTGTAACATTTTAATCTAGATCTGTACATGTGGTGAGTTTCATCTGTATTGTCTGAGTGAACTAGGGCAGCCGCCTTCTTTTCTCTGATTGGCCTATTGAGTTTTCCCGCCGTTTCTGGCCACCCGCGTCAGACGGCTGGCTTTCCAAAATATTCCTCGATTTCGGCACCTACCAGGCTAAACTTTTTTTAATTGAGGGCATTTAGGTTGTCAGCATGTCCGTTATTTGTTTGTGACGTTTTATGAAAAGACGCGTGAAAGACATAACAGAAAACAAATCTTAAAATTTTCTTTCGTGCATGGATGCCCTCGTTGACTCAGGTGAATGCTTGAATTGAATATCAAAAACTGTATTAAATATGGTTAGTTAAATTTCAGAAATGACAATTCAAATACAGAATAATATAAACTGAATATTTTTCATAGACGCAATGGTTGAAAGTATGTGCCTTACTTGATAAATAAATTATAAACAAATAGATACGTTGTTCGGTAGAGGAATATTTGAAATGTTCATATAGGAAAATGAAAAATTTAAGTGGAGAATGTCTGGTCTCGTAAAGCGAATATTGTGGAACCCTAGGCAATATTATGTACTTTTTCTCAAAGAAATAATCTCAAATGATGGATTGTTGTGAGATCAAACAAAAAATATTAATATTTTTAAATACTTTGCTATCAAAGAGAAAATAAGAATTTTTTTTTTTATATAATGGCGGTGAATTTTAATAAAGGGATATTTCTTGGAGAGAGGACCAAAAAGTTTCGTTGCTTCTTGTGTTGCCCTGGTTTCACTCAGACTGCGATAACTGTGTGTTCTTTATACTTTAATTTTATCACGACATGTTTCCAGTTCTTCTTCTTTTGTTGTTAATTTTTTTTTGATAGCCGTAACCGCGAAGCGCGTTTGATGATTTCCGCTATTTGGGCTTTCAGCTGGGTTAGTCATTGTTTTAGAAATGGCGGCGTTCATGGTCAAACTTTTAGAAATTTGAACACAGCATCCCAACGGATGCCTCCTCTGTGGAACATCATAACACCTCTACGAGAAAATTTGATGTACGCCTTTTTATGGCGGTGGAAAGATATATGATTTATTGAGGATACTTCTCTAACGAACGCGAAGCGAAGTGGGTAAGGGTGGTCGCTCTCGCTCGCTCGTCTCGTGCGCTTGACTCGTGCGATTAAGGTTAAAGATAAGATTGGCAAATGAAAGACAAAAACATCATTATGATGGCTTTTCAAAAAGAAAGCGTCGTAGGGCGAGTTCTCGTAAGCAGTGCCATTCTGGCTCACCCGTCGTATATGGAAAGGCTCTTATGTGTGAAAGTAGTTAATGTGAGACTGGTTTAAAAAAAAAAAAAGGCACCGTCTATCATTTTATCGCACCGACTTTTAGAACTAGTGTCTAAAAGACCTGACTTGAGGACATTTTTTAAAATTGTTATCGTGATTTTTGCGATTGATTGCTGCCATAGCGATGTCCAATGATTTCATGAATACCCTGCGAAAATAAATTTGGCAATTTGATTAGTCTGTGACTTTCAAAACAAACAAATAAACAAAATATCTCTCTGAATTTTAAGAATAAAAATGCATTTATTTTTTTCCCTAGAAATTCTTTCGCGTGACAGCGATTTTCAGTCCCTAAATTGATCACGTGTTCTTTTGGTAAAGCTGAAATTTGTCATATAAAAAACTTCGTAAACCTTTAATTTACAAATTAATTTGAAATGTGACTTTCAAATTTAAAATAAACTTTGTCGGTTCCATTCTCAAGGTACATTGTTTCGCGGCAAACTACATTGTCGAGAATTATTGTCAACGCCAGTCAAAATATCAACTCTTCTCATTTTGAAACACCTCATTTGCTGAAAAAATTTTTTGTTTTGCAAAGTGTAAACAAAAAGGTTTTTCGATCGTTTACAACAATATAGTCAGGTTTGTTCATCGTTACTCCGATAGCGCCGGTTGCCTGGATATACGTAACCTTTGTGGGAGTCAAAAACCAAATTCCCAGGCAAATATTGATGACAATATCCACCGGCCAGGCCAAACATTAATATCCGCTGAAAGCCGTCGCGTCTCGAGTCGAAGCTGTACGCCATGTCCTGTTGTGTTGCGAAAAAAATTCCCGACGGGATTAACGCCGGAAGAAAGATGGAACCAGCTTACAGCAGTAGTACGAACGGCCTATTTTTGTGATGAAACGGCGGACTAATTGCTTTTTTGATCCGAACTGAATACTCATCTGAATGTGCTGTAAATTGTGTCATTCACAAGCGACCTTTACTTGACTCCGGTGGCTCGAGTGAAGTTTACATATGGAATGGTGCGATCTTTCGTTGTGGCTCGTCAACTCGCTGCTAGAGCGAGACTGTTTCAAGGTGGGAAATTTTCGGGTTTTTTTGTAAGCCTCGACGAAACAAGATTTCTGCTCCTAGCGTTTTATTTTTATTGTGGTACTTTATGTTAATATAGACGTAATTTAGTCTAGTAACCGATGTTGTCAGTGATATTGCTTGTGCTAGTGATTTTTTTCTACGTTACACACGAGCGAGTCGTTAATACAATACTTTGCATTTTGGACTTGTTACTTGATTATAAATTTACTCGACTTCACAACGATTACAACAGAATCTCACCAATCTGAGCAAGATTGAGCGTTAGCATTTGCCGTTTCCTATCTAATAATTTTTATTCCGCATTTTTGGAGAGTTTCGAGATTACTTTCAATCTGAATGAAACGCAAGTCAGTTAAGCTTCTAGAGAATCGAAACAAGTTAGAACCGAATGTGTTCGTATCTTTTATTTTGTCCGTGGAGAATGCGAATTTATTATTCCTCGACGCGTTTCCCGGCCAACCAATCCAAATTGTCGAGAGGACGTGCATCACCGGTTACCCACCTGTTTTTAATTATGTAACGAATTTTGTGATTGGTTGGCACAGTTTATTCCGTCAAAATAGTGACCCTTCCGTTACGTGTCGTTTCGTGTCACGCCATTTAATTACAGACGCCCTTTGAGCAATATTTTGCCATCTCTCGCTTCCTTTTCGTTTATTATTATTTTGTTAGAATTTATTTTTAAGCCAAATTGAAAATGTCAAAGAAGCTTGTTACATCTGGTGAAGTTTTCTTTGTCTTTGCCTTGTGTGAAAGAAAACGCTTATTTTTATTCCTTTTCCACGAGTAAACAAACCCGTCAGAAATGAAAAGTTTTAAATCTTTAATCTCCATCACCCAATTTCACCACAACATAACCTCATTGGCTCCCGGCCATCGAAACATCAGGCGCACCAAAACATAGCAATTAACTGAAAAGGCGATAATTTCAGCGATGGACCGTTGCACGGGTTTTTAAACGACAAAAACGTTGGTTTTTTACTCTTTGTGAATCTATTTCGCTCTACATCTGGACTGTACCTGGAAATACTCAGGTAAACAATAGTATATCTCATTTACGATGTTAATTTGAAAGCTCTTTCATTTCGATCTTTTGACATATAAATTTTGTTGGAATTGTTTCTACTACTCTTTTCTTACCACGATGTGCTAAAACGTATCATTGGGTAGATTTGTTTTCGCCCTGCGATCGGCCGAAAAAGTTAGAAATGTTTCAAAGGAATTGGAACTAATTTGTGTCATCTAACCTAGCACATGTTATTAAAGTTATTGGTTATTAGACCACTTTGCTTACAGATGAACGTGTAGTTTAAATTAGTTTGCGATCAGGATTTCTTTGCGCGTCATTCTTCTATCATGTTGCCGTGAAACATTTTATGCTCAGTTAAAATATAACCTCCTTGCGAGCTGCGATCGCCGGAGTGCACTTAACGACATAAGCGAGTGATATTTCATCGTTCTCCCGCGCTTAATGAGCAAATATCAATAATTTCGCTCAAGAAATCGCGAGTAAGCATTGAATATTTATTTTTAATGACTGCTTCAGGATAGTTATTCCAGTGTTAATCTGACGCCTTGGGCATGCTCACTAGCTAGAAATCATCGAGCTGGCTTTCGATTAACGGCGAGCCATTGTTAATCTTTAATTGCTTGGGTGACTGTTCGTTGTTTGCATTGTCGGCAGTTATTTGTGTTTGTTTTGTTTGTTTCCTTTGTCCTTTTCATGTCACATTGAGTACCATTATTGTGGCTTTTGGTCGAAACTGGGCGTACGAAAATATCTACAAAAGCGATTCAAATTGAAAAGGAGGTTGGTCCAATTAACAAGTGAAAGTAACACTCAGTTTTGGCAGGTGTATCAGAAGAGTCTGTAGCGTAAAAGTCACGTAGAAGATTTCGGTGATTATGTATATTGCTTCCCTGCTTTGTAAGATCGTCGTATAACGGTCATGTAGTGCCATCCCTATAAAATACTGTACGTGATGTTCTTAATCCGCTCGCCGCTTTTTTTTTTTTTTTTTCCAAAGATTAGAAGTTCCCACCTTGTGGGATATCACAGTTCTCCAATTGCATATCCATATGTTATTTTTTTTTCAGAATTATGTAGTTCCCTTAGTACGTTTTTCTAAAATTCATTGTTCCCAATACTCTTTTGAAGGAGAATAATTTAAAATACAAATCTTCTCAATTAATTGTGGGTTTACTTGCTAGAGATGTGTTTTTTTCCTCGATTCTAGCAGACACAACACCTTTTTTTTTTATCTACATAATTTATATGATGATCTACTCAGTTAGAAAGCGGGAACCCTTCTCATTGACAATCATCAACCCCAAGCAGAAGCTGTAAATCCTTGAGGCTTGAGATATCATCGTATATAAGATCAGAATATTCTGCTGCTATATCATCGAAACAATGAGAAATAGTGTCTTTAGAAAACAACTTTTAGCCCCTTCATCATGTTAGTGGTTCCTTATTGACACAGAGTGTTGCGATATAGAGAGCTATATTCTTTAAAAATAATTAATTTTACAGAGATGCAGAGCTCATTTGTTAGCTCGATTTTACCCTTTTCTGGTCTTGCAAATGCGAATGTCTCATAGGACAATCTTTGGTGTATTCCAAAACAAAGAATAGGAAATTTCTTCGGAACTATGTTTAGAAAAATTAGTGCTTTAAGCAAAGAAGGAAACAGATTTTGAATGAGACCAAGCTTCGAACGTGATGAATTTATTCAGCCCTTTTGACGCGGTGCTTCAAATTCAACATATATTGTAAGCATGTCAGCCTGAAAAAAAAAATTGAACAACAGAGCAGAGAAGCATAGAGAAATATTGTTTCCGTAACCATATTTTTTACCCATACACCCGAACGTGCAAAATTGCACACTGTACTCATTTTTTAAGGTTGTGACAATAAGAATTGGTTTTACAATCAAGAGTTCCTTTAGTTGGTGATCGTTTGCTTTATTCTCGTGACTTAAATGTGTGATTCAGGGGTGATATTGTAAGGAGAAATTAGATGCAAGTCACTATTAAGGATCAAAGGGTTAATCGTTAGTTTTAGTGCGCTAGAGCAGTGATTGATTTTTCCAGAACGAGGTCAAATGTTTTTTTGCATTTTCAAGATTTATGGATCACACCTCAGGATGGTGGACGTCTGACAGTTCAGTTTCTTTCGGCAAGAAAAAAAATTGCATTCTAAACACAAGTGCTTACTTGTCTTGAAGTCAGTTGCTTTTTGCAAGATAGATATTGGATATCTGTTTATCCCAAGAAAAAAAGACAGCGAAAATTTTCATACAATGCATTAATGAAAAATTTAGTAACAAAGATTGAAGTAACGGTCCAAAATTCTAATAGCCTTCTATTCTCCACCTGACCCGTTTGAGTTGAGGTTTTTAAATTGTATAAAAAAACCACTCGACTTGGGCCAATCAGAGTAAAATAATTTGGTTATATCAACTGAGTTGATAATGTAAATTGGACACCAAGTTTCAAAGCTGACGTTTCGAGCGTTAGCTCTTTGTCAGAGCAGATGAGAGTAAGATCGACGCAAAGGTGTGATATGCAAAACAGATATCTTTTAGATAAATGACACAACCTTTTAAACTCTAATTTAGTTTGAACTTCTTTTGATGAATTGTTGAATCACAATTGTACAGTTCTATTGTTCTTTGTTTGGGATGAATAATTGCTGAGGTCGTGAACACTGTGCTAAAACAAACATACAACAAAAGCTCCTGTCTGGTGTTAACACGCGTCACCCAGTCGGTAAACAAAGATGGCGTCCTCTACGCTTTCGGCCTAACTCGAGTTTCTTTCTGTGTTTCTTCTTTTCCAGATGACACGGATGAATTCTGAGTTTGAGCAAAAACTCTGGGAGCTCAAGAACGAACTGGAATCGCAGCGTCTTCAGCAAGTTGGAACTATGAAGAATGTGCTGGAGAGACAACACTCGAAGGACATGTTGGAGATTGACGACGTTCATCAGCAACAAATGGAAGAACTGAGGGAAGGTAAGATAATGGAAAATGTGTGGACATCTTAGGAGAAATAAATGAGCGATGACCTCGCAGGCTCGGACATTGCGGAAACATTACGATCAGAGGAGTCAAATGATTGAATCTACTCTTTTGACTTGTGAATTAACGTGAAGTTATTAGCCTAAGAAAGATGGTAAAGTTTTAGCCCCAAGTTGAGTGAAGAAAGACTTTTATAATCGTGTTTTAACAAGCGCGGGACAAAGAGAATGTTGGAATCCCCAAAAACAAGTGTGAAGGTCATAAGAATAAAGGAAGCGATCACCAATTTAAGAAGCTCCTGATTGCAACACAAATTCTCTTTGTCAGTGCCATAGGGATTGTAAAGAGAATGGTGTAGAGAATATAAATACTGATGTCAGGGTGTAAAGGTATTAGGGTTAATCATCCTAAGGTTGAAGGTAAATTCCCCCCTATGAATAGCGTGGTGGTGCACATTTATTTAACCCTCAAGCTCCCAGAAGTTATTAACACGTAACTTGTCCCTGTAATATCTATGCATTATCCAGCCAACAGGTAACGAGAATACTCAACGTTATCAGTTGGAAGCTTTCATCTTGATCTAACACCAGATTCTCGTAACTACTTTACAAGAAAATGTGAAGAAGCTAGAGAGGAGAATTAACAATCCGTTTTTTTTTCTTTTTATCGTTAAGATCTTGACCAGCGACACCAAGAGGTTATGGGAGCTGTTCAGTTGCAACTAGAAACTTCGCATCACGACGAGTTGAACGAACTCACCGCCAGTTTCCTGGCTGAGACTGCTATCAAGGTCGAGACTGCCCGTTTGGAGACTGAGCACGATTGGCAACAAAAACTAGACGAAATGAAAGAAAAACACGCGCTGGAAGTAGATGCAATAACTGAAAAGATGACACAAGTGAGTGATGAATTCACTCTTAAAATTTTTCCTCTTCATTATTTTTTTTCTCTAGATTGGGTTTCACATTTAGATGCATATTAGCGTGCACTCATGGTGTCGCAATGCTAAAATCTAGACCCATTCAGTCTTCGTACGATTTTCACACATTTTTTTTTTACCTATAAACATGCGAAATTTGCCTTGTGAAAGACTTGTTTAAAGTAAGTAACAATGTCATCCCTTCCACACAGTGTTTTCACCTGCTTTTCAATTAGTTGTTGAAGCCCAGGTATGAACAGGTTGATTTCACATATACAGTTTAGAGTCTCGACAACGATAACTGACCGAACACGAACGACCCCGAATCTTAACCCTTTAACCCCAAAGATTTGATTTGTAATTCTCCCTCCCTGGCTGCTACACATTTCCTTGTAAATTGTTTATGAGAATTTGGTGTTCGGTCAAGGTAATATCTTGTTCCTGATGAGTTCGAGTATTCTCCCTATCAGTTTGCTGGATAATGTATGGATATTATAGGGAGAAGTTACATGCTAATCACTTCTGGGAGTTAAAGGGTTAAACTAAGTAGTCCAACGGAGCGCCTGAGTAATAAGTTATAAGATTAGCAGAACAAAATTACAATGCCGTTTCCAAACCCTCGCAAGTCTGTTATTTAGTAGAACTGACGGAACGGAACTGATGCGTTTTCGAATTGAAAAACAAAGCATTCATTTGCTCTTCTTTCTGAAGAAACTGTAATGGTGAATTTTTACTTGGTGATAGAGTCTATATAGCTTCGAAATGTCATAGCTCTGTTTTGCTTATTTTCGTCAAAATTCTTCCAATTTGGGGCTTTATTCACTCCTTCATTTCAATCTTGCGTAGCTTTGTCATTTCGAGTTACTGGTTAAGAATCATTCAGCTTGAACTAGCGTGACGAGGACCTCTCAAAGCCTATGAGAGAAAACCCACAACACAGTTTGCCAAGTAGTTTTAGTGCTGTTTTTTTTTCTGTCTTTTTCTCGTAGCTTGAGAAAGACATGGATGAACTCAAGGAGAAGCATGAATACGAACTGAGCGAAAAACTGTCCAAACAGGCAGAGCAATTTGAACAAAAACTAGAAAAGGAAGTACTAGGAATCACGGAAAAACACCAGGAAGACTTTGAGAATGAATTACAGCAAAGCCTAATTGCTACAGATGAAAAACACCAGAGCGAGTTGAACGGATTGCGAAATGAACTTATGGAAGAGTTCCGAGAAAAACTTGAAGAAATGGAACAAACTCTTGGAGAACAACATGCACAGGAGTTGGAGGAGCTACGGGAAGAGCTTGAAAAGGAAAGATCCGAAGTTACAAATGCAGCTTTGGATGATCTGGGAAGAAGACACGCTGAGGAAATAGAGTTTATGAGGAACGAACAAGCACAGCTGCTTGAACAGGCTGCAGAGGCAAGACGGCGTTTGGAGAAGATTCACGAGGAGGAGATCCAAGAGATCAACGAACAAGTCAAACGCGAACATGAAAAGTTGTCACGGATGAGAGAGGACTTAGAAGGAACCTACGATGACACTGCTAAAGAGCATGCGCAACAGCTGGAAAACGCGCGGGCGCAGCTGGAGCAGCAGCGGAGTGAGCTGAAGGCGACGCACTTGTCGGAGCTGCAGAATTTGAAGGCCGAGTTCGAGAGGCGGTTAGTTGAAGCTGATCAGAAGCACGCCGAAGAGGTAGAGAAGCTCAGATCGCAGTTGGAGCAGGAGAAGATGGAGAGAGAGTTAGAGCATGTAAGGGAACTGGAAAAACTTGCGGAAGATATGGAGAGAAGGTAACGTACATGTATTTAAAAAAAATAATATTGATGAAAAAAGGATACGTTCAGGTGCAGTGTTTTTTGCGAGTGTATTTTGTTATCGAAACCGTAGAGAATTTTGAATTGTCTGCGAAAGATTAGAAAGGCTGTTGGTAGTAACGGTACCCATGCGTTCTTTACGAGAGTCTCACAGATGTTCAAATCGTGTTAGCGTGCATAAAAAAAATTAACTCTTAAGCATTTCAAAGTCAGTGGTAGCCTCATATTCAATACTTCTGTTAAAAAGCTAATCAACGTCAATCCAGAAGTAAGAATCGATCAAGGTTTTCAATTCTCTCACGATTACTCTCATCAGCAGGAATAAACACGCGTGGTGCTTTATTGTTTAAGATGACATGCGAGAGTGAAAAACACGCGTGGTGTTTTTATTGTTTGAATATGACATTTGAACGCTGTAAACACGAATTAGAAATGTCATCGTCTTTTTGTCATTCTCGTAACTTGTTAAGTCAAGTTATCATTTTGCATCTTCCATTGTTAGATACATCTCCAAGGAACAACAGCATGCTAGAGAAATTGGTGAACTGCAAACTGAATTGCTCAAAGTCAAGACAGACATGGACGAGAAACAGTTTTCTGAGCTAGAAAGTACCATGAAAGATCTCGGTGGAAAATACGAAGAAAACCTTCAAAAGATTGTGAGAGATCTTCAGGATAAACAAGAGCAAGAAATTGAAAGTCTAAAACTTGATTTTGAAAAGATTAAGGAAAAAGAACTTGAAGCGTGCAGAGAAGAGTTGAAAGAACAACATGAAGATGAAATACGATCGCTTAGGTCACGCCATGAGATTGAACTTGAAGATTTAAGGGGGCAGTTCCAAGAGGAGAAGATGAAGGATTTTGCGAAAATGAGCGCCAAAATGGCCTTGAAAAATGCACAGGCTTTGGAAAAGATGCGACTTAATCTGAGCGAAACACACGAGAAAGATATGGAGGAACTGAGAATGGAAGGTCAGAAAGACTACGAGAGAACTGCTCTGAGGTTATCCTCTCAAATAGAAGGGATGGAAATTGAACATCGTAAGGCACTACGGCAATTGAAAATGGACCTGAACGAAAAGCATGAAAAGGAAATGGAGGATTTACGACGAGAGGTGAGCAGCAAAGAGGAGCTTTTGATAGATTTGAATGAGAGCCATGAAAAGGAAGTAAACGATCTAAAACGTAGACAGTTCAGTGATTTGTTAGATGAGGTATCTAGTGTAAGAGCAGAGCTTGCTTTGGAAGCAGTTCAGAAAGTGGAAGAAGCTAAGTTGGAGATGGTTGAAGATAGCTCCAGGAAGGACGATACTATTCAAGATTACGAGGAAAAAATACATCAAATTCTCGAGCAACATGAAAAGCAGGTCAAAGACTTGAGCGAAGAATATGAATCGCAGCTCAAAGACCTCAAAGAAGAATTAGAACTCTCCAAACAATGGATGTCCAAAGGCGTGAGCAACGAGGAAGAATTGTTCGCACAGTATGAAGCAAAAATTCAAGACATAAAGCAGCACTATGAGAAGGAAATTGAATTTTTGAAGGAAAACAGCTTATCTAAGGATGACAGTGAAGGTGGCGACAGTGAAAAATACTCGTTAGAGGAGTTGGAAAATTGTCGAAAGGAAATCGATGAGTTAGCAGCGAGGCTTGAAACTGAGAGAGAACAATTTAAAGACATATACAATAATACAAAAACTGCACAAGAAACAGAGCTTGTGTCTTTAAGGAGAGAGCTGGAAGCTAAACATCAGCAAGAGCTAAAAGAAACGAAGGAGCTTTTTGCCGAAAATGTTGAAGCTTTGAAGGAAGAACTCCTTGTCGCTTCAGACGAGGCAAAATTGCAACTTATCGCAGAGGAACTTGAGAAGAAGCATCAGATAGAACTTGACGCTCTGAAAGAACGACTTAGTGCCGAGCATCAAAATGAAATGGAAACCTTCAAAGTACAGATGAGTGAAGAGGTTGAAGCTCTCAGGGAACAGATTCTTGACTCGTCCGAACAAGAAAGGTTTGACGTTTTGAAGGATGATTTGGAAAGGGAACATGAAAACGAACTAAAGGCCTTACGTGAGCAGCTCGAGAGAGAAAACGAAGAGGAGATAGCAAAGCTTAAAGAGGCTTTTGCGCAAGCTTTAGACGCTGTGCAAGCTGAGGAGAAAGCCAAAGGTGAAATACAACCGTATTCTCAAGAGAAATTTGATGAACAACTTGACGAAGTCAAGCGGCAACTCGAAGCGGAACATTTGCAAGAAATGGAAAAACTCAAAGAGGATATGTTACATGAAGTGAAAACCCTTCAGGAACAGGTTCAGTTAGCTGCTGATAATGAGGTGGAAGCCACGAGGGCTCGTTTGGAGGAAGAGAAAGACAAGATAAAAAATAGATTAGACGAAAAAATGGCCGAAGAGAGATCGCAACTTGAAGCAGGTAAAGTAAACCTTTAGCTGTTCTACGTTCTTGACGAGTAGCCTCATAACAACGAAAATTGAGAAAAAAATTCATGTGACTGCTTAACCAAAAAAAAGGTGTTGGAATCTATTTTTTGTCTTATTATTAGTATTATTTTACATCTATATTTTTTTTGCTTAATTTTTGTTCGTGTTCTTAGTATGACGATGACCGTTACGAAGTAGCCAATTGAGGCGGAATTTTCCTCTTTCAATGAAGTAAATTATATACGTCTTCAACCCTTTGAGCACTAAGAGAGACTAGCATCTAATTTCTCCTTACAATATCAACCCTGAATCGAACATTCAGGTCACGAGAATAAAAGAAATGATCACTAACTTAAGAGGCTATTGATCGTTAAACAAATTCTCTTTGTCAGCATCCTAGAAAATATGTGGAGATCAGTATTGAGAATATGCATACTGATGTTTAGGTGTTAAGGGTTGAAAGAAAGCTCTTTATATGTATACTTCCAGTAATCGATTCCTTTTCAGAAACCATCTCTTGGGACATCTTCATTTCCGCGACGTTCATTACCAATTGTAATTTCTTTGTGTGTTTGTTTGCATTCGTTACGGGAAAAGGAATTGATAGGATTAACTGGCAGCATTTCCATGGTATTTTTTTGGCCTCAGAAGCATAATTTTGAGCAACCATCGAGCAAGAATTTCAGTGACCGTGTCATTTCTCAATATTTACTTACTATTCTAGATTTACTCGCTAGTTTGGAAGCTGTGAGAGAAGGTGTCAAAGCTAGCAATTCCGATTTACCAGAAGGTCCCTTGAGATCTCAAAAGACAAAGAACTGCGGTTTTCCAGGGCTGCAAAGTTTTTGGAATACATTTAGTCTTTCATAATGTTTGCCACGTGATGTTTATAGCGATTTTATTAGCGATATCTTTGCAAAATTTCCGGTCCAATCCCTCGGTTTAGTTCAGAAAGTAATGGTGCAGACTTCAGGTTTTCAACCGCAGTAAATCAAAGGTGAAATTTCTCCCCTAAAATACTTTGAATTCTCGTAATTTTACTGTGTCCTGACTCTGAGGTGAGACGTTTTGACATCGTTCGATGAACCTAGTTGCAAGGTTGATTGATGTACTCTGGTTCTCCGTTGATTACAGAGTGCGTAGACCGCATAGGAGCTCTTCATAAAGGCTAGATTTTCATGTAGGTTTGCCGTCTTTTCACGAAGAATTTAACCAAGGGACTCTTGTTTTGATTCTTGCATCTTTCACAGAACACCAAGCTGCCATGGCGCAAGCTCGACAGGAACAGGAAGCCCAACATCTGAGCGAACTCGATGCTCAACAGCAAAAACACGATGCTGAGATGAAAGCATTGCAGTTGAGATTCAACGAAGAGCTGGCCACCGAGAGAGCCCAGCTGGAAGAGGAGAAAAACGCTGATATGGCACGGTTAGAAGAAGCACTCAGCGGTAACCTCAGCCAACAACAAGAGTTACAGCTACAGATGTTAAAGGAGCAGCATGATCGTGAACTCGAGGCTGTACGAGAAGAACTGGTTCGAACTCACATGGAAAAGTTCACCGAGATGACTGCTCGGTTAGAGTCTGAACACGAGGTTTGTTTGTCTGTTTGTTTTTTAGTGCAACTTCCTTCCTAACACTTTTTGCTTCAGAAATTAAACCTTGTTAGGGATATAAAACATGTAGGACATTCATAATCTTGGAAGTAGTATTCTGAAATAAGCAATAACAGTTGATATTTGAAGTGCTGTTAATATTATTACAAGTGTTGTAATTATTACGATATTTCTTTTTATTGTATTTATTTTAAAAAAATAAGGTTGAAATAGAGAAATCCAGTTCGTGTGATACAGTAAATTTCACTAATACGCTAGAAGTGGAAAAAACCTTAGACTGTCTACTTAAGAGATATTGACAATCTAATGAGGAGATTTCTTCATTTATATTTCATCACTCTCATTCTCACAAAAGCTTTTGTTCTATGTTTGGGAAAGTTTTATTCCCCGAGCAGTCCTAGTTTTTCCTAATAAATATTACCTTTGGTCCGCTTAGGAACTATTTCGCGGTTTTTTTTTTTTTTGTAATTTTGTACCCTTTTCTCAAACACAACACGCGTAAAGGCTTCAAAATTTTCACAAGAAAGTATGGCCAGTCTCATGTTCTTTTTTGACACCGAGTACAGTTAACCTCGATTTGTTCTGTCTTAGGCGGATCTGGAAAAAATGAGAGAATTTACACGCGCTGAGATGTCTGAGAAATTCCAAACTGAACTGGAAGAGGCCAAAGAAGTGGCTCGTTATGAACTTGAACAAGAACATTTGGAAAACCTCCGACAGCTCGAGGCAAGCCTGGGACAGAATCACGCAGAACAGCTTCGCGGATTGGCTGAACTACAACAGAAACACGTAGATGAAATTCACAACCTCAAGGCTACACACGTGACGGAAATCGAACGACTTAAAAAGGAGGTCGCCCAAGCATACAACGATCAGCTTTCCGCGGTAAGTTTGGACGCCGAGAGAGAAGTTTCCCAAGTGAAGGAGGAATTAGACGAAGCTCACAGCAAGGAGATTGACGCGTTCAAAGACGCGCTTGAACGTGAAAAGTCTCGCGTACTTGCGCTTGAGGCGGTACAGGCCAGCATTCAGGCGGCCCATCATGACATCGTGCAACGGATGCAGGAGAACTTTGACAAGGAGATGGGGAATGTGAGGAGTAATGTAGACTCTGCACATGGAGAGCAGGTACAAGAGCTACAGAGCTTGTTGGAGGAGAGACACAAAATGGTAAAGATGCTAGAAAAATATTTTGGTAACACCAGGATAAATACCAATTACGGAGGCTGCTCAAACCTTACTGGGGTTAAGTATTTGGTGAAGGTTAGCGCGGATACCTACCTTTACACTCTTTTGCCCAAAAACCCACCCTCCGTCACTTTGTCTGTCGTTTGTGCTGTTATTTTGAAAGGATAGCGAAGCATTCATGAGGCAACTTGCTAGTGTTATTAGATGGAGCGTCGGCACTACACTAGATCAGATGAACTTTAGAATGGCGAAATAAGTAACTGGGAATATATATGAAAATCATAAGTGAAAATTCATATTTATTATAATCAATGATGAAATCAGTAGCCATAGGAAATCAAAAGACTTTTCAGGTGGCGGCTGAGATGACATGTAGAGTAGCCATGTCATCTTTTTCTTTTTTCTGCACGCAGTGCTGGCTTTCGTTGTCTCCCGGCTCGATGTTAGCAGGGAAGATTTTTCCTTAAAAAAAATAATTTTTGAACAAAGAAATAAAGAAAGCTGGATTAATATTTAACCCCAGGCTAGTGCTAATCGGCCTTCGAACAACTGTTCCCTGGTTAACTGTTTGTGCTTGATATTGGCAGGAGCTGGACCGTGTCAAATCCGATCTCGCCGCTGCTGAAGGAAGAGCTGCTGCTATAGAAGCTGAACAGGCCAAAGGTCTTGAGGAAGTCGAGGAGCAATTCCGTAAAGAAGTGGAAGTACTACAAGAGTACCTGAATTCCCAAGAGAAAGAATTTATAGCAGAAATTGATAGGACTAAGGTGGGACTGCATTTCGAGATTTTTTCTTTATAGCCTTAAAAAACTGCGGTGTTTTCAAATTCATCAGACAGAAAACCCAAACTGGACATTCAGTCTGACTTTTTTAAAGCAAAGGTATTAGTGGTAATGATAATTAGCTCTGCCAATCTAGTTTTGATTTGAAATCTTTTGTTCTTTTGTCTAGGATGAGAACGAAAAGCTGTTGAACAAGCTGCAGGAGAAACAGTCTCTGATTAAGGAGGTGTGTGTTAGACATTGTTTAGCAAGAGCTTTTTTTTTCTCTTGATCAACACCATATTGGAATGCCATGTTTAACTGTTGATATGTGATGGATGGGTTTTCAAGTTTTACTGAGCTTCTAGATTTTATTATTTTGCCCGTCATTCAGTCTTCTATGATATTTTTCAGGGGTTAAAAAGTAGGTTTTTTCTTGAGATCTGGACATTCAATTTATCACCATTTTTTCCTCAAGAAACTGCATAAAATTCACGAAAAGTTTCGTTAACAAAATTTCTATCCAAAATCTCCTCATTTTTTCCCCCATTTGACTTTCCAGATGGAGGCTGAACAGGTTCGTCTTCAAAATGATCTTCAGCGTCAGTCAGACAACTATAACTTGATTTTAACACGTCGAGACAGAGAACACCAAGAGGAAGATAATCTCGTCACCATGCTTCGCTCTGATGTGGAGAGACTAGCTGCCGAGAGGTAAGGGACCTTTGCTACAACTAAGTTACAGTCCAATGAGATTGTGTTGTCATGTTCAACTGATTGAGCTGATTCTAAGTTCAATTATTTTTATCTTCTTCTTCTTGTAAGGGATGCGTTGCAGCGAGCAAACGAGCGCCTGTTAAAGCTTCTTTCAGACGTGGTGAAACAGGCGGCTTCTACCGAGGAGACGATAAACAAACAGCTTGAAGACCTGATACAGGAGACAAGCCAAAATGAAGAACAACTTACACAATGGCCCTTACATGAATTGGAGTCCGGTACAGTAAATGAGTCACAGATCCCACCAGACTCTATTCGTCGCCCGCAAAGCTCGCTTCCTGCCGGGCTACTGACGTCAACGCCTGCTGCGGGACCCAGTGCCCCTGCGGTCAACTTTGCGACACCAACCGGAGGCGCTACCGCTGACCTGTCCGAGTCAGAAGATGCAACGCTGACCAGTAAGACTGACTTGTCACTTCTCAGTGATGAAGGATTGGAACTGTCACAGCGACAAACGGACACAATCTTCCAAGGGCCGAGCTTGGATGAACAAGCTGAGGAACTTGTGATAGGTAGGGCCAAAAGTTGTGTGGAAAAGAAAGTCAGAAAGTTTTCAGTGTCCTCATACGCTGGAAAAAAAGGAACTTGTCCAATATCTTGAGGAAAAAATGATGAAAGCGTTCTTTAATCGAGCGGATCATAGTTCTTCTGGAAAGAAATGGGTCTCGTTAAAACCAAGACTTTCACTCTTCTCACACATTCCACTTCCCGTCATTTCCTTTGATACGCAGTTCCGCTCACGTGTATTACAGAATTACATGCGCTTGAGCGCATGCAATTCCCACGCGTTACAAGCGTGAAACGCGCACACTGCGTGTCACTGCACGTAGCCAATCAGCAGGAACTCACTTAATGTGTGTACTGAGACACAGTTTATGTAATGAAACAAAAAGGTTGAATTATTAATTCGTCGAACGATTTCCGAACAGCCGCTTCCCTTATTTAAGAACTAGTTAGTCGAACCGTTCTGGTTGTCCATCGAAGTGGCCTGTTCCAAGAACCGACTGAACTTTATCTGGCTCAAAAAGCTCTGTCCTTTGAGTCGAGCATATCAATTTTTCACGTTTATGTATAGATTACTCTTGACATGCGTGGCAGTATGAAGCCCTAATATTGCAGACGATGGTGCAACTGATTTCTAATCCTCTGAAACCCCGCGAAACACAATTTGCCTGCACGTACTCGTAAGGAGTAGGTCTGCGCGTTCTTTTGACCCCGAGTAAGAACCAGCTCTAAGAGTAATTAACTTTGCTTTCTCTTTTCAGATTCTGGGGTTCGGCTCAGATCTGCTGCGCAAAAACTGCTCGAAGTTGTTGCCACGATGACCAAACAGGTAATATCAATTTTTTTGTTGCGCAGACAGTCGGCCTTGGGGGGGTGGGGGTGTTCATCAACGACACCACACACTTAATTGCCGCTACTTCGCAGCCGATTAAAAGCCTAACAACCAACGAGTAATACTGTAAACTTTTCTGAGGTTTTCAACGACTACCTACCCACCATCGTGTTATTTTTCCTACTATTGAATAGCGTAAGAGTCAACTTAAGTCTCGTACGTGTCGCAACGCAGTGGAAATTTTCCTGGCTAAAGCATCATTTGAATTTTTCTTGCAGTGGAATCAAGCGCGCATGGCGCAGAAAGAGCTTCTTAATGCTACGTCTCAACGAAACGAGGAGCTCGAACAAGTAATGGCAGCCCAAGAGAATCTAATGGCGAGGTTGAAAGAGGAACTGGAGGAAAAAGAACGCCTGGCAAACGAACTGAATAAAGCGAATGAACACATGGAAGAAATGGCGGCTGAAAACGACAGACTACAAGGTGAAGCCACAGATAACGTGAACAAAGAGAACGAGGAAATGAAAAAAGAAAACGAAGAGTTGAAATCAAAAGTCGAGGCTGCCGAGAAGGAGTTAAAAGAAGTAAAAGATCGTGAACAGGAGCTGGAAGAGGTAAGACGAGTTCTTGTGTCTGAAGTGGAAGCTCTTCGAGAAGAAGGAAGGCTTCGCCTGGCGCAGGAAGTGGCGGAAAAGAATATTGAGGAAGAAGAACACTCGAAGGAGTTGAAAACGTTAATTAAGGCCAGAGATGAATTGGCGGAAGAGTTAGAAACCTTGAAGGAATCCGGCGACGAGCTCTTGGAAGAGAATGATGCACTGAAGGCTGCGGTAGAGCAACTGGCCAAAGAGAAGAAAGATCTGGAGGAAAAGGTGGTGCGGGTAGAGGCGCAGAAACTCGATGAACTTGATGGCCCGGAGGAACTCAAAGCTAACGTGAAGGAATTGAGTGAGGTTTCTCAGCGACTTAAAGAAGAAAACTCTGAATTGGAGGCAAAAGTTGCTTCTCTAGAGAAAGAAGCGAATCGGTCTCAAATGACGGGTTCTGAGGCTCAAGTTATTCAAGAGAATGATCATTTGAAGAAGGAAGTCGAAAAATTACAGGAGGATATTGGCGAGTTACAGGAAGAAAACGAAAAGCTGAAGGACGCCATTGAACAATTCAGGGAGGCAGTACAGCAGCTGTGGGACGAAAAAGAAGAATTGAGTATCGAGCTGTCCAAGGCGAGAGGAGAAGACACCTTGGAGTTTGACGAGCTCCAGCAGCTGAGATTGCAGACCAAAGAACTGACGGGACAGAATGAAGAGCTTACGGAGAAGCTTAAAAACGCTGAGTTGGAGCAAGAAAAGAAACGAGAACTGCTCCAGAAGGCGCAGGTTCACCTCGAGAAGATTCCTGAGTTAGAAGCCGAGGCAAAGGAACAGAATGAACTCGTGAATCAGTTGATGCAGGAACAGCTGCGAAATAAGGAAGAGATCGAGAAACTTCAACGCGCTGCGTCCTTGCAGAAGGAGGTACCCTTGATACAGGTATGCTGGATGGACTTACTGTCTGTCGCTCACAATATTAAGGATCCTTGTTTAGACCTTGAAATACTAAGTGCTCCAAAATCGAGTAATGATCATACTAAAGATCTGTATGGATCGCATAGTCCGCTCGTTTCCGCTTGCATATGTAAACTAATGTAATGTTTTTCAACTTCGCTTGTCTAACAATTGCAAATGACAATTGCATCTCTGTAAAGTAAGTTTAATGAAGGTTAATCCGATCAAAAGTTTCTTTTGATCGGATTTTATTTTCTTAGTCTTCTTGGCAAGATTTTGAGATTCGGAAAAAAAATTGCTGTTATAAAATCTTAGTTTGTGTGCAGTAGGATATCTGGGCTAGTGAAGCTTATGCGCCAAGGCAGTGAGAAACCTTTCAGCAGTCTATAAAAGGTTGTCGAAAAAAAAGGACAAAATTTCACGCGACATTCTTGAAAGGAAATCAGGGTATCTAGTAATAACTGACGTTTCTCAGATTGCTTTGAAATCATGAAGTCAAGAAACCGTGACCTCTAAACTACCCACAACGCCTTTCGGGGTTGTCGTTTGTACTTGAAAGCTTCTTTTCCCGCCACCCTCTCATGAAATAGCTGCATATCATTTTTGTTTCCCTCAACAGGTTACGACTGTAGAAACTGTTGAGGGAGGTATTCATGGCGAAGAATTATGGGGAGTTGATGATAAAACAGACGGCGGAGATTCCAAACAAGACGAGGAAACCGTTCAAGAATTAAAGGCAAAAGTTAACGATCTTGAACAACAGGTTGAAAACTATAAAAAGGTATTGGAAGAAAGTATTCAGGAGCCGGAAGCAAATAAGCTTATGGAACTCGTTGAACAGGTTCGCTCTGAGCGGGAAGACTTAGCTAGCAAGTGCAAGGAACTGGAAGGGAAAGTGAACGAGGAGGGACAATCTAAGGAAGATATGCAGGCTGCTATTGAAGAGCTGGGAACACGCTTGAAGGAGTTAGAACAGAGTAACTTAGAGTTAGAGAGGGAACTGAGTGTTAAAACGCAATCTGAGATCGACTCGTTGGTGCAGATTAAGGATCTGCAAGATGAACTGACCAAAGCTCTGGAAGCTTTTAAGGAATTAGAGGAATTGAAAGATAAATTGCAAGAGGATTTGGAAACCAGCGAGGAGACTCAGAAGGACCTGGAGCGAGAGAAGGTGACCATGCAGAAACAGCTCAATGATGGATTTCTCCAGATCTCTGCACTGAAGGTGAGATAACTACCCTCCTTTTTCCGGTCATTTTCGTAGCCCTCCAGTGAGGGCCTTGAAAAGTTGTACTTTGATATGACCCCAGGGCGAAATCGTAACCATTCTCTTTGGCGAGACTATTATGCGTCAATCAGTTCCTCCCCCTTCAAGCAACCCCCTTGGAACTTAAACGTTTGTGGAGTAGTTTGTCCCCCGTGGCCAAATTTTTTTTTTCTGTTATATGGATTTGATGGTCAACTTTTTGAAAAAGGAAAAATCAACGAAAGTGACTTTGTACTCATTGACCAAGCTTTAAAACCTAGACCTTGTAGACCTTTACTTTTGAGCCAATTGCTCGCGAAAGTGAATTCTTAATCTTTAAAAGCATCTATGGCTAAGGTGGGTTTTCGCGGAGGGGGGGGCGTCGAAGCTTCGAATTGATGGACGCATTACCTCACAGTGGCTACCCGTCAAAAGATCTACGTGGAAATGGGTTAAACATATAAAAGGGTTCGTACGGGTCCTGGGAAACCTGGAAAGTCCGGGAGTTTAAATTTGACATTTCCAAGGACTGGAAAGTCCTGGAAAAGACTACAGGTTCTGGAATATCTTGGAAATTTGCTTAATTCAAGCAATTAAGTTTTCAGAATTTACGTTTTAAGAAATGTATGTAGACCGTAAGAAGAATTGATTTTGAAATCTTGAGAACGAAAGGGTTTGAGGTGAAATTTGAAGCCCTGCACAAATCAATCTGAGTCCTGGAAAAGTCCTAGAAAATTCCTTGAAATTTGTTTCTAACACATAACTGCGAATATGGAATTCGGAGTTCTAGTGTGTCTTGATAATCCAAGAGGAACAGTTGCATTATTGCTCATTGTATGCCAAGGAAACTGATCCAAAACGGCTTTAAGTCAATCTTCTCCAATAGAACCTGCTCCAAGCAATCGAGTTTTTGTAGTTTTACCTCCAAGGAACCTTAATTTGTAATAACCTCCTATTTAACCATTACCTATGTGTTACTGGGAAATTCTCTGTTGTACAAATAATTTCGTTACCCTTTTAAGGAGCAGCTCAATCGGACAAAGCACGAGGGTGGAGCAGAACGCGACGAAACCCCAACCCCTGTCCGAATGCTCCGAGATGAACGCGAAGCGTACGATCGTAAAGACGAAGAATCTCGAGCGTTAGCCGAGCAATTAGACACGTTCAAAGAGGCTCTTGACAAGAAAGAAGACGAATTGAAAAACCTGGCGGAGCAAATGGAAGAAATGAATCTGATGATGGAAGAACAGCAGAAACTGTTGGAAGATCAGCACAGCAAACTAAAGGAACAAGAAAATTTGATAAATGAGCGCGAGGACCGCACGAAAGAATTGGAAAAACTATTGCAAGAGAGCAAAGAAGGGGTGGAAGATAAGGAAGAGTTTGACAAAGCGCTCAAAGGGAGCCAAGATGCTTTGGTCCAACAACAAAAGGTCATTGAAGAGCTCGAAAGTAAAATAAATGCCATGGAGCAGTTGACAGCTGAGAACGGAGAAAAGTTAAGAAATGCAGAAGAACAGTTGGCTTCTAAAGAAGAAGAGATGAGGCTTCAGGGAGAACAACTTGCCACGAAAGGAGAAGAAATCAAATTGTTGCAGGACGAATTAAATCGAGAGAAAACTGTGAAGGAAGAGAGAGATTCTGAAGCAGAAACCCTTCTAGCCAAGCAGGTGAGTTTGAAACCGGATGTGACGTAATGCGTGCGCGAGTGAGTGCGCGCGCGAGTGAATGCGTGAGCGATTCGTGATGGTCTTCGTTTGTTTGCGTAATAAGTATTGAGCTCATGGTAAGACGACTGTGTCAGTTTTACGATGTACAGAGAACAGATCATGCTCATTAGATTAGAAAGTTTTCAATCCAGCACGAAGACTTAAGCTGTTTTGCAATTTGCAAGAAATTGTTTTCGCGACATCTCTTGAACTTTCCTGATTTCAAATGCACAGAATTTTTGTTCGCATGTTAATAGTGTAAACGTGAGGCCTCTTGGCTTGCATTATGCTGAATATGGTTCTGTTCACGGCAGTTAATCCTTTTAATTTGATCTGTATCACGCTCTAACAAAGTGATTTTGTTCTTGGTTTTTTTTCTGTAGTTAGAGGCGATGAGTCAAAAATTAAATCAATCGCAAGAGATCGTGCGAGCCAAAGAGCAAGAAAAAGAACAGATTCGTAAAAATCTTCTGGCTGAGTCGCGCCAGTTGGCAGCTCTCCGAGCAGAGATGGACCAATTACGTGAAAAATTCAAATCTCAAGAGGACAGTCACGCGTCTGTAATCACTGACTTACAAAAAACGCACAGAGATGAAGTCAACGCCCTTAAAGCGGAGCTGACAAGGGGGGTACCCACGGGAGCTGAAGATACTTTGAGTCCAAGTCAACAGCTTGTCTTTGAGCAGGTAAGGTGTTCTTTGCAAACTAGAAATTAAGGGTGTGGCTGCCTGGTTACCTAACTCACACTTTTATTTGTTTGAAAAATGAAGAGCGCATAATTTTTCTATAACTACTGATCGGTGGAGCCGGAGAGCAATGCCAGTTTTTATCCACTTAATCTGTTCTTTGCTTCGATTTATTGTTGGCTAAGAAGTTGGTTTTGAGACGATCGTAATTTTTCTACCAAACGTTGAAGTGGACTCTCGCTAATTTACTGTCAATGCTTGAACTGATTAAAGTGAAATGTTAATCGCCCAAAGTAAATAAGAGCGAAAACGTGTTTGGTTTACCGTTGCCATATTTTGGTCGAGAAAGTGGCTCAAGTTTTGAAGACAAATCACAGAGCGAAGCGAGCAAGAACCAGTGCGCTCTCGGATCACTTTCGACACGCAATTCACGTTTTTGCAGATTGTTTTTCGACCACTTTCTCGTTCGTAAGTGTACAGTGTCGTGATATTTATTTCCGTGTTAATGCATATCAATAGAAACTAAAAGGTGTTGAGGAAAACCTCAAACGGCAATACGAGAATCAGCTGGTGGCTGTGAAAGAGAACGAGGAGCAGAGACGACAACGGGATATAAAACAAGTGAAGGCTGAGCTAGAGATGGACAACTTGACAAAACTGAACAATCTGCGGAAAGATCTGCTCACCACACATAATGACCAGGTGAACAGAATGCGACAGGATCATCAACGAGAGATAGAGCGTTTGATGACTATATCAGGTTGGTGGTCAATGTGTAATACCTCATACGTTGGTATTCCTGCGGTGGGAGGTTGGTCTTCATAGGAGATATGCAGTTTATCCTCTATATAAGCAATAGCGCTCATTTGGCGCGAAATTTTGCGCGGACTCTATCTGTTCCAACAATCGAACAGTTCTCCGAGAGCGTAGCGGGAGGAACACTGTGAGTCTCGAGGAACAGATTATGTCCAAGGACAAATTTACAAGCACAGTTTTACACCAAATGAAGGCTATTGTGTATGTTATCCTTCCAATATTTTTCAACGCGATATGAAGGTTGTAAAAGAAAAAAAACATGTTCCTTCTTTTGTAAAAACCTTATAACGCACTTTCATTATGAATTAACTTTTTAATGAAAAGTTTTCCGTATAGGACGTAATGTTTGAAAATTGGGAAATGTCACTTAGGGTATATCCTTGGATATTCCACAGTTTTAACTGAATCACTTGATGCCAATTACTCGCGGGCAAAAATATTTGATTGATTATAATTTCAGCGATTACTATAGTTAAGCAATGTTTTTTTTTACTGCTCTGAAAGTTACTCAGCCGAATGACAGACTTAAGTTTCTGCCGCCGTTAGAAGATCCAATTAATTTTTAATTACAGACTACACACGAATCCTATATTGACGTAAAAGAGGTCTTAATTTTTTTCCATGTATAGGCATCGAATCTGCGTCACCAGAGATGCGCGTGCGTCTTAACTCGGCGTTGGATGAGAACGAGCGACTGGACAATGAACTTGTTGGACAGCTCGTACGGCAGGCTCGCGTTAAGTCAGCAACTACTTCACCTCTAAAATCCCGAAACACTATCGAAGTAAGAGAGGGTTTTTCTAATGCATGCTTGATATATCAGTTATTATCCATTTATGAGAAGGCTGATCTGTAAACAGATCAGTGAAAGACAAACTTGTGGCCAAAAGGTGAAATTGTGAGCACACTTGATTTCGGATTGAGTGTCTTGGTTCGAGCCTGGGCCCATTGTACTATAATTGTGCCCAGCGAGAAAACCGTTAATGAAGCTTACTAAATGTAGGTGGTAACCTGTGGTGGGCTTGCATCCCACCCAGGGGAAGTAACAATACTCTAGGTCGCTTTACGCTGGCGAAATAGGAGAGATATCTAGCGGCTTGGGCCATCTGAGTCGGGCACAGACCTGGTTTCGCCAATTGTAAAGACGCAAGTGGCCCTTATTACGCAGAAAAAGACACTGTTGGCAAGACAGCTCTTTACATCAGACCGAAGTAAATGTTACCCCTGTTTGAGGTATCTTACAAAGAGTGTATCGCATATCTTCTCTTTACCAGGGTCTCCTCGACAATCTTCATACCGAGGCTGAGACCATCCAATCACTTGTCAGTGCAGTATCTCCGTCACCTCAAGACCGATCACTAGCAAGCTCGGATGTAACGGTTTTACAGTCTTCTTGGTCAGCGGAGAAACAGGCGTTACTTGAAGCTGTCCAGTCTTTAAAAAATCTAGTGGCGCAAACTCGAAAGGCTTCCACGGTAAGGGCTGGTTTTTCACCGCTAACGATCTAGCGACAAATAGATCGTTAGAGTCTCAAGCACTCGCAGGGGTTGAAAACTAGCGTTGTGATTGCTTGGTTCTTCTGTTTCTGCTTACTACTACAACACTTTTTTTTTTCCACCATAATCAAGCCTGCACTGAAGTTGCAATTTTAAGGTTGCTCTTTTACTCGTTCTTCCTTCTAATATCATGGTAATTTTTTCTCCAGCCCTCCAAACTTCACGAGGAAGCTGATTGGCGGGCAGATTTGTTAAACGCCGTGCAAAAGGTACGTATGTGTTTTTCTTTTCAGCCTTGTTGACCCAAAATAGTTAATGCCATATTTGCTAACTACAAGTGCCCGGACCATGCGGAAAAAGGGGTAATCGTATGTAAAGAAATATAAAAAAACTTGCACAAACGGACATAAACACGAGCAAGAAAGGGGCTAAGGCTGTGTACCCATAAAAATAAATTTCAAATGCATCCATGAACCAATCAGTTTTGGGTTTGACAGATTATTTCAAAAAATTCTTCGACAAAGTAGGACTCCTAGATTTGAGATATTTTTTTCCAGTAGAATTTCACAGTCAAGCTCCTTTGTAACCAATTTGGAATTTTTCTTGATTTTTGAGGGTGTTGAAATGATAGGATAGCCACAGGGAAGTCTGGTGTCATATTAATTCAATTCTTAATACTTTTGACAAATTAACTAAAATAAAACAGGAGTCTATTAAAATAACAATTTCATTTGTTTCGTGCACCTTTAAAGGTATTCGAGAAAGACAGGGATGTCATTGTGGCAGAGCTCAGGACCTCACAGATTACTAACGGTCATGACTCTCCCGGGGCCAGATTACTGCGGGATCAGATACACGCACAGGTACAAATCATCCTGAGTCATACTCTTTGTACTTCTCAAAACTGGTGATTGGTTGGCAAAGTTAATCCACATTCTTAATTTTCATACTCTTTCAATTGTTTTAAATTCTCAATGAATCATAATTTTGAAGGAAAAATCTTGGCCTTTTGGATTAATGCGCAATTTTACATATTTTTTTTTTAAGGATGAACTTACGAGTCGTGTTATGGAACACCTCCGTACAAAGGATCGTGATTCTTTGCTAGCTGAGATTCACGAGCTTCGTAAGACCTCTACGAAACCGTCGAAGGAGCAGGTATGAGTTTGATAACACTAGTAGCATAGTAATATGTGTTTTGGTTATTTATGGTATCTAGAATTGCTTACATTGAGGTGAGTCAAACGACGCAAATCAAGGGAAATGCCTGGGACTTCGTTCTTAAAACTCTAACCCTTCGTTCTTAAGCTGTTATTTTTATTATTTTTTTAGCAGGGAAATCTCGTGGAACAGCTGCATGTTGAGTTAGAGGAAGCTAAAAAGCGAGAGAGAGACGTCAGGGCACAGGGTAAGAAATCTTTGTTTTTTTTATGCTAAGTAACCAGGAAATACCGGGTGTTAGTGTTATGACTTCTGAACTAAAAACTAAAGCTATGTTAATTGCAAACGCAAACAAAGAAGCTTATTTCCTGTCTGCCGCGAATCCGTTTTTGCTGCAATGCTGCTATAGATGCATTTGTAGTAAGTAGAGGACATTTATTATTTGCTGTTGGAAATATTTCATGTTTATAAGCAAAGTAAGCAAAATCAACTGAAACTTTTCCGCTAATCGCGTTTTCTATAAGCACGGCTCTAAATCTATCAGTCTGTCAACCACGGTAGAATCTGAGTCAAAGGAATAAGTTTCTGAAGAAACTGTGTTGCTGCGTCGGTGGGAGAGTATAAACAGGGGAATTAAGTATTATCAACTGAGTTGATGAAGTAAATTGGCCACCGTCAGAGCTAAAAGACATAGGGCTATCGCTCAAAATGTCAGCTTTGAAACTCTTAAAGATGGCCAATTTACGCTATCAACTCAGTTGACTATATTACATTACCCTAGAATGTGAGTCAAATGAAGTAAAGGGAGCGCTTGAACCTTTTTATTTCATTTCAGTACTGCTTAAAGGACAGCAGGTGGATCACGTGAAAAATGATCTCACCAACTTGCTAACGAGGGAGAGGTCCTTAGTGGCTGACTTGAAGGAAGCCCTGGCGAAAGAGAAAAGTCGAATCACAGAACTAGGAGCCACCCTAGAGAAGGAACGGGTCCAGGTCATGTCCCTTAAGTGAGTAAATACATGTTCAAGCACTTTCCGATCAAGTTTCGTAACACAGAAACCAAAGGAATCTCATTGGCTTATCAGAACAGAAGTTAATTTAATAAAGAGCCAATGAGAACTTAGATAAGTACACGAGATCGACCTCAAGGGCGGGAAAATTTGAGGGACCAAGTCGCTATTGGTTTATGTGTTGCATCTGATTGGTTAAGAAAGTGGCGCTATTTTCTAGGCCGGCCAATTACATTGCGTAGTGAAGGAGCCGAAGAGGGGTGGTGAGAGGCGTTAGACAGGGGCGTTAATAAGAGGCTTTTTATTTATATTTGCAGACAGGTGTATCACTGCGGGCTCAACATTTAGCTCCAGTCATAGTTATGTTTGTTATCCCGTCTTCTCCGCTGAAACGTAACAAAGTTACGTGAAAAATGGTTCTACTGACGGTGCTAATATTAATGTCCCCGTGGAAAAAGACGACGTGTGTTTTTATAATAAGGCGCCATTTTTGAAAACTGTTTCATTAAAACTTAACAAATTTCCCCTTTCTTTGCAGAACAAGTCTTGAAGCTGAGAGAGTGCGTCATTCAAACCAAACGCAAGCGTTAGAACTCGAAAGAGCAAACACTAAAAAGTACCAAGATGCGGTCGAAAGCGAACGGCAGCGAGGCAAACAAGATAACAACCGACTGATGGAGAACATTGAGGCTCTCCGCCGACAGCTGTCAGCAAATAAACAAGAAAAGGTAGAGTTGGAAGTGCAGCTGGAGAGAGAAAGAATTGCCATTTCTACTTTGGAGTCTGAATTGGAAACAGAGAAGGCATTACAAGTAGAGGCTCTAGGTAATAATGATGACTGTTGTGGTTTGCGTTGAGTGTCTTTCCCTAGAATACAACACAGAGCTTGAGCCCAGACCTCTGAGTGATTACCACTCGGCCACCTCGTCTCTCGCCTCCTCCGCCTTGAAGGGTTATTGCTACGACATCTATGAATGGTTAGAAATTCTAGTCTTCTCGATAAAACCATAAGCTGTGTCTCCCGCATCTCCTCCGTACTGGTTAGTCGGGGACGTGAGTGAACCTTCGCACTTCTCGCAAAGAGTGGGGAACGTAGCTCCCAGTGTTGTGGTCTGGCCTTGATCAAAAAACCGTAATTTTTTGTCCTATGCGTGTGCGTCTATGTGTACGTGTGCATCTACTTGCGTGTCTTTGGGTGTGCGTGCATGCATCTGTTGTTTTTCTCAAGCAGTGCAGTGTAAAGGGAAACTTTCCGAGCAACACCTCATTGTTAAGACTTTTCATGGTAGGGTGTGTTCTCTGTTATTGTGGTAATGACATTCCGTTCACGAATCAGTAACTCAATATCTTAAACTTTTCTTTTCAACAGAGCGTAATCGTGAGACAATCGATGAGTTGACTGCGGCTTTGAAAGATGAACAATCTCGAGCAGAACACGTTCAGTTGGCCTTGACGAACGAGAAACGTCAAACAGAGGCGCTGAGACACTCAAAGGAGCGCGCAGATCAGCTGCGAAACACCAATAAAGGTAGAACATAAAGGAAAGTGGGCCAGCTATACTGATAAGAAATCTGTAAACTTAGGCGAGATGTGAAGAAGAGAGAAGTCTTTTAAGCTTTAATTTTTTTTTTAATTGAATGTCGAAATTTTTTGTATTTTGATTCATTTTGTTTTATCACGTTCTGTGATTGGTCAGAAAAATTATCCACCCTCTGATCTAATCATCTCGTAACATGCATTTTCCCGCGCTTTAAGCCATTAACTAGTATTTATGGTTCTCTCCTTGTTCGAATTGGTCATTGTGATAACCTTGTTTTGGTTTTTACGGCACTCGATCGGGGTCCACTCCAGGACTAGGAAACAAGAAAAAAAACAATTGAGTGAAATCATTTTTTGAAACCCCGATGTTAACTTTATCAATGGCATTCCCTGTAGTTTTGAACTACAGCCTTCGAAGTGATGCGATCTCCTCGCTTTTCATGAAAAAGGTTTTTTGAGAAATTGAGGATTTGTCATAACAGTCTTCTTTTTCTTCACTTATACTTCACCAGGTTATTTATAATTCATTGGAAAATAAGACAGCATAGATGATCGTTGTTTGTTTGAACAGTTAAACTTGTGGGGACTTTGGGAGCAAAATCGCTCTTGAACGTGACTTCCTATTTCAGTTATTGATATGTTAATGTCTTCTTCGATGTCAGAGCTACAAGCGGCGTTGAATGCCGCCCGAGAGAGGTCTGTCGAACTAAGTACTTCTCTTGAAGATGAGAAAAATCATAGCGCGTTCCTTGAAGTGTCTCTGGAAAACGAGAAAGACAAGAACGACGAATCTGTTAAGACAGAGAAAATAGTCGCTCACCAGTTAAAGGGAGCTCTAGATGTTGTTCAGGTACTGAAAAGGCTTTTACTGTTATTACAAAGGCTACGTCAATTTCTTTATAGATTTGTCATGAGCATGAAACAGTTAACTTCGTCAGGAATGAATCTTATTAAGTAAAGGAACTAAGAGACACTGAGGTGTCATACTTCCAGGCCTTTGTGACACAAATTTGATTATTTGTCTCTGCTGTCTGGGTGAAGGGAACTTAAAGATAAAAATTGTTATTTAGTGGTAGTGGTATGAGCTTGAGTAGTACGGACATCACTTGTTCCTAGCAGTATGCAGAACTTTGCTTGTGGCATACAACCTTAGTGCATAACCCAGCTAGCTAACGAGTTCTTTGATGCCCATAACCATTCCTTAACCCATTGACTCCTGAGGGTGACCAGCATCTTATTTCTGTGAGTCACGCATTAAGGTCGCGAGAATACAGGAAATGATCGCCAACAACTGAATAAACAAATTATAGTTTGTTAAACAAATTTTCCTTGTCAGCAGCTTAGTAGACGTACAGAGAACAGTATGGAGAATATCCATGTTGATGTCAGAGTGTTATGAGTTAATGAACTGCCTCCAATCTTATCAGAGAAGTTGTAGGGTTCCATTCCTGGTTTTTCCTTGTCCCACGCTCATCAAGAGACGAAAATCATCTTTTACTACCTTTCTCTATTCCCAGAAACAATTGGTTGAACTGACAAGCACGCTGGAAGAAGAACGAATCCGGGCACGAAGGCTCCAGAATGAGAGAGATGTTCAACAAGCTACTGCCATGAGTCACAAGGAAAGAGAACGCCATCTACAGAAAGATCTGGAAAACGAAAAGAAAAAGCGAGCTCAACTCGAACAGAAACTGGGGAACGAGAGAGAAAAGAACGCAGATCTCAACAGAGATTTGACGGAGAGGGATAAAAAACTGGGCGAGTTACAACAAGATCTGGATAGCCAGGCATTAAAACAGTCAGAAAAGGTCTGTTGGTTTAAGGAAATCCTTATGTGACATATCAGCGTCTTACGACAATCACATACATCGGTGTAGAGAAAGTAAAATTAGTACTCTTACTCCTAACCTATTCAAGGAAAGGCACGTTTATGAATAATGTAATTCTTTCAAGCTTTTGGCTGAGACGTGAAGGGCTCAAATTTGATAAATGAGCTTTGAGAAATTCTCTTCAGAGGTTGGTAAACCTCTGTAAACCCTGCTATTAACATGAAAATTCTCCGCTTAATGTTCCTTATATTTACCTTGATATCAATGAACATAATTTGTCTGACGATCACCACGTTTTGTTCTGGCCCTGCGAATTTGCTCAATCTTCGTGAGCCCTATGTTCGATTAAGTAGAACTTTTTTGAAGAGGAAATTTGTTCTAGTCACTCAAAGGTGTTTAATGATTAACGCGGTTCTACCGTCACGTGATTGTAACACAATCATTTCTTCACAGGAGGCTTCTCTGTACCCGCTTCGTATGAGACTCCTTCTTCATCAACAACAATTGGAGTCTATGAGACAACAACACCAGGTGCTGATCAATAAACATCAGAATTCTGTTGACTCTGCTTCAACCAGGTAACTGACTTACTCTTCCGAATAACTTAGTCACTAAAGGAACACAACTTCATATGGGCGAAGCTTTTGTGTGCCAACTATTTCGGCTTTTCAGCGTTTTGCTTTGTTCAATTTTAAGACTACTTTAGACTTCAAGGATTTTCTGATTAAATTCCATCTTCGAAGATTACCCGGGATCCTTGTTTAGTGAAGAGCTCCATTAATTAAATGATGGATTTTCTGGTGAACGCTGACGATATGTCCACGGTCGTCGGTAGATCTTAGGTATTTCGCCGGTAGATCTTTGCGAGGAGCGTAGCTCGTGCGCGAAAGTGCTTATAGCTATTGAACTTTCCTCTTGGCTGTCGACCGACAGTGTTGGTCCGAACCCTTGCGCCTATTTCAAGCACAACAATTAATAGAATATTTGTATTACCTGATTGTCCTGGATATTTACTTCAAGGGGTAACAAGGAGGTGGAAGAAGTGAAAAGATCACTTGCCAATCTTCTGAAAGAACTTGAGCAGATAAGATCAACACTCACTGTGCATATAGACGTAAGTAGCCTGTATTTAGGTATCGGTCGTTGTTTATCGCCTAAGGGGTGGGGGCTATGTCACAATAAAATTTACCTGATCCCCCTAAGGGTCTGGAGTATTCTAAAACTTCCCCCCTTTGTTGGTGGTCAATTTTCTACCGTCTCTACCGGAGTAAATAACTCCTGACATAAATTTCTTCAGCGCTTTGTCGCGTATCCTCTATTCCCTTCTTAGAGCGTATTTTGAAACTTTATACATTTCTATTAAACGTGGTGCGCGTCGTTGTTCTTTGGATGCGTAACGCTTCTCCTTTTACGAATCATTTCTTGACGCCAGGTTAAACATGTTGACGGGCCAGCACGACTCCTGCCAGGCGTTGAGTGTATTGTTAACGATCTTCCCTGCATGTAACCAAAAACATGGACGGTTGATCCCCCGTCCTTTCCCCCCTGAAAACCATGTGATCCCCCCCGAAAAAAAACACTCCTTATCAAATAGCCTTATCAATATTTCAGCAAGTAATACGTGAACCTTACCCGCCTTAAATAATTTTCAGGACGACCAGACAGTGCCATTATCGCCCATTAAAGCGGCTGCACAAGAGAGGATCGTGCGTCAAAACACAGAACTGGCAGAATTTGTCTCCAAGTTAAACGAGGAAAAGAAGGAATTGAGAAATGCTTTAGCTAATTTAGAAGAACAAATTGCGCAGTATAGACAGCGGGATAGAGCAAATGAACAGGTAACGAACTCAAGTTGCCTCATAGAAACATCGTCTAGTATACCATTCTCTGTCCCGTAAAGATGTTTATACTATTTTTCTCTTAATATCATTGTTTTACTCCGTGTCATTTTCAGAATTCACGCCTTACAAAGGAGCATGCCGACTCTGTGCTGAACGCTGAGCGTGAAGTGTGGGCTCAGGAAAAAGCTCGATCTCAGCAGGCCTTGAGGTCAGCTGAAGCAGAGCTGGCTCGTTTGAGAGAAGAAATCAGTAAAGACACTGGTACGCCGCGCATACCACTCAGCAGCCGTGAATCAGATACCGACGAGATCACGTGGCCACGTTCTAAGGTGGGTAGTGAGTGGCCAGATTGTAGTCCTGTGGTTTCGGTCTGTGATAGTGAAGCGATGGGAGATGGGAGCGTAATGCTCCTTAATACATAAAATATTTTTACAGCTTTTGAATGAAAAAGCAATTGCGAAAGTCGATTCTCGAATTGTTCAAGCACAGCATAGAGCAATTATTTGAAAAAAAAACTTAAATAAGGGTGTGTTGCATTAATGAATCGTTGAAAACTTCCAACATTTTCTTTACTTTGTTCCTGTCGGTGACGTGCGACTGTGTCAATAACGCGTCGAGCTGCTGTTAATCCTAATGTTGAACTCTCGGAAAAAAATTGTTGGATCTGGATGGCTTAAAAGTCACCTTCTTAAGTTTTGATTTGTGAATTTTTGTCTGCTTTTTTAGTTTTGCTTTTCTGTGTTTGGGACTTTTATTTTTGGTATCATGTCATTAAACGCTTGTGGTCTTACGTCAAAGCCTGTTGCACTCGTTGGGCCGCTATCGACCTTAACGTTGTCCTTCTTGTTTTGCAGCTCCTAAAGCTTTATAAACGATTTATCAAGGCTGAGAGCTTTCGGAAAGCTCTTGTGTATCAAAAGAAATATCTTCTGTTGCTTCTGGGAGGCTTTGAAGAGTGCGAGTCTACTACGCTGGCCATGATCGCTCAGATGGGAGCTTACCCCAAGGATCGTGACCGCTCCTTCAGACGGACAGCAATCAGCAGATTCCGCACTGCCGGGCGCGCTGTCCTCGCAATCCAACGCATGAACTTTTTGGTGAACAAATCGAAACGTGTTACCATCACGGGATCACGCGATACGCGTGAGAACACGAGTAGATCACGTATGGTCAACGGAGACTTAAACAGTCACGATCACTCTGTTTACCAGGCCCCTAGTCAAACCTACGCACCTCGGTCGACTGAGGAAAGGCCCGGTAGTGTTAATGGCGTCCATGTTGCGCCAACATTGCATTCGTATCAGCCCAATGGTGTTCCTTCGTATGCTAACAGATATTCGCCGCGAAGTGACCGGAGAACTCGCGACAAACATCAAACAGGAATAAATGGGCATGTAGACTTCAGAAGTCATACCATGCCACCCACGAGTGCGTCATCGAATGAGAGACTCAGTGGAGGAGTTATGTCTGGTAAAGACGGGCCTTTGTCGCACAGAAGTCATGTCACGTCACCAAGCAGATCATCTAGAACTTTCTCCCCAACATCCTGGTCGGATACCCGCTCGACGTCGGCGCCGCTCGCTCGAGAACCGACCACGACCGATTACACCCGAACTTTAAAATCGCCACCGGTTAGGGACTCTGTAACTACACAGAGAGATTACAGTCATCGAGATCGTTTAGAGTCTTCACCTCGGCATTCTTCGCCTCGTCGCGGAGAAAGATCGGGTTTACTGGACTTCCACAATCACCACGATCGTCCACTTTCACCGTCTAGAGCATCTTCGTTGGGATCGGCTCATAACGACAGTGATAGTGGTGATCACTCGCTGAATTTGTACATCCATAGATTGGAGTCCTTACAGAACAGACTTGGGGCCTTTGACAGAGGTAAGACGTTTCCAACAACGCGTTCGAAGTATACTGAAGTTTCATTCTGAAAAAAAAAAAAAGGACTTTGTACCAGAAAAGTGCGGGAATCTGGGAAGGAATTGTTATTTCACCGCTGGGAAAAATAAGCTTTATATAATTTAGGACATCTGCACTTATTACCCTCAATGTTTATTAGTTTTCGTTCGTTTTGACGCAAAACCATTATAGTTCAACCCACCTAGAGAGACATCTAGTTATTCAGTCCTTACTAATACCTGTTATTAATAATACTTTTTGATTGACATGCAACTGTCTGCATCTTGAAAGGGAGACTTGACGTTTTATTGGAGATTCCGACGTGAAAATGTTTTTTGACTTCGACTCACAATTTCCATTGGAATTACAAGTCTAACGTCTAGTCCACTCATTTTAGTACTGTTTAACCTTGGCTTAATTGCATGGATATTAAGCTCTTAACGTCATGATTTTGTTTATTTTAGAATCATATTAATACATTTAATTATTATGATTCCATTATTGTTGTTGTTGTTGTTAAAATTATTTTCTTTGTTTCTTCAGGTACCACAACTAGTTATCAACCAAGAAGCAGACGGTATTGAGTCAACATTTCACTTCATCTTTAGCTCGAAAATATCACTTCATTTCCGCTCTCTGTAAGATAGAACTGCTGTTGGAATTCGCCATCGTCCAGAGACTTCATCATTAACATACTAAACATTTATACATCCATGTCCCTTGAAAAAGACATTTTGGAATTCTCTACATACAAATTGTACGTGTAAATCTAAAGGAAGTGGTAATTTAAAGAAAAAAATTAAACAAACAAACCTTGGTATGAAATAAACCCTATCACTCCCAAGATCTTATAAGTGATTCTCCTTTCTCTCTCCATTACAATTCTTAATGTTAATTGGGAGAATTTGATTTTCGATCAACTAAAAATCCCCCAATTGATATTTTTTCTTTATTTTCGTTTCTTGTCTCCTTGATATTGTATTGATCTTTTAAGGTAAAATTCAGTCTTGGTCACTATCCGAGTTAGACGGTGATTGGGGAAAGAATAACAAGTTTTTAAAATCTGAATGAAATCTGACGACATCAATTTCACGATTACGTCATAGTTTCCTCAATAAGAAGTTTCTAAAAAGACTACAATTCAAAATGGTTTTTGAGATTTTACACTTACGTACTCAGATGCTGTTTTGGAGAGGGCCTGTAAGGTAGATTTTGAAGTAACTTTTAGCCTTTTGGAACTGAGCAGTCATACTCGTCCCCAGATCACTGAACACCATTTGTGGCCTCGCGCACCCTGAGGCGAGTTCGGACATGGCTTAGATGAGTTAGCTGTAGTTGATCAAAGTATTTATCCAGATAGAGAGATATTTAATGCTCCACGTTATTTATATATAAATGTACTATATAAGGCAAAGTAAGAAAATATTTTTAATTTTTGTTTTTGGTTCATAGTCGTTATTTTTTGTTACATTTGATAGTTTTTGTAGTGTATGGCATATTTTTGTATAAGTGGAAGTTGCGAGATGACCTACGACGCTAAATTGTTAAATTTTAAGACACTGCTAAGTGCAAAATTAAATAATACAACGCTGTGAAAAGTCTTATCCTTGTTTTTGTTAGCAGAGGTGACAGGTTAAATGAGAGGCTCCCAGTTGGAGCCACCCCTTGGCAAATCATTCGATTAAGTGGTGTCCTTTACCTCCTTTCCAACCAAAAGTGTCCGACTTGAAATATGTTTTGTTAAAAGGTTCATCATCTTGATAAGCAGCAAGTGAAACATCCTTGGATGAAAAAGGGTCCTTCATGAGAAGTCATTTCTTTTGAGTGTTCTGGAAGAATTTCCTCTTTTGGGGGGTTAAATTAAGGGACTTGACTGGATTTTAAACTTCTCTTTCTCTTTACTCGAAAATGGAGATTTTTTGTTCCTTAGTTTGCTTGATAAAATTATGGCGTTTTTAATTCATTTTATGTACTTTTAATCTTTTTTCCCTACATGAGAGAGTATCAATGCGTTAATTTTTCCACGTTTTTTCCTCCACGGTAAATAACATTGCGTCATTATCATCTTTGCGTTCTTCTTGTTACGCTCCCTTCGTAAGATAATAACGAACAATTAGCCTTCTATTCACGCAATTAAAAAATTGAGGCCTGAAATATTTTGAAATCAACTGCCTTTAATGCTATTGGTCTTTCAAACTAACTCTTTTCGAGTGTCAGAGTAATTTACTGGTCACGCAGTAATTCCCAAAATTCAGCGGCAGTGAGTTTTTTCATCTTGACACATGCCGATCCGTTAATACAATGCCTGTTCATTAGGCTTGATTCTTGTTGCTTGCTGAGCGTGCAAACAGATATCCTCGCCAAATCTGTGACATAGCCGCGGCTGCAGCTGTTCATCCATATTCATCAGAAGTTGTAGAATTTTCAGCCAACAACGCTGTCCGTCGTAGAGTGAAGACATGGTGTCCGTTGTGCTGAGCATGACGTTGCACTCTGGAAGGAAGAAGTCACTGGACCTCTAAAGAAGGGCAAAGAAAACATGTCGCTATAACACCAGGTGAGCATTGACTTTGGAAAATATCACCTTGAGCCCTCTCAGAGATCTTATTCTATCTCGGTTCAACAACACAGCACGAATCGGTTGCCCGGTCTGAACGGCTCTTCATCGAAATATCAAACCGAATTAAGGTCTCGGCTTCGAAAAAGGCATAAAAATATAACTCTAAAATATGTAGTGAAACGCTCACTTAAAAATTATTTGCTTGCTATGTGTGTTTGGGACAACATTTTGTATTTGAATGCAGCCACGTGGAGTTCTGATGACTCTTCCACTCAATGGCGTTTGCTTTATTGTAAATAACGTTTGACAACGTTCTGATGCTTCCCGTTTTACTATCAGCTTTTGCTATAACGTGTCAATAAGCAAGGCATTTATACAGAATTTTAATTCAGTTTTAGTTTTTTTCCTCATATTTTCTACTTTCAGAAGGTAAAATGTTTTCAGAAGACTGGAAGAACAAAGGTCTTGGTCAAGAGAAGACACTGCAATCACTGGATCTTTTGTAGACACTGCAAAGATAAGAACTTTGAAATTATTTAGTAATACTAGCAAAAATGGTGGCCCTTTGTAAGTCTAACTATTGCACGAAGTCTTCGTTCTTTCGCTAATCGACCATTTTACAGTTGTGTGCTTGGTTGCCAAGCCTTTGAACAGGAATGAGGCTAAGGGTGACCTTGTTATGATACAAACGTTGCTGCTTTTCAAATGCAAATTACTTTGTTATCACGCAAACTAGATACTGGTTTCTATCACAACAAGGTCACCTTCAGCCTCACTCCAAATCAAAGGCTTGGCATCTAAGTACACAACTGTAAAATGGCCTATTGTCTTGGAATGGATAAAACTGATTACATGGTAAGGGAAGAGTTCTAACAAGCCATCATTTTTGGAATAGTTTGTTGTGTTACGGATTGTTATACAGACCATGAGCGATCAATTGATTTATTTGAACTACCAGCAATAATTTGGTGTAATGTATCTTAGAGAATATCTTTGTATCGAAGTTAAGACAGAAACAACTAGAATCTGATATAATCCTGGCTACGGAATGCTAACACTTAAATTATCAATTTCGAAGCTCTGATCGTTATTTTTTTTTGGTCTGTGTTACAATTGGTATCACAGTAGAGTTCTAGTTGAAGTAGCACAAAGGCGATACTAAGGTGGCACTTGAACAAAATACTGAAAAAATGGAAATGGGATTCAAAATTGAAATATTTTGATGAATTTGATTGAATTTCCGTATTTTCTTTACGTCGAAAATCAGATTGCTGAACAACATCGACCTAACAAATTTTCAAAGACTGCCCTTGAAAAGTTAGTTTACTAAGTTAGAGTAGACTGACGTCTTACAACAGATGAGACCAACTATCTGCGCCGGCACCTTAAAAACGACTTAAAAACAGACTAACGCAGTCACCAACGGACCAAAACAGAACTGACCTAACCAACTGATCAAAACTGACTAATCAATGGACGAACGATATTTGAGTCTGACAGCCACTTTACTGCAAAACTAACCGATCACTTTTACAAACCAGAGAAGTGTAACATTTGATTAATAAACAATTGTTCACTCGACTCTGATGACTTCAACTCAGGCTAGTCACTAGATTCGACAAAAAACCTTTTCAGGACTACTCCAACCTAAACCATCGTACTTCATTATTGACAACTGAATGAAACCAGGAGAAAACGTTGGCAAAATAATACTGATTTTAAATGAAAATTCATTCTTGGCATGAATAGCATTAAATTGAAAATTTAGGAACGTTATTCAAGGAGGAGTTTTTTTTAGTTTTTCACACACAAAGCAAGATTTTAGTACAGTGCCATCTTAGTTTATATCCGTTACTTTGTGCCATCAACTAAGTTCAGTTTCCAATTAAAAGTAAGATATGTTTTAAAACTCTGATGCCTGGTCACGAGCTCTTCAAGAAACTGATTGAGTTGAAATTTCTCTTATATAAACCAGTTTTGACGATAAAGAAATAGAGATTTTAACTTTTCCGAGAAAAATTTATTCGATAAAAATTGAAAGGGTGAGTTTCGCAAATCTTTGGAAAGTAGTTTACAGATTGGAAAAAAAAATCAAGAAGAATATACAGGCTAATCTTTTGACCAGTAAAAAAAGAACAGGTGTATTATATTCGTTGTAATGATAGGTCATAATTTTCTCACACGAACAAGAGTTACTTTGTTGTTTGCTCATCGCGATTTTAAATTCTGATAAATAGTTCGAATCAGAAGTGCAAATTAAACAAAATGACACGATTTGACAGTTTACCAAATTAAAACAGTTGTCGTTTTTTCTTGTTTAATGCTTTCATATATTGATAACGAGTTTCGTGAAAAGTAAAGGATTTGTAAACATATTGACTTTTTTCAGAATTGAAATTTGTACAGAAAGCAGTTGATTTTACGAAACTGAAGCGCGAACCAAAACTCAAATTGGGTCTATTTGATTAAAGTTTATAGAAAATGACGGTCATCGCTTTTAAAAGCAAGTACTTTTGATTCCTTTCACCGCAGTGATTGTCATTTTGCTGGTTTATATAATATTGTCTCTTTGATAAGTCATTTCTTGCAAGAGATTAATTATTAAAAAATTAAGCTGCACTCGAAAAAGGGGATCGTTTGTCACCATTTTGAAACAGGCATTCGGTTTTTAAAACATATTGTAGTTAATTTATTTATTTATTGTTTTAAATGGAGGGAGGATCTTTTGGGCAGTCAGTTGGTGTGTAACACAGGAATACTGGAAAAAAAAGAGTAAAAGTTTGAAATTTTGATCTTTAGACTCAGTTTAAAAAAGAAATTGAACGCGTTTGACGACTAATTCTTGCGAAACAATTCCCTGCAAAAATTAATGGTTAATGATTTGAAGCCTAACAAAAGAAACTTCTTCATCCTAAGAGGGTAGAATCGATTTCAAAGAGCTGATGATTTTTCTATTCAATTTCTCAACATGCTTCACAAATCTAGTTAAAGAAACTAGGAGCCTAATCGTTACACGTCGTAACTTTTGAAGGCTAAAATCAAATTGTAAGAGTTCGCTCCAACTTCCTCTCATTGAGGCCATTTTTTGAATTTTCTTCGCCAATCAAATTGAACCTGGACTCTAATCCTGAAATTTCTTCGCTGTTGAATTTATTTTATTTCTCAAAAGCTTAGCGAAATCAGTTTTAAGAAATTTGGAGCCAAAGGACAATATGTCTTAGTTCTTATGGCTAAATTCAAACACCATATTCCAATAATTTATAGTTTTTCATCCAAATTTAGTCGAAAAGAGAATTTTGAACCAGGAAATTTAGTTAAAGGTTTTGAATTTTTTTTTTCGGTTCTTTTGCATCCTGTGTCCTGTGTTACATTCGAAACTGGCGGCATTTTTTCTCCGAAACGGGCATAATGGCAAGCTAAAGGCTTATAGTTTGCCATGATGCTCTTTCTTTTAAAACTTCTACACATCATCTCGTGCAAAAAATCGAAGTCTTCAAAAAAGGTTGAGAGATTGGTATGTAGGGTAAGGATTTCTTTTGAAAGAAACGAAACTTTCTAAACTGTTAGGATTTTTTTATGAGTGATAGGGAAATTGACGATAACTATCTAATTCTTTTTGAACGAGATGCTGTTTAATTACTTTTCCTGAGGAAATTTTAAAAGGAAAACTTGTTAACATTTTTGCCGAAAAAGTTGTCAGGGGAAAGTCTGTGCAAATTGGGCCAAATTTTCCCGCCAAAAGTCTTAGTATATATACGAAAATTTTTTTACGCTACTTAAATAATTATTTTGTGATTAAAAAGAATAAATACTTTGTGTAACTTCTGTGGTTTATTGAGTATATATTTAAGGACAATAAAAGATGATACAAATATCTGTTTATTAATGGTAGATGATGATAATAATACACAACGACAACAAGTAAAATATTCAGTTTATTACCTCTGTAGTATACTTGAAAGACAACTTGTATTTCAAAAAAAGCGCCGAGTCTTTTGGCGGGAAAATTCACCAGAATTGAACAGATGTCACGTACAG